GATGATATAAATGATCCCTAGACCAGCTTCAATCCAGCTCTGCCCACCCCCCGCCCCCCACCCCCACCCTGTAGTTTTCTCCATTTCAGCTGATGGCAATACCATTCTTCCAATAATGTGGTTCCAAAACTATGACATCATGCTCAGTCTGTCTCTTTCTTTTGTAGTTGTTTAGATCTTATTTCCTAATCATAAACTTAACTCTGGAATCCAGCTGGACTTGGAGGAGGGAAAGGCAAATAATGAAACTCAAGGAACTGCAGCAAAAGCCCAAAGATCATAGGCTGTCACCAGCAGATACAGGTGAGCAATGCTCTCCTGAGTCATGGAAGGAAAGGGCTGATGCTCAAGATGAAACACAGACAGCAATGGTGAGCCTCGTGCTGGTCTTGCCGTTCCTGGAACCAGAACCCTCCACTCCTGCCACACCATGTCATGCTCCCTTTGCACCTGCTGAAGACCACATGCTTACCATCCAGCCACTCAGCCTTGGCAGTGCCGATGAGAAACCAGGAACCAGTTGTGTTAGGTACAGCATTTGCCCCAGACAAGATGCCACCCGTGCTTCAGGGTGAAATTCTCATCGTATTTCTCCTGTAGTTGGACCCCACCAGTGCCATGATAGTCTGAAAAGTCACCACCATGACACATAAATCCTGGAATTCTGTGAAAGCAGGACCCTCGTAACCAAACCCTATCTCCCCAGTGCTCTGAACACGCAAGATTTTTTTTGCTGTCTTTGAAACTCTGCCTGCAAACAGCGTGAGAGAGATGTAGCCCAAGGGTTCACTGACGATGTCGAAGAACCACAGTGGGGTTGACCTTGACTAGACACGGTAGTGGGGGGGCTCCCCGCTGTGGTCCACAGGTGTCTCTGCTGGCGGTGCCTCTCATCACCCCCGGTAAACACCCCAGTCTGAGGCACCATCATGTCTCCCCTGGATTGTTACTATGGGCTCCTAACCCATCTCCCTACTTCTACCCTGGACCCAACTACAATTCATTAGAGGGCCAGGATATTCAAATTAAAATAAAAATTAGATTGTATCATTCTCTGCCTCAGCCTGGAGGAGATGGCAACCGGCTCCAGTATCCCTGTCTGGGAAATGCCATGGACAGAGGAGCCTGGCAGGCTACAGGCCATGGGGTCGCAGACTGGGACACAACTCAGTGACTGAACACACGCACCGCCTCAAACCCTCCGAGTGCTCGCAACTTTAGTGTTAGTCGCTCAGCCGTGTCCAACTCTTTGCAACCCCATGGACTGTAGCCTGCCAGGCAACTCTGTTCATGGGATTTTCAACTCCGTCATTCAGTTCAGTTGTTCAGTCATGTCCAACTCTTTGCGACCCCATGAACCACAGCATGCCAGGCCTCCCTGTCCATCAACAACTCCTGGAGTCAACCCAAACTCATGTCCATTGAGTCGGTGATGTCATCTAACCTGCTCATCCTCTGTCATCCCCTTCTCCTCCCGCCTTCAATCTTTTCCAACATCAGGGTCTTTTCAAATGAGTCAGCTCTTTGGATCAGGTGGCCAAAATACTGGAGTTCCAGCTTCAAAATCAGTCCTTCCAATGAACACCCAGGACTGATTTCCTTTAGGATGTACTGGTTGGATCTCCTTGCAGTCCAAGGGACTCTCAAGAGTCTTCTCCAACACCACAGTTAAAAAGCATCAATTCTTCGGTGTTCAGCTTTCTTTATAGTCCAACTCTTACATCCATACATGACTACTGGTAAAACCATAGCCTTGACTAGATGGATCTTTGTTGGCAAAGTAATGTCTCTGCTTTTTAATATGCTGTATAGGTTGGTCATAGCTTTCCTTCCAAGGAGTAAGCGTCTTTCGATTTCATGGCTGCAATCACCATCTGCAGTGATTTTGGAGCCCAGAAAAATAAAGTCAGCCACTGTTTCCACTGTTTCCCCATCTATTTGCCATGAAGTGATGGGACCAGATGCCATGATCTGAATGTTGAGCTTCAAGTCAACTTTTTCACTCTCCTCTTTCATCAAGAGGCTGTTTAGTTCCTCTTCACTTTCTGCCATAAGGGTGGTGTCATCTGCATATCTGAGGTTATTGATATTTCTCCTGGCAATCTTGATTCCAGCTTGTGCTTCATCCAGCCCAGCGTTTCTCATGATGTACTCTGCATATAAGTTACCTCAGAATAAAAGCCAAAATGACCACCAAGGACATTCCTACTCTGGCCCCCAACCTTGGTCCCGTCACGCCCAGGTCTTGGCCCCTCCTTGCTCATTCTGCTCCAGCTACACTGACCCCTTCAGTGTCTTTTATTTTATTTTATTTTTTTCCTTCAGTGTCTTTTAAACCTGCCAGTCCCACTCCTGGCCTCAGTGAAAGTGAAGTGTTAGTCGCTCAGTCATGTCCAACTGTTTGCGACCCCATGGACCGTAGCCCACCAGGCTCCTCTGTCCGTGAACTTCTCCAGGCCAGAATACAGGAGTGGGTAGCTGTTCCTTTCTCCAGGGGATCTTTCCAACCCAGGGATCGAACCAAGGTCTCCTGCCTTGCAGGCAGATTCTTTACCATCTGAGCACCTGGGAAGCCCACTCCTGCCTCAGGACCTTTGCAGATGCTCCGCCCTTGGCCTAGAATCGTCTTCCTCCCTATATTCCCATAGTGTGTCCCCTTTCTTCATGTCTCTGTTCTTCATGTCTCGATCATACTTGATATTTCCTAATTTTGTTCTGTAGAACTCACCACCCTCCAATATTTACTTCTCTGTTTGTGTCTGTCCCCCTCACTAGAATGTCAACTCTACAAGCTCAGTGATTTTTTTTTTTCAGTGATTTTTTGGGGAACTTTGTATTCACCACTGTGTCCCAAGAACCACAGAGGGTCCTCCATAAATGTTCACTTTAGGGAATTCCCCGGTGGTCCAGTGATTAGGACACCAAGCTTTCACTGCTCAGGGCTCGGGTTCAATTCCTGGTTGGGGAACTGAGATCCCACAAGCCAGGCAGGCAAAAAACAAAGTTCACGTTAATGAATGAAAGGGATTCCTGAAGCCTGGGAAGAAGAGACTTAAGTCAAGGTCATGGCCATCCAGAATCAATGGCTTTTGGTCTTGGAAGGAACAAAGCATCGATTCCATAGCTCTGGCCCAAAGTCCTTCACAGAGCCATGCCAGGCTCTGGGGCTAAAACCAGGCCAGTGGGCCCTCATCCCTGGGACTGACGGAATGCCCAGCCCCCAGAGGATGTGTGACTGACTCTGCCGCAGGGAGGTCTGCACTGGTGGAGGCCAAGGCAAGGAGCCACCTCCCCACCCCTCCGGCTGCCTGCGTGCAGGCACTGGAGACCCTAGAGAGTCTCCACTGCTGGGCCCTACAGGAGTGGGCAGGGAGGAAGGCCGGCAGTTTCCAAGCAGGAGAGCACAAGTTGAAGCCGCTGTGGGTAACCCAGAGGACAATGGGCAGATTCCAGATGCCCCAGGCTCCCTTCCACGGGTTTCCCAGGTGGCGCTAGTGGTCAAGAACCTGCCTGCCAATGCAGGAGTCACAGGAGACCCAGGTTCAGTTCCAGGGTAGGGAAGATCCCCTGGAGAAGGGCATGGCACCCCACTCCAGTATTCTTGCCTGAAGAATCCCGCGGACAGAGGAGCTTGGCAGGCTATACAAATCCACAGGGGCGCAAAGCGTCGGACGCGACTGAAGCTACTCGGCACGCACGCATGGTATGCGCCCTTCCCATTGCTGGCACCACACCAGCAGAGGGCGCCCTGGCATCACAAGGTCCAGGTTCCGCCACCTGCCGCCCTCTGGTGGCCACACCGGTCAGGGTGGCAGGGAGCCCTGGATCTCCCCTGCCACTTCCAGGAGAGGGGTTCCAACTAAACAGGGGAATGGCCAAAGACAGGGAGCGGGGCCCCGGCGGCCCTGGGTCTGGCCTGGGCCCACCCTGGCCAGCAAGGCGAGGCCAGCGACGACCATGCCAGCCGCAGTGGGTACGCACTCGCTGTGGACTGGGCTCCAGCTCCTTCTTACCCACCCAGCCCAAGAGGTACTTCTGCTCCCACTGCCCCTTTACCAATGAGCAGGCTAAGGAGGTGATGCCAGATCACCTGATTCCTCCCCGAGGCCACCCTCTCCTGTCTCCCCACCTGCTCATCCACAGATAGGGAACGCCTCCCCCCTCCCAGCCCTTTTAGGACACGCAGAGGCTCAGCCAGGAGTTAAAAAGTAAAAAGTGCAACACCAGCCAGCTTTTATTAAGGACCTACTGTGTGCTAGGTCCTCCTCCCATCTCCCTGCACTTCCCACTGGCCAGGCAAGAGAGTGGCCAGTTAGACACACCTGTGAAGCTGGGTAGGGAGCTGACGGCGAGGTAGAAGGGGGCAGAGGGGCCACTGCAGCCGGGTCCTCAGTGAGGGGCACGCCTCCTGGGTCTGCCCAGCTTGATGCTGAAGGATGAGGGGGTGGGGCCTCCCTTCCTCCCTCCACCCCAGGCCCTGAATCAGATTGGCAAGGAAGAGGGGCTATGAGCCCTGCCCTTGTGCTACATGGCCTTGGGGGAAGGGGACCCATTTCAGTGGTTTCTCCTGATGGAAGACAGGTCCAGAGGGCAGAGAGGCCATGCTCAAGGGGACAGCCAGGTCTCTACTGGGTCAGTGGTTCCTGGGGGTGGCTCTTGCTGTGCCCCCTGGACAGCTTTGATCCGCTCCCAGGTGCACCTCTGGAGTCACCGTTTAGCCCTGGTGGGACAGGAGAGGCAAGAGGAGTAGAAAAAAATTAAGAGTTGGATAGAGGGAGATGGAAAGAGATGCAGATACAGAGACAGTCAGAGACAGAGATGGAGATGGGCTTAGAGAGAGAGAGAGCAGGTAGACAGAGAAAGGCAGACACAAAGATGCAAACAGAGACAAAGCCATAGAAAGAAAGAGAGGGGGAGAGGAGACAGCCGAGAAGGGGAATTGAGACCCAAACACAGAGTCAGCCATTGATGGGGAGAGAAGACCGAGGCCCCGCCCTCACCTAGAGCTCATCCCGGGGGTGGGGATGGACGCTGTGCCCACTGCTGCCTGCCAGGTCCAGGCGGGGGCCGCGCAGGGTCTTGTAGGAGCCGGTCCAGCTGATGAGGCGGCCACTGTCGTCGTCCCAGGGCGAGGATGTCTCGGTGTCGCTGAGCCACTCGGCGTCCCCTGCGTAGTGGGTGGGGGCCGCGAGCAGGGGCCGGGCTGAGAAGGCCTGCAGGTCCCTCGGCCAGAAGTGTGCCTTGTACTGCTCACTGGGAGGGGGGAGGTGGGCTCAGGGGGGCTGGGGTGAACCGTCCCACCCCAGACCCACGCCAGCCTGGAGTCGGGCACCTCATCCCCGAGGCACCTGGCTGCCCTCCCCATCTAACCCTGAGGTGGCATTTCTCTTATCCCCATTTTCCAGATGGGGAAACTGAGGTGCAGAATAGGAAAATTGCTTGCCTGGAAACCACAGGGCATCACAGAATTCACACAGAGGTTGGTCTGATGCCAAGGCTAAGCTGGGCTTTTCCTTGGTGACTGGAAGTGGCTCAGCCCTGCCAGCCTCGGTCTCCCCAGCTGCCCAATGAGGGGACTTACTACCTGCTGAGGTGGGCTCTGAGGACGGGCTGACCCTGCCCTGCCCTGTGACTCACTTGGGGTGCTGGTCAAACATGATGGGCAGGAACTCATCCACAGGCAGCATTCGGCGCAGCGGCTGGGAGGCCAGCAGCTTGCGGGCGCCCGCCAGGCTCAGGACGTACGCCAGCGTCCAGTAGGAGTAGCCGGCCACCACCAGGTTCGGCAGCCCCTCCACGGCTGCCTCCTCCTCGGGGTTCACCTGCTTCCGGCCGAGGTAGCTACAGGTGACACCAGGGGTCCCAGGAGTCACTGTTGATGTCCCAGGGCCCTCCCTGTCCCCAACTCCATCTACAGAGCCAAGCCCGGGGTTGGGGGGAGCTGGCCAGGGCTCCCTGCAGGAGAAGGCAGTCCCCAGGAGGCCCACCCCTCTCCCTGGTCCCTGGGGGCCCAGGCTGCCTACATCAGGTCCCAAGGAAGTTTCTCCGCCTCCACCTCCTCCATCAGCCGCTCCAGCCGCCCCTTGAAATTGCTCTCAAAGCGCACATCGTCCTCAAATACCACGACCTGGGTCAGGCCCCTGGCGACGACCTGAGGCACAAGGTGGGTGTGGGAGGGTGGCTCTTTAGACCCGGGCTGTCGTCCCCTCCCACCTGGCTCACACTGACAGACACTCCTGGCTTCGGTTATGGGCCAAGTGCTCGGCCCTGGCTATGTCGCTCAGCTGCTCCAAAGCCTACTGGGGCTTCCCACGGCCTGGGGATTGAAACCCCAACACGGGGCTCTAGTAGTCAAGGGCCTCCAGGCTCCCAGTCTTGCCCTCCCAGCAGATCAGGAGAGAAATCAGAACGCTTGCTGCAGTCACTGAGCCCCATCTCAGGGGCCCCAGGGCTCGTCTCCAGGGACCCTCGGGAGGCAGCAGGGAGACTGAGACACCGGGAAGTGACCCCACGGTAGTCCAAGGACACCCAGCCCGGACGTGGCCGAGCTGGGGTCTGAGCCTGCATCTGCTGGGTTACAGAGCCGGGCTCCTTACTTCCGCCTCCTCAAGGAAGTGAGGCTGGGCTGGGGTCGGGCAGAGACCCTAGCTCCCAACACCCTGAGAAATACTTTCTGTAACGTTTGGAGGTATGAGAAGAGCATGAAATCGGCTCAATAAATGGTGACCCTTTGATCTATTCAGAGGCAGCATTCAGCTCAGAAAAACAGAAATAGAAGCTCACATGCAATGCATTTTGGCAACAGTAGAAAATGAAAACAAGGAGGGTGTCTGTGCTTCACCTCCTGGAGGGGGCGCCCCTTGGAGGGCCCCGTCCCCAGTCCTCTCGGGCCAAGTCCAGGCAGTGACCTCTCCCGGGCACTCACACCCCAGCCCCGGGCCGGGGCTGCCTGGCCAAGTCTTGGGCCTTCCTTCTCACACACAACATCCTCCACCCCTTCAGCCCCAGGGGTCTGGGCCTGCACCGTCTTCCTCTGCTGAGAAGGCTCCTCTCCCAGCCCATCGACAGTGAGGCCCACGCTGACCCCACCGGAGGCCAGGCCTGTCCACACCCTCGCACAGCCAGTACCTCCCCGGACCAGAGTAAACTGAGTTCTTTCTCCATTTCTGCGCCCTGCCCTGGTCCCTCTGCCCCAGGAGGGCGCGGCTGTATTCTTCGTGTTCACCTCTGTGTTCTTGGAGTGGAGGCTGTCCCAACACACAGCCGGTGCTCAGTACATACCGCGGGGTGAATACAGTAAGGGCCGCACCCACAGGAGGCTGACAGCTGCTGCCTGGGTCTTCATGAGTGTGCTCCGTCACCCACCAGTCACATGAGTGCTGGCACGGAGCCATGAGTGGCGAGGGGGTGCCCTGCTTTCCCCAAGGGCGTGGGCCGAGGGGGCAGGGTCCTCACCTCCTCCCAGATGGAGTAGTGGCTGAGGAAGCAGCCCACCTCGCCCTTGGTCAGCGTGCGGCCCGAGTAGGGGTCCTGGTAGCCAGGGAGCAGGTCCACGCCGAGGGTCCTCATGACACTGCTGTTGAGCATCCTGAGGGAGACGGTGTCACGGGGTCAGGGGTGCCCGTCAGAGACCCACCCAGGGCCGCCTGCACTGGGCAAATTGGGGACTGTCACACTGGAGTCTGGTTTGAAGGAGGTGGCGGTGGTGGTGGCTTAGTTGCTAAGTTATGTACCACTCTTGGCGACCCTATGGACTGTAACCTGCCAGGCTCCTCTGTCCATCAGATTTCCCAGGCAAGAAAACTGGAGTGGTTGCCGTTTCCTTCTCCAGGGCATCTTCCCGACCAGGGATTGAACCCAAGACTCCTGCATTGCAAGCGGTCTCCTGTATTGCAGGCAGACTCTTTACTGAACTGCCAGGGCTTCCCAGTAGAGAGGGAGGGGGCCTGATTACTGCTTCATGTGGCCTGAAGTCATCATGACTGGACCAGGGGGCTGGAGCTGCCTCGGGTGGGGTGGGTAATCCTAAGGGGAGCCAGACAGTCTGAGGAGGAGACACCCATGATGAAGGGCAGGCACTTCTCAGGCAGGGGCCCGAGCAAAGGCTCGACATCCTGCGGTCCACCAGGCTGGGGCACATGCAGCCAACAGCAGTGGACATGGGGGGCCGGGTGAGCCCTGGCTCTGGGGGAACGTGAGTGGCCTGCTCCCGCACCCCACCCATCAGGGATCTAGGTTCAGGAGGGAAAAGAAGGGCCCTGATAATCAGAATGAAGACGCCATTAACCTTTGGGATACTTACTGGGTGTCAGGCCCTGGAGAAATCCTCACTAAACCCTTATAAACCCCTAAGAGGAAGGCAGCTACTCGCCATTTCTGCAGCAGGGCTGAGAGATGGGAGGACTTGCCGGAGGCCACACAGCTGGTGACCAGGCCCAGGAGCTTCAGACCCCGGCCCTTAACCACTGCACCCTCCTCCCTCGGGTGGGCGGAGGAAGGGCCCCTTCTGTCTATTCTGTCCCATTCTGTCTGCCCTGGGCTCCCCGAGACACAATGATGCAGGCCCTCTTTGAATACTCCTTGGAACAGGAAACTCGCTCGACACATCATCTGCTTTTCCCACCCTCAGGGAGCCCCAGTGGGCCACCCTGGGCCCCTTGCACTGCACAGGGCCCTGTCAACGTCCCAGAAGCCTCACCGGCCGTCCACGGCGTCCACCACCCGCCCAGAGATCTCCATCTCCCACAGCGAAGTCAGCATGCGCTCTCGGCGGTCGGGCCGGCGGGCCAGGCTGATGACAAACACCTGGAGGAGGCAGGGGGGCGTGGGGGCAGGGGGGAGGCTGCAGGTGGAGGGGAGAGCCCGCCGCCTGACCCCGGTCCTGCAGGCCGGGAGGACTCACCTCATCAAACCCCATCTTGCTGGGCCTCTTTGGGGGCCGGGACACATGAGCCGAGGCCCACATGGGGGGCCCATCCACTGCAGAGGAAAGCCCGCTGTCACGAGTCCCCACTGGCTCAAGTCAGCGGCACCCTGGAGTCCCAGGCCCCCCTCATTCCCGCCCCATTGGCAGGATGCCCAGTAGATCACAGACCCCACCTGCCTCCACTGTTAGGAGGGGCAGACTGAGGCTCAGCGGGGAAAGCGACTTGCCTGGAGTCAGGGAATGATATGAAGGGGAAGTTGACTCCAGCTCCGACTCCTGCCCAGCCAGCTCTGGGGCCAAGGAGAAGGGGCCCATGGGAGGGGTGGGGAGTGATAGGGAGGAAGGACAACACTGGCTGGCAGCCTCACCCAGCGCTTCCAGGATCAGGTGGATGAAGTTGACTCTCTCATCCTCCAGCCCCTGGTGGGATTGCACAGGCACGTTCAGGTACCCATAACGCTGCTCATTGCACACGTGGACCGAGACCCCTGTGGAGAGAGACCGAGTGAGTGCTGGCCTGCAGAGCGGGGATCTCAGAGCCCAGACGGCAGGTGTGAGCCCCAGTCCTACCGGTACCCACCATAGGAGTCCTCTCTGGGACCCCATGTCCCCATCTGTGGGGCTGGAGGGAGATAGGGCTTGGCTCAAACAACATCTCAGGGACCTTTCTGCCGAGATGGTATATATTCATTCAATAGATGTCTCCAGAGCACCAGCTGGGGGCAGAGGCGATGGTGGTGAGCAAGACAGACTGTCCCTGCCCTCAGAGGATTAAAGTGAGGAAGAGGCAGGCAAAGTCCCACCTGGCTATGGCCACCTGATGCCACGGGGCCTTGCTCCACCCTCTAAATCTGCCCATCCCCCTCACCCAATCCAGCACTATCACCTCTGGCCCAGACCCCTACACTTAACCCCTCCCCCTCTCCGGCCCCTGCCACGCTGTCCTCCACCTGGCAACCAGAGTGGCCTTTTTTTTTTATTCCTTCAGTGTTTGTCATCTTTATTATAATCATTTATTTAGCCTTTGTCTTCTACAGACTGTGAATCCTCCAGGGCAGCTCAGTCAGTCAGTCAGTTCAGTTCACTCGGTCGTGTCTGACTCTTTGCGACCCCGTGGACTGCAGCACACCAGGCCTCCCTGTCCATCCCGGAGCTTGCTCAAAGCACGGTGTCTATTGAAAAGTGAACTCCAGGCCCAGCACTGAGTAAACAGCCTAGCAGAGTGCAGGGGTTGGAAGCACGAATGAAAGAGACAAAGCCCCTGTTCACGGGACTTCCTTAGTCGTCCAGTAGTTGGGAATCCACCCTCCGGTGCAGGGGATGCGGGTTTGATCCCTGGCTGGGGAGCTAGGTCCCAAGTGCCGCCGGGCAACTAAGCCCATATGCCACAACAAAAGATCCCGTAAGCCACAACGAAGACCCGATGCAGCCAAATAAGTAAATAAACAATATGACGCAAAAAAAAAATTGGATATCTGCATATAAATAAAAAACTTTACAAAACCATTCACTAAATCCCTTTGAACCACTGACCAGTAAACAGCGGCTGATACTCAAGTAGAGGTAAACAAAACAAATAAAGTTGCTCAGTCATGTCCGACTCTTTTCCACCCCGAGAACTATACAGTCCATGGAATTCTCCAGGCCAGAATACTGGAGTGAGTAGCCTTTCCCTTCTCCAGGGGGTCTTCCCAACCCAGGGCTCGAACCCAGGTCTCCCACATTGCAGGCAGATTCTTTACCAGCTGAGGCACACGTAGAGGTAGGAATGAAAAAACAAGGAAATAGGGAGTTCCCTGGTGGCCTAGTGGTGAGGGTTCTGTGCTTTCACTGTCTTGGCCCGGGTTTAGTCCCTGGTTGAGGAAGTGAGATCTCAAGAGCCGTCCAGTGTGGCAAAAAAAAAGAAAATATCTGTGCTTCCTCTCATTTTTCGTCCATGTATTTGTTTCACCTTCATTCACGTTTTGCACTTGATAAGATCTTTTTTCTTCCTGCACATCTGCACGGTAGACGTCACCTCGTGGTGCACAAAATAATGATGACGACACCCTTCTCCCTGGCCACTCCTCACACACTGCTTGCCCAGGTGCAACATTTCCTGATTGAATCGTCACTTCTAATTCACCTTGACCATGAGCAAAGTCCCGCACCCACTGGGCAGCCTTCGTGTTCTCACCACCCATGAGTGCACACGGTGAACTACATTCTCTGCCGCCTTCTCAAGGTCCTTATGCCAACAGCAGCATCTCTGTCTTGCTCTCAACTTCAGTTCTTCCTAGGACTGCCGTTTATCTGATCCAAACCCAAACATCCAAACATTTCCTTTTTTGTGGCCACGCTGCATGGCTTGCAGGGTCTTAATTCCCTGACGAGAGCTTGAAACTGTGCCTTCGGCAGTGAAAGCACAGAGTCCTAACCACTGGACCACCAGGGAATCGCCCAAACCCAAATACTTCCTTGGAACTTTCATCTTAAAATTAACTGTGCACAGCAGAATGATTTCTTTCCAGTGTTCAAGTCCAGTTGGATGATTCTCTGATGGCTACCTGACACCCACAGGCTAGCAGCCAGACCCTTGCCCGTCAAGTCTGCACAAGCTGGCCTCCACCCGCCTTTCCTGCCTCAGCCTGCACTATGCCCCCTCCTTGTGTACTGCACTCTAGCCGCCTGCTTCTTGTGTCCCTGGCCACCACAGGGCCTTTGCATCTGCTGGTCCCGTTGCTCGAAATGCTCTGTCTTGCTCTGTTTGCCTTGTTAATGCCTGCCCATACTTTAGGTCTCAGTCCCAGTGATACATCCTCCAGGAAGCCTTCCCGGGAGACCAGGTCAACTCTAGTCTAAGCTCCCAGAACACCTATGATCAAGAAGCTCTTCTTCCTGTCATTGTGATTGATACTGATTTGTGTCATCCTTTGGTTGACTGGACTGGAGGATCCAGGAAGTCAAGGACCACCTGATTTTATTCACCACTGTCTCCCTGGTGCCTAGCACCTGATGCATGCATGTTAAGTTGCTTCAGTCATGTCCAACTCTTTACACCCCTATGGACTTTAGCCCGCCAGGCTCTTCTGTCCATGGGATTCTCCAGGCAAGAATACTGGAGTGGGTTGCCATGCCCTCCGCCAGGGGATCTTCCCGACTCAGAGATCAAATCTGTGTGTCTTACGTCTCCTTCATTGGCAGGTGGGTTCTTTACTACTAGTGCCACCTAGGAAGCCCTTGGCACTGGTAGGTGTCCCATAAATATGTGCTTAATGAAGGAATACATGAAAGTGCCATGGTGGGCACAGCCAGAAGGACATCTAACCTACTGGAGCAGTGGGCCCAAGAAAGCCTACGATCCAAAGGACAATTGGGAATTAGCAAGATAAACTGTGGAGTGGGGAAGGGCAGGCAGAGCATAGGGAACAGCATGTGCAAAGACCCAGAGACCTCAAAAAAAGGCTCAAGAAAAGCTGACCTTACCAGCAGCCTGACAGGCGTAGGCGAAGATGATGATGTCATCGAAGGGCCAGGTATAGTTGGGGTGAGGCGGGTAGAAGGCCAGCTGGGCCGTCCCCTCCGCCCGCAGGGATACCAGGAAGGTGGAGTGGACCATGGGGACACGGAAGCAGCCCCTGCGCTGGCGGTTCTTGGTAGGGAAGTAGTCGGCCGTGCGGCGGTAGTAGCCCTGGGGAAGGGGTAGCCCCAGGCTGTGAGAGGGCGCCCCTCCGTCCCCAGCACACTGCTCCCCAGCCAGGGCTTTCTGCCCTCCATGTCCCTCCTCCTAGACCTCAAGGCTCCTGAGGCCCGTGTCCCCAACCATACCTGGGGGGTGATCCCACACCAGAAATTGGAATAGTAGGTCTGAGAGTCCAGCATCGGGGCCACCACAGGCAGCCCCTGCTTGATCAGAAGCTGCAGCGTCTGATTGTTGGTCAGAATGTTGTCTGTGTCTGCAAACTGTGGGGATGGGGATGTCACAGGCCCCAGCCTTGTCTGGGCAGCAGCCTCCCAAGGATTCACTGAGTGGGATCCCTCCAGATATCCAGGGACCCAGGATATCTCCCACAATCCAATGGGGTTCCCTCAGAGAGCTCTAACCTATAAACCAGGAGATCTGTTTCTAGACCAAGGATCTAGTCTGGAGCACTGGCTCAGGGACTAGGTCCAGAGATTATGCCTGAGTTGCTGATCTAAGAACTTTATCTGAAGCCTTAGGAAGGAAATGCAGAGACCTACTCTGATCTCTGGGCAGGGGAGCCTGGCATGCTGCAATCCATGGGGTCACAAAGAGTCAGGCATGACTTAGTCTTAGCAGACTGAGTAACAACAAAAACATCCCTGATCTCCAGTCTAGGGAACTAGGCTCAGTTTATACTCTGGGCTCTAGCCCAGGGATCGAATCTCAGTATACACCTTGAGCTCTGTCTCAGGGATCTAGGCTTAGGATAGAGTCTGAACTCAAGCAAAGGGATCCCAGCTCGATACTTGATCTGGGTTTTGATCCAGGTTGCTAGCTGAAGGGTCCAGCCTATAGATGGTTAAATAGCACCCAGATTTCTGTCAAAGACAGGTGCCACCACCTGTGGGGAGCCCGATTGTAGGTCAGGCTTTCTTACCAGGATATAGTCTGCTCCCCAGTCCCTGGCAAAGGTCAAGGCTTCCTGTTTCAGCTCCATCAGGAATTGATGCCTTTCTTTGGTCCAGTGCTTAGGGCCCTCTTCATCTGGGTAGGACCTGAGGTGGTAAAGAGATGAGATGTTCCATGGGGTAGGTGCATGTGGTCAGAGCCCTGGCCTGGAGGCTGTGACTCAGAGCTGTCCCTTTCCCTCTCTGGGCTGCACCTGTTGCCCATCTTCCCCAGAACCTTGGCCCTCAGGCCACACCTGGGCTCCCCCTCAGGCCTCCAGACCACAGCTGCATAGTCATCGCCCACAGCAGCCAGCCACTCCCGTAGCATCTCTGTAGTGTTGTCCACATTGTGGTCCGTGGCACACCTGGGGAGAGAGGAGGAAGAAGGGTGGGGGGGGTGGCACAGTCACTAAAGGACCGAACCCTGAGGCAGCCTTGACCCCTGGAGCACCATCCCCTGCAGGACTGGCCTCTCCTGGAAGCAGAGGAGGTAGGTGTGCTACTGAGGAAGGCGGACAGCCAGGTCCCAATCACAGGGCTGTGTTCCACTGTGTGACCCCAGGCAGCTCCAGACCCTCTCTGGGCTCACTTTCTCCCTCTGTAACTAAAAGCTGTCCTGACATGTTCAGAGGCTGAGATGACAGAACTCAAATGCTTTTTTTTTTTTTTTTTTGGACAGGCAACTAGGATTTATTGGTGGGCATAAGGAGGGGACAGCACCAAGGCTCTCATGAGTGCAGGACCTGCCATTTGTCCAGAGGGAGGTATGTATTTGACCCCAGAGCCATCGGGGATGAGCTGCTTTTCTGCCACAATGTTTTCAAATTCACCAGCCTTAAACTTAGTAAATCCCCAGTTCCTGGAGATGTGGATTGACTGGCGGCCAGGGAACTTGAACTTGGCCCTAGGGAGGGCCTCAGTCACATGTTCCTTGTTCGGCAGCTTGGTACAGATGGACATTACTACTTGGCCAGTGTGGACTCTGGCCACTGTGTCGTGGGGCTTTCTGTCACACTTACCAGTCTGAAGCCTAGATTTGGGGACAGCACGCCAGACATGAATGTCCACTGGAAAGGGCTGTCTCCAGGGCTCCTTAGGGCAACCTGGATGGGCAACAGGCCTCATACGCTCCCCAGGGGGCTGTCTGCATCCACTCAAATCCATTTTGAAAGATGAGAAGGACCTCAACTTTGAGGAACACCCCCACCACATTCCCAGGTTTTCTTCTTTCCCTGCTGTGTGACCTCAGGTTAGTCCCCTCCCCTCTCTGAGTCAGGACTGGACAGAGGAGCTGCTGCTTCCCTCCACCAGGAAATTGTAATAAGGACCAAACCACACCCTGAGCATCCCTGAGAGGACCTGATGGGCCTGAGCTCCAAGGTCACCTGGCACAGCCTCTCCGAAGGGGCTCTCATGACAGAGGGGGGTGAGGGGGCATTAGCCAAGAGCCCAGGCTTTCAGTGATGCTGCCCCTTTAAGCAAAGTCTCCAGAACTGAAGACTAACTACGTGTCAAGTCTTTTGGGGGTGGGAACTAACTAAACTCCCGGACTGGTAATTGTGGGCGGCCTCCCCAGGCCACAGCTCCACCCCCAGCCCAACTCTGGTGAGTTGGGGAGAGTAGTTTGGTCATTTCTCTCAGTTTATCCCCAACCTCAGCTTGGGACTCCTCCCTGTTCTGGCTTCCACAGACCGTGGCCTCTGATTCCAGGGCTCTGTGGGGACACCTAGGGGGAGAGACGAAGGGGCTTTGCCCTTGGCCGGCAGGACCCAGCCCTGGGGAAGGGGGAGAAGTATGACACCCCCCCACCCACAGAGCAGCATGGAGCCCAAGGCTGACAACACCCCGGCGGGCTCCCCGGGAACTCCCAGGCCTGCTGAACCCTGCCACATCGGGCCCCAGGGGACGCCAGCTGCTCCTGTTGGCCCCACTGTCAGGCCAACCACAGGTCCCACGGCTTAAGTTTCAGCCCTGGTGGGCTGGAGCAAGAGGGGTTGGGCCCAACTTACACCTAGAGTAGGTCCCGAAGGAGGAGCAGGGGCCAGAATGAGGGATGGGTGTCCCTGTGCCAACCCAAGGCCTCCAAGGTCAGTCTGCAGGTATAAGGGGAAAAGGGGACCCGCCAGGGGGCTCGGGTCGCTGGAGGGCCTGTCTGCGAGGGGAGGGGACTGTCTGGGTGGTGTCTGGGCAGGCAGCAGATGGGGCCAGCTGGAGCCCAGGCTGTCGGTGGGGCTGGGGCGGGGGGTAGATGCCCAGTGGGTGCCAAAGCCCAGGTCTATCTCACCAGAGGGCCAGCCTGGCCCTGGGGTAGTCCAGCCGCTCCAGCGCGCCCAGGTAGTGAGGCAGTGAGTGCTCGGCATTGCGGGCCAGGATGGCAAGGACCACGATGGGCAGCGGCGGCTCCGCGACTCCCGCAGCCTCAGGCCGCGGCCCCAGCAGGAGCAGCAGCTGGAGTAGCGGGGCGGCGGGGGCAGCGCGCATGGCGGGCGCTCGGGCGGCGGCGGCGGCGGCCCCCGGGGCTCCCGGCCGCGCCGAGGGGAGTGGGCGGTGCCGCCGGGCCCGGGGCGGGGCCTGGGCCCGGGGCGGGGCCGAGGCGGGCCCGGAGGTGGGTGGGGGGATGTACCACCCCCTCCCAAGAAGGCTCCCACTCCCCTCCCCATCCCTATCCATAGATTCTCAGATGTCCTCTCCTCGGCCCGGGGCATCGCAGGACCAGGGCCCGGACACCCACCCCAGACGCGATCCGGGAGCAGCCTCTTCCCGGCTGGAGGGTCGTGGGGAGACGGCTTCCGAGCCGCCGCGGCGTCTCAGAATAACTCGACTACGACTCCCCCCCAACGGGGCGTGCAATCCCCGGAATCCGGCTTCACGGAGCGCCCAACTCCCCTGAATCCGGACTGCCTGGCCATCCCTCCGACCCTCGGACTTGAGCTGCGTGCGGACCCGGCGACACCGCCACAGCCCTTTCCCAGGTTCCCGGGGTCCCGGCTCCTCCGCCGCCCCGTCCCCCGGGCGCCCTCTGGCGGGCCCAGACGGAACTTCGCAGAGCCAGACCCGCTAAGGGGTGCCAGGAGCGGGAGGTGGGGTCCCCCTGACCTGCGAGCGCCATCCCGCCGCGGTCCGAGCGTGGCGTATCCCGCGCGACATCGTCCTCGCCTCCGTCGCCAGCACCAGCTCCGCTCCGAGCCTTTAGGAGAGCAAAGCCTACTCTTAGACTGAGTATAGAACAAGGGGCACCACCCAGCCCCCTCACAGACCCCCACCTCCAAAGCAGGGTGACTCCAGTGTCTGCTCAGAGTCGGAGTCCTGAGGCACCAGTGGTGGGGCCTGCCGGTAGGTCACTTTTCTCCTGAGCCTCAGGTCCTCCTGGGTAGAACTGGGTTGTAACAACGCCCATCTAGCAAGGATTCCTTGAGAGCGTGAATGCACTTGAATTCTATGCATGGAGCCTGGCAGGGGAGAATTCCTGGGGCTGGAAGCCAGGACTGGAGAAGCCAGGCTCTCCTTCCCTTCAATCCTTGCAGGGTTGCTTCTTTCTACCCACCTCCCCTAACTGGCTTAGAAGTGAAGTGAAGTGGAAGTTGCTCAGTCGTGTCCGACTCTGCGACCCCATGGACTGTAGCCCATGGAATTCTTTGCGACCCCATGGACTGTATTAGAATACTGGAGTGAGTAGCCTTTCCCTTCTCCAGGGGATCTTCCCAACCCAGGGATCGAACCCAGGTCTCCCGCATTGCCGGTGGATTCTTTACCAGCTGAGCCACAAGGGAAGCCCACCCCCAAACCGCGCTGCAAAGCATGTGGAATCTTAGTTCCCCAGCCAGGGACTGAACCCACACCGCCCCCTGCATTGGAAGCAAGGAGCCAACCACTGGACTGCCAGGGGAAGTCCCGAGGATACTCTCTTGTAAAGCAAAGCAGCGTCCCTCACTTCACCCATCCCAGGGTTATCCCAGAGCTTCTGCCCATGCTATTAGTCATGGGGGCTTCCAGATTCCTCCCTCACCTCAAGTCGTCCTTCTCCCAGTGCACTGACCTTCCCACCTTCACCTCTCTCCCTCCCCAGTCCACACAGTGGTTGCTGACTCCCTTGCCCCAGGTTTCCCCCATCACTCCTGCCTGGAAAAACCCTATAACCATCTTCCTTTGGGGCACACTCCGGATCTCCACTCCCCACTGGCCTTGCACTGAGCCCAACAATTCGGTTTCCCTGGGCTCCGCCCCCCCACCCCCGCCGCCCAGTGGTATTTCACCAGCTTGATCTTCTGATGCCCTCACTCTCCTCTCCCTACCCCAGTGAACGTCTCCCTGCCCTTCTTGGAGAAAAGAGAAGCCATCACCTTGGACTTCCCTGGTGGTCTAGTGGTTACCAGTCTGCCTTCCAACACAGGGGACCTGGGCTTGATTCCTGGTGGGGAGACTAGGATCCCACATGCCTCCAGGCCAAACTAGGTCTACAAAGAAAACTAGCCACAACAAAGAGCCTGCGTGTCTGGTGTCTGTCGCAGCTAAGGCCCCAGGCAGCCAAATAAATATTTTTTGGAGTGAGGGGGGGCCTCCATGGTGGCTCAGTGGTAAAGAATCCTCCTGCCGATGCGTGAGTCACAGGTTGGATCCCTGATCCGGGAAGATCCCACATGCCACAGAGCAACTAAGCCCGTGCCCCACAGCTGTGGAGTCTGTGCTTCAGAGCCTGGGAGCCACAACTACTGCAACTCCTGAAGCCCGCACGCCCTAGAGCCCCTGCTCTGTGACAAGAGAGCCACCGCAATGAGAAGCCTGCACACCGCAACTAGAGAGGCGCCCCTGCTCACTGCAATGACAGAAAAAGCCTGCTCAGCAATGGTGACCCAAAATAATAATCTTATTTTTTTTTTAAAGAGGGAGAAGCCATCACCTGTGAACTCTCATTTCCAGCTTCCAAACCTTCCATCTCCTGCCGCCAAACCCGTCTCTTCTCTCACCACCTGAAAGGTGGAAGAGCACCCCTTTCTCATAACAGAACCATCCTTGGACTTCAAAAAAAAGAGCCATCCTTTTGCCCTTCCTGGATCACCAACACCCCTCTCTTCTGGATCCTTCCTTCAACATTCCAAAGGACTTAAAGCTCCCCCAACTTAAAATATGAATACAGTCAGCTGCCTGCTGGCCCCCAGAGGCAGCCCTATCTGTCTCCTTCCCTCCAAACCTCTGGAAAGGGGGATGTGGCCTATACTTTGCTTCTGGTCTCACTTCCCCACCTTCATTCCCTGCCTGACACACACCAAGGCCTCTCCAACCAAACTGCTCCTGCCAAGACCTGCATTCCTCCTGGTCCCTCCTGGAGTGGAATTCCTCCTCATACAGGAGAGCTCCCTCTGACACCCAACCTCATACACCACTCCTTTCTGCAAAACTGACTGTTTCCACTTCCCACCCGGACCCATCTGTCTAAAATAGAACCCCAGTCTTTCCTCCAAACCGGCTCCCACTCCAGTGGCCTACCTCCAACTTGGGGACCTAATTATAAGTGCCTCTCTCTCCGCCCACTCCACACTCTCACTGTGGCCAGACCACCTCAGTGTCTCCTGCATGTGGTCACATGTGTGGCTCAGAGCATCAGCACCACTCCCCCGGGCCGCTGCACCTCCCAGTACTGACACCCCTACCCCAGGCTTTCTACCTGGAAACCGTTCTGCACTGAGCAGTCCTTTCTTTTTCTTTTTTTAAAATTTGGCCACACCGCACAGCATGAGAGGCTTCGCTCGTGGTTCAGACAGTAAAGAATCTGCCTGCAATGCAGGAGGGCCAGGTTCGATCCCTGGGTCGGGAAGATTCCCTGGAGAAGAGAATGGCAACCCACTCCAGTATAATTGTTTGGTATAACCCCATGGACAGAAGAGCCGGTGGCACAGTCCATGGGGTCGCAAAGAGTCAGACATGACTGAGTGACTTCACATGAGGGATCTTAGTTCCTCAGCCAAGGATGGAACCTGGGCCCCTCGCTCTGCCATGAAAGAGTCAAGTCCTAACCCCTGGACCACCAGGGAATTCCCTCAGTAGTCCTTTCTAAACAACATGATGTTGCACCCATTGGGGGCGGCCACTGCCCTCAGCATAGAGCTCAGATTCCTCTGGGAACAAGGAGACCCTTCATGGCCTGCCTGATGCTTCTCCATCTTCTCTGACTTCCTCTTCCCTATCTCCTGCCCCAGCCAAACTGGACTATGTACAGTTTCCAGAACACTCCATGCTTTAAGACTTTCCCATGTCCTCTTTTTTTTTTTTTTTAATTCCTCTGCTTGTACTGGTCTTTCTCTTTCTTTCTTTTTTTTTTTTTTTTTTTTGGTCTTTCTCTTTCTGATCAACTCCTCCAGGCCCTCTGGAAAGCCTTCCCCAATGTCATGTTGGGGGACCTACCCTTGCATTGCATCCTATATAGTCCCATTCACTCAGCAAATATTTATCGAGCACATGGCATGTGCAGATAGAATTCTAGGTACTGGGGATACAGAGGTTCGGTCTCTGTTCCTAGGGTGCTCACATTCTGATGAGGGAAGACAGACAGGAAACAAGCAAACTGACAAATGAATAAATAACTTCAGAGAACAGTAAATGCTATGAACGAAGTAAAACAAGTTAACGAGAACAGAGAGTATCTGAGGGTGGGAGGCAACATTGAATAGAAAGGTCAGTGAAGATGTTCCGGAGCATAAGGGGAGCCAGCCAAGAGGAGAGCTGGGAGATGTTGTTGCATATGGAGAAGGGGCTAAGGCCCTGTGGTGGGAACAAGCAAGGAGACCAGGGTAGTTGGTGCAAAGTGAGCAAGGGGAATGTGGTAAGAGGTGAGGACCACTTAGGGTCTTAAAGCTATGGTGGGATTTTTTTTTTTTTTTTAAGTGCAATAGGAAGACATTGGAGAGTGTAAGCAGAGGAGTAACATGTTTGTCTCAAAAAGATCACTTTGGCTGTAGCTCAGAGGGTGGACTCTGGGGGCAAAGATGGAAGCCCGGGAAAGCATGTAACCAGGAGAGTTGATGATGGGCAGGACTGAGATGTACAACAGGTTAGATGTGAGAAATGGAGGGAGGAGTCAGGTGACTCACAGGGTGTGATGTGGGCTGGGACTGAATGAGGAAGATCTATGCAGGGGCAGTAGAATGTGAAACCAGGTTCTGCACTGGACCTTGTTGTGAGCTGCCTTTTATCAGACCTGCAGGTGGAAAGATCACACGCCAGACCTGCCTGGCTGTGAGTTCTGAGGCAAGGACCTGTCTGCCTTCTTCACCACTTATCCCAGCCCTACAGTAGGGCTAGCCAGGCATTGGGTGGGCTCACAATAGAATATGATGTTACTGACTAGGGTGGGCTGATCAAGCACCTGTATTCTTACTGACACTCATACACACACACACACACACACACACACACACACACACATATATATGTATGTGTATATATATATATATATATACATATATATGTATATTTGCCCCATAATATAAAAATAAAGCATACTCTGCAAAGGTAATATGACATCAAACTCAGAAACGCTAAAGCAGTGATTCTTTAAGCAGGGTCCCTGGGCCAGCCAGCATCAGCCTCACCTGGAAGTTGTTAGAAATGCAAGTTTCTAGGCCCCTCCCCATACCTGTGGAGAAGGAAATGGCAACCCACTCCAGTACTCTTGCCTGGAAAATCCCATGGACAGAGGAGCCTGGTGGGCTATAGTCCATGGGGTCGCAGAGAGTTGGACACGACTGAGCGACTTCACTTCACTCACTTCATACTTTATTACTGGAGAAGGAAATGGCAGCCCACTCCAGTATTCTTGCCTGGAGAATCCCATGGACAGAGGAGCCTGGCGGGCCATGGTCCATGGGGTCACAGAGTCAGACACGACTGAAGTGACTGAGCACGCATGCACGCCCCATACCTGGGCTCCCCTGGTACCTCAGCAGTAAAGAATGCAGGAGACTTGGGAGATGCCAGTTCCAGCCCTGGGTCGGGAAGATCCCCTGGAGGAGGAAATGGCAGCCCACTCCAGTACTCTTGCCTGGAGAATCCCATGGACAGAGGGGCCTGGTGGGCTGCAGTCCATGGGGTCACAGAGAGTCGGACACGACTGGGCGTCTGACCAGCAGCAGCACCTCTCCATACTGGCTGAATCGGAAACTCTGGGAGTGGAAGTTAAACAAACCAATGAGCCTTTCAGGTGATTTTGGTACCGACTCAAGACTGAAGCTGCTGTTCTATGGGGCCTAAGGTCTCATTCTTGGGGTCATGCCTAGAAAAAAATAGTTGGGTCCATCTGGCTGAATAGGACCCAGACCACCCTGAACCAACATCTAGCTGGGCTCTAGATTCCTCCCCCAACCAGCACCTTCACCCCCATCCCTTAGCCATGGTAGTTCTGACCAAAGCCAGGTGGTGGCGCCAGTGCCTCAGGCTCCACTCTGGCTTCCAGAAATAGAGACCCTGGAAGGACTGTCCCCCTCCCCAGCACCCTCTTCTTCCCTCTGGGAGCCTCAGCTCCAAGGTCTGCCCACTGGCAAAGACTCTGCAGAGTGGCCTTCATCAGAGGGGAGGGCTCTCAGGTTGGCACAGCAAAGGTGAGGGCCAACCCCCTTTTCCTGGAGGTTAGGAGGGTGGGTGAGAGGAGACCCTTAGGTCAGAGAGAAATTAGGGGTCTCCGGCCTATAGGACTTGGGGGTCAGGAGCCCTGGCAGGTGGCTGTGGTCTGGTGGACCCTGCCACACCCCCATTAACCCTTTGCCTTCCTTGCCCAACCTACCGCAAGGTCTCAGGTGCCGCTTCCCTTCCACTGGGTGGGGGCAGCCTAGAGGTACCCCAAGACTCAGACAGAGCCCCAGGGCTGGAGGTCTTCACAGCCTGGCAGGGAAGGGAAGCCCACAGCAGGGGGGATGCACGGATGGAGCTCTTACCAGCTGCTAGCTTCACGTCTCCTGGGTTGGGGGCTCTCTGGGCCCCTGTCCTGCTTTGTGGCCAAGGGAGCCCAGGTTCCAAGCCGGAGGAGGACCCCCCTCACGGGCCCTGGTCCTGGTATGTCGCTCAGCAGGTGGGGGTCCAGGAGCCCCCACCGGGCTCCCTCCCACCTCTGGTTCCAAGCTGGGGTCCAAGATGACCCAGGGCCGAGTGCAGTCTTGCCCCGCATCTGCTCTGCTGCCCCTCATCCTTCCTATCTGAGGGGAGACTGAGACCCTCCCCCCAAATCCCAGCTGCAGTCACCACTCTGCTTAGACCTAGCGTAGCTCCGGCCGTCGCTCCAGGAACCTGCCCCTCATCTCCAAGGGTCCCACCCAACGCCCACCCCACCCCAAAGGACCACCCTCTTGCTCTTGGCCAGGCCCTCCTCTCCCAGGAGCCCAGATGTGGAGCTGTCCTCTGAGGCTCTGCCCCGGTCTTCAGGAGGCTGGGGCCCGGCCAGCTGTTTTCCCCGGGCAGCCAGCTGTTTTGCCCATCACGAAGCCGCCCTGGCTCCTCTGCTAAGATCGTTGCCTGCTGCGTTGCTGCGGCTGGACTGCAGCGTGGCAGCCCCGCTGGGCCAGGGCCTGGGAGCTGTTAACTCCTCTGGGCCCAGGCAGCCCCTGCCCCTCCCAGCCTGATCCCTTTGGCCTTCCTCCGACCGGCAACCTGCAGCAGTAGCCCGTTGCCACACTTCTAGAGACCCCCAAGCAGGCCAAGCATTACTGTCCCCACCCCCACTCAACAACTTCGAACCCAACCCGCAGCCCCTCCCCTCAACAGGGCCTTGTCCTCAGGTGACCCCAGGTGAGAGGAAGGTTCAAAAGGATAAATGATACCCCGTTCAGAATAATAAGAGGAATAGCTCTTATTAACTGTGTGCTGTGTGCCAGGCGTTGTGCTAAGTGCTTGAAATGCATCATCTAATTGAATTTTCACAACAACCTTGTGAAGTAGGGAATACCTTCATTTTATAGATGAGAACACCAGGGCATGCTGAAACTAAGTCACTAGCTCAAGCCCACACAGAACCGGGCTTTGAAACTCCAACCAGGTTGCCGGCCTCTCTGGCTGGCCCTGGTGGGTTGCTGTTTCAGCTTCCCTGAGTGTCTCACCCCAGGCTTTCTTTCTCTGGTCTAAACCTCAGTAGCGCCGTCTGTGAAATGGGAAGCTGACGGGTGGAATCACACCACCACCGGCTCCGTGGGCTGAGTCGGGAGCAGTGCCAGGCTCTGTGCTCAGCACCTTCCAAGTATTATTAGCGGATCATTCCTCTCGGTGGCAGCGGTCAGCCTGGGCTGAGATCCCAGGTTTCCTGCTTCCCGGCAGACTGGGTTTGGGCAAGGGAGTTTACCTCTCAGAATCTCCATATCCAAAGCTGGAAAATGGATATAAGAACAGTATCTACTGTCGATTTTTTGTGAAAAGGATGAGATAAAGCAGGTAAAGCGGTTGATCTGTACCTGACACAGCCAGAGTGGGTGGGAAATGTTACTCCTTCCTATTGTGACTATAAACCACAACCCGGGGACTTCCCTGGTGGTTCAGTGGCTAAGATTCCACTCTCCCAATGCAGGGGGCACAGGTTTGATCCCTGGGCAGAGAACTAGATGCCCATATGCCGCAGCTAAGACCCAGCACAGCCAAATAAGTAAATAAGGGCTTTCCTGGTGGCTCAGTGGTAAAGGATCTGCCTGCCAATACAGGAGACATGGGTTCAATCCCTGATCCATGAAGATCCGACATGCCTTGGAGCAAGCAACGAAGCCTGTGCGCCACAACTAGTGAGCCTGTGCACCCTGGAGCCTGAAGGAGCTCCACAATAAGAAAAGCCACTGCAATGAGAAGGCCATGCACCCCAGCTAGAGAGTAGCCCCCGCTTTCTGCAACTAGACAAAAGCCCGCACAGCAACGAAGACCCAGCGCAGCCAAAAATAGATTAATTTTTAAAAAGTCAATAAATAAATATTTTAAAAAATAAAATAGGGGACTTCTCTGGTGGTCCGGTGGCTAAGACTCCATGCTCCCAATGCAGGGGACCCAGGTTCAATCCCTGGTCAGGGAAATAGATCCCACATACTGCAACTAAAACCCAGCACAGTCAAATAAGTAAATAAAAGTAAATATAAAAAATAAATAAATAAACACAATCTGGAAGGATCTGAATGGCCCACCCACCATAGTGCACCCCCATGCCCAGCACGGAGCTGGCATGTTTGAGGGCTGTGTCATTTCTTGTGAATGCATGCACCCTGGTCCAGTGATACCCACACCCATCCAGGCACAGCAGGCTTTGAGAGGGGGCACCGTTGTCCCTATCACACAGTTACGGGGGTAGAGCAGTGGGAATCCCCAGGTGCCCGACTCTGAACTCATCCTGAGGCCGGAAACTGGCCTGTCGGGAAGGGCAGGAGAGAAAAGGGAACAGGGACAATCCCAGGGCTGAGACAGCCCAGAAGGTGACTGGACCGTGGTTGGGTGGGATCTCAGGGTCTGGGAACGACCCCTCAGGATGCAGTGACCCATGCTCTTCCCTTTTGTCCCCTCCCCCCTGCCCACCATGGGTCAGCTCCCTGGTCCCAGCCTAGACATCTGGAACTGGGACAGACAAAGGGCCGCGAGGAGGGACAATAACCTTCTGTCCATTTTCAGATGCCGGGCCGGGCCTGGCCAGGGCTGGGGGCCGGAGCCCCGGCAAGGCGGTGCCAGGCCCCCCGCGGGCAGCGGACAATGTTGGCAGTGATGGAGAGGAGGCATTTCAAAGCGTTTTGTTCCTGATGACCCCCTCCCCCCCAACATCTCGCCCCAGCTCAGGGTGAGGCCCCAGCCCCACCCCCAGTCACCCAGGCCCCTGCTCTGGGCGGCTTGGGGACCGGCCACATTCTTGACCTCAGGGGAAAAGTTTAGACTCTCTGCGCCCTGGGCAACAATAACAGTGTCACAGACCTGATTTAGGAGCAGCGCTTACCATCACAAAGCGGCAGACAAAGGGCCTGATCTGAGAACGCGCCGGGCCTCTGCGCCTACTCCTCCAACCTCTGTTCACTCCTCTCCCGGGCTCTGCCTGGGCAGGACTGGGTACCAGGGCCTGACCCTGGGCATAGAAAGCCAGAGCAGGACTCAGGAGTGAAGGAGAGGGATGGGGGATCCAACTGGGAATGAGGGAGCCTGAGAGCTTTCCTGAGAGTCCCTCTCCTCTCTGGGCCTCAGTTTCCCTCTCCGTAACCAGGTGGCTAAACTACAAGGCTGAAAGCAAGAGGCTCTGATCCTGCAGACAGGGGAGGTCTCTTTGATGATGATCAGGAAAAGGATTTCTCACTTCATTCTGGGCGCTTCACAGAAGCCAGGCACTGAGATCACTGACTGACCCCTTGCTACCTTAAGTCACCACTTCTTTTTCTTTTTTAAATGATGGAGACCACGCAGCAGCATCCTCTGCCTGTTATTCTCCCAAAGGAAGAGATGAATTATCAACAGCCAGTGGCAGTTGCAGAAACAACCCTCAGAGCAGGTTTCACACTTGAGAGAGAACGGTGAGCCTCTTCCTCGGGGTTTCTGGTGTTCGACAGGGTCAGAGAAACTTCTCTAGTAATGAACTATAGACGGGATTCCTGAAAGGAGAGTTTTTCATCCCCTTTGATCATTTAATCCTCACCAACCTCACAAAGCAGGTGTACCGTTAACCCTAGTTTGCAGTTGATAACTGAGGTTCAGAGAAGCTGAATCGCTTGTCCAAGGCCACACAGCTTGGAGGTTACAGAGACGAGGCGAGGCTGGTTCCCCTCTGATTATAGATTCTACTGTGGAGGGAAGGAGAGAAGGGCAACGAGGCAGCTGGACCCTGCTGAGTCCTGGGTGGGAGGGCCTCTCCTCCCAGCCAGAAGGCTATGAATAAATAAATGTCTGATTACTCCCAGGGGGAATTTCACCCTTGGAGCAGGTGCCTTTAAAAACTAGATTGATTCTCGTCTGTGAGCAGAGGTTGGCCTGGCCAGACACCCAGATGCAGGGGATTGGACACAATGACCTCTAGTGGAGACCTCCGAGTAATTAGAGGCAGGATAGGGGAACATTTGAAGGCTTAGGATGCTGGAGCCAGCCTGTGAGTTCGAATCCCAACTCTGACTTTTCCTAGCAGTGTGTCCACAGACAAGTGACTTCCACTTTCTGCGGCTCTGTTTTCCAGTCTGCAAAACTGCACCCACCTTCTAGGAGACCATTCAGGGAAGTACATGCAAGGCCTTGGAATGGCACCTGACTCAGTGAGGGCTGTCTGCTCCACAGGGCAGGACACCTAAAGGTGGGCACTCTGGGGACCCTGTGGCAGGCAGGCAGCTGTTGGCCTCGCTTTCCAGGGAGTGGTTGGGCTTTGATTACAGCATGAGACACTGTGGTTACACCCTGAGCTCTGAGGGGGCCCTGTGCTCTGGGATCTGAAAGGCCGAGGCCAACCATGGCGTCCGAGGGGCCATCAGAAGAGACTGTGGCTTCTCTGATGCCTGGGCAGGGGCTCTTGGGCCCCGGGCACAGTGCCTGGAGAGAGGATGGAAAGCGAAGGACACCCTGGGAGGTGCTGTCTGCAGTCTGCCCTCCCACTGCTCTCCCTGAAAAATCCAGAGGGACAAAACTATGTGGAAGGGCACGGTCAGGGACCCGTGCACGGCATCCACACGGCATCCACAGCACAAACAGTACTGCCCCTGGTGTCCTCAGGGGGCCTGGTGGGCTTGAGTTCCAACTCCGCCACCAGGATGAGTTGCTACCCTTCTCTGAGCTCATCCCAAAGGTTGTTTAGGATCCAGAGTGTTCAGAGGAGACCATCCCAGGAACCTCTGTGATTCCACAGGTCTAATCAAAAAGTTGGCTTGGAATCCAGGCGTCCTGCTCGCCAGACTCCAGCCCCTTCTGCCTCCCTTCATCCGCAGACTTCCGCTCCAGCTCCTCTAATCACACTTTGGCTCCTCTCACCAAACTATCAGTGCCACGTGCACTGCAAACAGAGGGCGAGACAGCCCGACAGAAACTGGCGCGGATTTCTGGGGATGCGTGGGGCTCCCGGGAGCCCCAACAAGGACAGCCTCCTGCTCCCTCACTGCCTGCTTGTGAGGCTAGAGGAACACTCACCTGTGGGGCAGAGCGTCTGTCTTGGGGTCCCCTCGGCCCGGGAGGCGGGTGGCGCTGCTGGAGCCGCCGTCTCTGGCACAAGGTGACTTCCCTACCCAGTTCCTGCTGCTGAGAAGGGCTGGTCAGGCAGGCCTTCAGGTGCCAGCCCGCCCTTCCTGGGCACAGATTTTCCTGGCATCTGCCGGGCAGGGAGGGCACTGGCTGAGGGCTGGGCCATGGGGCTGGGCAGGACTGAGGCAAAGGTGTTTCCTAGGGGGCTTGTCTGCGGTCCCTGAACCCACTCCTTCCCTGGACACTGTGGGCCAGGGGTCCAGGAAGCCTGGGCCCTTGGGAACCCGGAGAGGGTGATGGAGGAAGGCTGAGAGGAGCCCCAGGCCCCTGCCCCATCCTGCCCCCTGCATCCCTCCACACCCCCCGCCCCAGCAGGCCAGCAGGGCTCAGGCTGAGGTGTTTGTTTTTCCTGTCTTCACACTGACTCCATTCAGAGAGGCCTTTCTCCACCCCCGGCCAGTGGCCAGGGAGTCAGGGCACCAGGGAGAGAGATCACTGCCCCCACCCTGCTGTTTGCAACCCCCTCCTGGCATCTTCCCCTCAGGAATGGCAGCCTCCTTGAGGGCTTCCTGGTTTGGGGGGGTACTGCAGAACCTGGGGGGGGACTGGGCCGGGGGGGAGCCCACCCCAGAGAAGAGAAAAAGAGGGAAACCAAATGGAGACGAGGCGGTGGGGAAGAGGGCTGTGACGTGAGGTCAGGAAAGGAGAGAAGAGGGACAGGGCTGTGGGAGGGCCTGGCAGGGAGCAGGGCTCCTCGCAGGAGGCTCGGGCAGAGGTGGGTGGGGAGGGGGCACAGGGCCGGAGCGACGGGATAGGGGACCAGCACCTTGACCAGCTGACGCAGGGCCGCACGCCTGGCTCCGGGCCCTCAAGGCTGGGAGTTCCCGACTCCCACCTGAAGAGTAGCCTCTTCCTCATCCCTCGGCCCAGGGCCCCAGGCGGGGGGGTGGGGGCGGGCTGTGACCTGGTCTGGGGCCCCAGGGGAGGGAGGAGGGTGAAAAGTTTCCCTAAGTCAGAAGGCCACGGGGGATGCTTCTCAGGGGGGTCCTGCTCTTTGCTCCCTCTGACTGTCACGTTGGTACATAAAGGGGGTAGAAAGGTCAGATGCGGCCTTTCAGGCCCGTGGGAAAAACTCTGCCCATTTCCCTAATCCATATTTATTGGTGTGAGACACTGGGCTGGGAGGAAGCCCGCCGCCCCCACCCGTCGCCCCGGCCAGGCCAGGTTAGCACTAAGAACAGGCTCCATGTCACCCAAATCCTACTCTTTGTCTCCAGATTGGCTCCAGAGTCCTCCCCCTTCCCTCCTCCCCTTTGCTCCCCCTGCCACCACCCCCCCCTTTGGGGTTGCCAAGCAACCGTGGAAGGGTAGCTGAGATATTTTCTTTATTACAAGCAAAAGCAAGACAGCATCATGGCCCCAGGAGGGGAGTAGGCTGGGGGCTGTGCTCTGGGGGGACCTCGCTACCTCGGTCTGCTCCTGGGTGTGGGCAGTGGGGAGACAGGGCCTCAGAGCCCAAGAGAAAGCGGAAGGCGGAAGCGAGTGGTGGTGACTAGGCGGATGGGTGCACAAATGGGGACCCAGTCCACAGGACGCTGGAGGAAGCGGTGGAGCCCGGTGGCCCAGGGCTGAGCCCTCACCTGCCACCCACCGACTGTGCGTCCTGGGCTAAGTCACTTCCCTTCTCTGGGCCTAATTCTACCCTTTGATAAAATGAGAATAATAACGTGTATTATCTCATTTAATGCTTACATTAACCTCATGAACATTCATTCCCCTCCCCCTTTTAATGGCTTAGTAACCTGAGGCTCAGAGAGAATGGGATGTGTTTCCCAGGGAAATGGCAGAAAGTGAAGATTCTTGAGCCCCAACCGTTTTCTTAGCACCAGCTTTATTGTGATGTAACCCACATACCATACAATTTGCTCATTTAAAAATGTACAATTTGGGGACTTCCCTGGTGGTCCAGCGACTAAGAATCTGTCTTCCAATGCGGGGGATGCAGGTTCAATCCCTGGTCGGGGAGCTAAGATCCCACATGTCATGGGCCAACTAAGCCTGCACCGCAACTAAAGAGAAGCCCACACACCCCAACTAAAGAAGCCTGGGTGGTGCTCCAATGAAAGATGCCACATGCCACAACTAAGACCAGATGCAGCCAAATAAATACATATATTTTTTTAAATACATATTTTTAAAACACAAAATGTACAGTTTAATGGCTTTTAGTGTATTCAGAGTTGTGTGACCATCACCACAATCAACTTTCAAACCTATACATCACCCCAAAAGAAACCCCGTACCCATTAGTTTTCACTTCCTATTCCCCCCAAACTTCTCTACATCCCTAGGTGACCACTTTTTGTCTTCCGTCTCTGTGGATCTGCCTATTTTGAATATTTCCCTAAATGGAATCAGACAATATGTCTGAGTCCCAACTTTTAACTTCCAATGGCTCCAACATCACTGGGTGCTGGGGAAATAGAGGTGTCAGATGGTGGCTTGGCTAAGAACATGGCCTATGTTGACAGGCAGACTTGGGTCTAAACCTGGGCTCTGCACCTGGGGGCAGTCACTTCCTCTGTCTGGGCCTCCAGTTCCTAGCATGTACAATGGGAACACTAACAGTGTTCCTCACAAAGTCGTGGAGCCTTGAGAAGTGCTTAGCCCCAGGGGACTTCCCTGGTGGTCCAATGGCTAAGAGTGCACTCCTAATGCAGGGTGCCTAGGTTCCATCCTTGGTCAGGGAACTAGATCCCGCAGGTGGCAGCTAAGACCTGGTGCACCCAAATAAATAAATAAAAATAGATATTTTAAAAAGTGTTTAGCCTAGCACTTAGAACTTAATATATGGTTGTTTTGAACTAGATTATAATAACCATACATCCGCACCTCTATTAATATTTATCCCTTTATTAATAAAACTTAGCACCTTCTAAGAGTCAGGCATTCTAGGAGTTGGAGATAGAACAAGGAACAGGACATGATCCCTGTCCACACAGGGTTTACATTCTAGGGGAGAGACAAACTCGACAGTGGGTAAATAGCAGACTTTCGGGGAGGGCTACGCGTAATAAAGGGCTTCCCTGGTGGCTCACTGGTAAAGAGTCCGCCTGCCAATGCAGGTGATGTGGGTTCGATCCCTGATCTGGGAAGGTCCCGTGGAGAAGGAAATGAAAACCCACTCGAGTACTCTTGCCTGAGAAATCCCATGGACAGAGGAGCCTGGCGGGCTGCAGTCCATGGGGTCGCCAAAGAGCTGACTGAATGACAACAACGACAACGTGTGACAAAGACAACAGCACAGCGTGAGGGCATGAAGCAGCTCGGGGGAGGTAGCTACTTCAGTTTGGAAGGCTTCTCTCTCCTGCCTTTCCTCGTTTCATGGAGAAGAATGTCTTTTGTAAACTGAAATCTATTATGCAGGGTGGAGGGGTCCTGAGGATCCCCTCTGAGTGGGGCCAGTGGCCGGGCTGTGTCATCTTCTGAGACTGGGGATGTATCAGGCTGTCAATTCATTTCCAGGACAGGCCACTCAGACTGTCATCACGTAAGAACACTGGCTGCTCTTAGAGAACTCTGCACGGATGGGGCAGTAGGAGCCCCGAGCCGGCAAGGGCCTGGCCTGGGGAGGCTCACTGAGTCATCGCTGGGCTCTTTCCTCTCTCCCAGGCCACAGTGAAACCTGGACTGATGGGAGCATCTGGGGACAGGACTCCGGTGGGGGGACATATCTGGAGCAGAGATGCAGCCTGACTGACCTGTGGCCACAGCTGCTTCCAGAGCACCTGCCTGCCAAGCTCTGGTCCTGAGCCTGCCTCAGAGCACAGAATCGCGGCTGCAGCGTGAAGGAAGCCCCCTTGAGTAAGCCCCCGCGGCAGTGCCCCCAGCTCCACACTTAGAACCTCAGCTGAGTGGCTATATTATGCACCCACAGTCAATTCCTTATTCACTTTATCTTCCATTCAGCTGTCCCAATGTCTGTTTTCTCATCCGTCTATCTGTCTGTCCATCCACCCATTCACTGAAGTACAACTCCTATAAAGCATTCACCCATTCATTCAACGATTCGATTACTTGAGCATATCCTTTGTGCTGGGCACATTGTCTGGTTTAGTCCTTGGTCAGATGCCAGTCCAGTCCTGGTAGGAAAGGCATGCCTAGCTGGCAGTGTGGGTGACTCTGCCACCTTCTTCCTGAGAGTTGGTCTTTCTTAATAAGGGAGAAGGGAGAGAGCAGAGACTGGGAAGACTTGCATACACACTTGAGCCTGAATGTGAATGTGCGTGTATGCGTGTGTTAAAAAATAACGATAAAACCTGATTGCAAGCACATGCAAGGCATATATGGACTTTCCCAACACTGTGACCATCTAACCATCTCTAGGGAAGCAGAACAGGAGTGATGACCCCATTTCACAGAGGCAACAGCTAAGGTTCAGTCTGTCAGAATTCACTTGCCTGGAGGTGCAAGGCAATGCTGCCTCTCCCAGACATTGGCTCACATCCTCCCTATTGGGAGAATCAGTTAGTTCTGTACAGTCACAGAGGATTTTGCTAAAACTTCAGTTAAAGGGTTTTCCTGTGGCCCTCATCCTTTCACTGGGGCTGGTTCCTTTCTGCGTGCCTGTCTGTCTGTCCACTGGATGGAGATACTTCTGGACAGGCAATGTCAAACTCTGTTCGTCTTCCCCTTCCCCCTCCTCCCAGGTACTGGCATACACATAGTACAGATGTTCCCCAAATGTGACTCACTGCCAAGTGACCTGAGGTCTCCCGGACCGTTAAGAACCAGGGGGCGGGGGGTGGGTGCTTTGCTCTGCCATCACCTAAGCCCAACGCCCCCACCAGCTCTCACCTGCAAACCATCAGTAGCCTGACTGGTCTCCGTTGTAGGCCAGCTTGCCTCTATATTCCGCCCCCCTCCCCCTGACTTGCTACACTTCAGAGTCAGCAAACCTTTGAATATGGAAATCTGAACTTCTCAGACCTTCCAGGATCCCCACTGCGTTTAGGGTAAAATCACGGAGCCTGCCAGCATCCTTCAGGGCCCTTCGGGGTCAATCCCGCCTCTAACGCTACTTCCCCTTCACGTTCCAGCCATGCCAGAGCTCTTTCCCTCCCAGAACTCCCCAAGTTCTTTTTTGCCTGTTGGCTTTGGAGGTGCCCGTCCCTCCTCCTCGGTGCCCGCCCGCCTTCACCTTGCTGGCCTCTCCTCTCTTGCGGGTGCTCTCCTTTCCTGGTGCTCTCCTCCGCTGGGCATCTCCTCCAGGGACGTCTGCCCACGGCTGAGTCCCCGCCTAGCACACAGTAGGCAGGCTATAAATATCTCTTCAGTGACTGGCGGGAGGACCCTTCAAGGCTCCTTCGTTTCCCTGAGGGTGAGGGGAACTGACCCTCCTCTTTCCAGCACTGACTTAAGTAGCTCTGACGGACACCCGTGCAGACACCCCTCTCGTCCTCTCTGTCAAGGTTGTGTTTTGCCAGACTCGTCTGGGGCTCGGCCTGGATTATAATTCATGAACAGACACAGGGTGCCTCCTGGGTTTCAGTTCTGAGTATGCACTTACGCAAGTCCTCTCCATATCTTCTGGGGCATCCATATCTCACATCAAGGGTGGGAATCTATGGTGGGAGTCGGCTTCCAGTTCTGGCTCTGTCACCTGCCACTGGGGACAAGGGACTTAGCTAGCCACCAACCTCAGTTTCTTCATCTGTAAAATGGGGCTGCTAACAGTGCCTACTTCCCAGGGTCGTTGTGAGGAGTCAACAGGTTCCTACCTTTAAGGTGCTTAATGCTTGGTACTTAAGGCACTTGTCACAGTTATGATTATCAGATGGAGCATTCCCAGGGAGTTAGGACCTGATAAGCAGGGCTCCCTCTCTATAAAAACTCAATTTCAAGTATTACTCATCAGAAGCCTTTTTCCTCAACTTCCTTAAGAAATTCCAAGAAGTTCATGGGGTTCGTGTTGAAGTCAGCGATGGCTGTTCAGTGATTGGCTGCGGACAGGGCACTGTACTAGGCTCCCAATGCAAAAAGATCAGGAAGACCTACTTCCTGTTCCAGTGAGGAAACAGACCCACGGAGACTCACAGTTGAGTGGTGGCCCACGGAGTGAGCAGAGGAGGGGATTTCAGTGGCAGGAGCAAGGCTGCTTTGGTGCCTGGGGAACCCTGGGGTACATGGAGAGCGGAAAGGGAAGAATGGCCAGGCGTGAGCTCTGCGGGTCAGGAACTGGCTCTACAGACCTGTAGACTGAGAGCCTTCTCTGCACTAGACCTGGCTGGGCTGGGCTGGGGTAGGCTCATATCAGACCTAGACAGAGCCCCTGCCCTCCTGGACCAGAGTGGCTGTCCAGTGGAAGAGACAATGACCAGACAAGAATGAATAGATTCCACGCCCCTCTCACACCCTCCTGCTCCGCCACCCCACCCCCACATCCCTGGCAGAGCTGAGATATCCAGGAGCCCGCCAGGAGGTATCCTGGGAGTAAGCTCTTGTCCTTGGCCTGAGTCTCAGGACCCCTAGCAGGGGTGTGGTCTCTGGAGATGGTATCTTCAGCCAGGGGGGCTTGAGACTGCATCTCCCCTCCCTTATCCGGCAGCACAGCCTTTTAAGGGGGTGACCCGCTGACCTCTATACTGTTTCCCCTCACCCTCCAGCTCTAAGTCCCTGGGGCAGGAGCTTAAGGCAGGAGGGCTCCGAAGGCCTCAGGTTTAATGCAGATGTGTGTGTGTGGGGGGGTGGCGCAGGATTGAGCCTTCAAATTCTGGGGTCCCCTGGGCACTCTTGGGGAGCTCAGTCAAGGTCAGGGGCCTAAGTTAGGTGCATGGGAGTGCAGGGCCGAGATGCGGGTGCCCGGCCCAGGAGAGGGAGGGGGCGATGGGCAAAGAGTTCAGGCGAGGGAGCAGGCGGGGCACTGGGAGTCTAGGATGCAGGATGGGGGTGGGAGGGCGAGGGGGTCCTGCCGGTGCAGGGGTGGGGGGTGGCCCCCGGGGAGGGGCACGCTATGTCTTTAAGAGCTGCCTGAGCGCAGGTTGCAGCTGCCTGGCCAGCCCGAGAGACAGCGGAGATTCATTACCCGCCGACACAATGACCATTGATGGCCCCGTGGCGTTATTCAAATCCAGTACCAATTGCAGCCGAGCCCCTTTCTCCGCGCCAGGCCCGTATTGTTGGAGCGGCCCACTAAAAGCCCGCCCCGGCCCCGAGCCGCCAGAGGCGCCCGCTCGGGCTCAGCCCTGCGCCTCGCCAGCCCGCCGGCTCCCAGCCCGGCTCCCCGGGCGCTGCAGGTGACCCGGCGGCGCATTCCAGAGCTCCCCGCCGTCCCAGCCACCGCCGCCGCTGCCACCGCCGGCGCCCCGGCCGCGACTCAGACACAGGGAGGGAGAGCGCCCGAGCCGGTGCGTGCGCGGGGCTGGGCGGGGGCGGGAGACCCACCGGTGCAGCAGCCCCGACCCCGGGTTCGGAAACGCGACCCCGCCTCGGTCCCGTTTTTCGGATTCCCAGCGAACCCAGGGAGCTCAGGCTGGGGGCGGGGAGAGGGGAGTCGGGGTTCCCCGGGCCTGACACAGGAGGCTCCCCCGACCTGGGGCGGCGCAGAGACCCAGCGCGGGCTACTCTAGGGACCCCGGGCCGCGATCGAAGGAGACGCACGCCGGGGGAGACGGGGATCCCCACGCAGGGTCGGGATCCGCATGCTTGCTCGTCCACCTTACCGCGGGATGGGCCGCGACCGCCGAGCGTCTGCGAGGTCCGCGCAGCTCCGGAGATCTGGTCCGGTGCTTTACAGGAGCGAAGCGGAACCCCGCAGGAGACCGGGGCCCTGAACTCAGGGGCTTCGCCACTGATTGTCCAAACGCAATTCTTGTACGAGTCTGCGGCCAACCGAGAATTGTGGCTGGACATCTGTGGCTGAGCTCTGGGAGCGACAGGGGCGGGAGCCGCAGGGAATCAAGCTCGGCGCGGGCGAGACCCCTCGGGTGGCGGCTGGCTGGCCCCAACGCGAGGATCGCGGCCCCGGCCGGGCGCGCAAAGGAGGGACGCCGGTCCCTGTCACCAGCGCCGCCATCCTCCTCTCTTCGTCGTCGTCCTCGTTCTCCTCCTCCTCTGCGGGTGACCAGTCCTGGCTGGCGGGGTCCTCCAGCCGATAGCGTCGTTTCCCCCTTTTTCAAATTTCGGCCGGGAACGAAGCTGGCACGACGCGGCGTGGCCCAATTGTGGTCGGGAGAGCTCGTCCTCGGCCGGAGCCGCAGGAAGTCGGGGGCGAAAGGAGATGCCGGCGGACTGCGCTTGCTAACTCGTTTTGAATTGATTCTAACCTAGCCTCCCCTGCCAATACCCCCCAAAAAAGCCTGAACCGACCCCTAAATCCCCAATAAACCGACCCTTCCCGCCAGCTCCTCCAGACCGACCGATGGTCTGAGCTTCCTCCGGCTGATGCTGGAGTCGGAGAAGCGTCCAGAACGATGCGCTCCAGCCGGGCAATCGCTTCGGCTTGGGAAACAGAACTTGGAAAACGAATCCTTTTCATTAAAGACAAATCTTCTGAGATAGTGGGGTTTATTTGTTTATTTCCTCAAAAGTGGTTTCAGGAGTTACCTTGGCAGGGGGGCAACTGGGTGGTGTTGGGTCTGAGCCCGGGTCATCCATCCCTGACCCTTAACGTGCTCAAGCTGGAAAATGACCCCAAATGCTGTGGAGTGTGGCCCTGGCCAGCTTCAGGGCACCCCTCCTTGCGTGGAGAACCTGCTTTCCCCAGCAGCGCGTCTTCCTGCCCTACTCCTCAGCAGTAATGCACTAACTGGGGCGCTGGGGAGGAATGGCTAGCCCGTTTCTACCCTGCTCTCCCCAGTGCAAGCAGGAAAGGAATCCTCTCACCCAGTTTCCAGGACTTGGAATGCTGTGGAGGGTGGGGTAGGGAGTGGGTAACGGGGGCACTGTAAAGCCCAGCGGGGCTGAAGTCCTCCCCTCCCTGGAGGAAGGGACTTCCAGGTTACAAGAAGCCAGACAGGCTGATCCTTAAAGTGAGGCTGTCCCTTGCCCTGTTGCTTAACATGGAGACCCTGACCTCAGCACCTAGAGCGGCTTGTCACACAGCCTCTCCCTCGACAGGCACCTGCACCCACAGCCTCAACATGGCTACCCCCCAACCCACACACACACCCAGAGGGCCTTCCTCCACCTGCAGCAGTGCCAGGGAGCAGCTCACCAGCCAGGGGGTCATCTGTCCCCAAGGCCTTGAGACAGCACAGCCCCTAGCACTGCTAGGGCAACTGTTCGGCACTTCTGTCTCACTGCAGAGTGAGAGCAGTTCCACCTTAAATTATTAACATTTAGTGAAAAGCAATGTTTGGGGCGGGATGATGTTAATGCCCTGTTCCCCCCCCACCCCCAGGTCTCCCTCCAGCAAACAAAGCTTTTTCTCCAGGTCATGGGAAGTGGGGCTCAGCAGTCTTAACTATGCCTCCTCCGTTCTGAGGCTGCTGGCTGCGGCTTGTGGGACAAAGCCTGTCCTCGGACAGACGGGTAGGGAAGTGTCCTGGGACCCAGACTGGTCAGCAGAGACAGGCCCTGCCACCCCTTCTCCAGATGGCCCAACCATATCATCCCTTCTCAGTGTCTGGATAGTCTGGGTTTCAAGTCCTACTCTTTTTTGGGTGAAGGGCAGTTCTGAAAGCCCTGGGGTGAGGACAGGGAGGGTGGGACCAGAGAAGAGACTGCCAGCTGGGGGAACGTGGGGTCCCATCAGTTTCGGTTTCTAAGGATGAAGTTCCAGGCAAGGCCAGTAAACAACTTAGTCTTTAATTTGCCCAAGGCCAGCTGTTCCAGGCACTGAGGCCCCAAGACTTCCAGAAGGGATGGGGGTGGGGGGAGTCACCCTGCCTCCCAGGTGCTGCCTGACCCATCCTGCTTCCTGCAGGAGACAGGAGAGTAGATAAAGTGTGCCCTTGCACCATCAAGTATCTCAATTTTGTATGTGTGTCAGTCACTCAGTGGTATCCGACTCTTTCGACCCCATGGACTGTAGCCCACCAGGCTCCTCTGTCCAAGGGATTCTCCAGGCAAGAATACTGGAGAGGGCTGCCATTTCCTTCTCCAGGGGATCTTCCCAACCCAGGGATCGAACCCACATTTCCTGCATTGCAGGTGGATTCTTTACTGTCTGAGCACCAGGGAAGTCCCCTCAGTTTTCAGATATAAAAAGTCCATTGTCGTTGGGGAGGAAACTGAGGCACATAGACCCCCTCCCAGGCCTCTATTTGCCAGTCCAAGGCCTACTGTACACCCTCCCGCTCTCCACCCCCAGCGGAATGAGCTGCACACAAGGCAGCCTTTTGCCTTGGGGGTGGGGAGGGTCTCAGGAGCCCATCTGGTGGCCTGTGTGGGGGGAGGCTGACCAGGGTCAAGGGCTGTGGGTGGGGGAGCAGGAGGAGGGGTGTGGTTGGAGGAGCAGCTGCTGTGTGTGTGTTGGGGGGGGGCGGTCGGTGCTGAATAGGGGACCCCAGCTGGGGTTCCATAATGATATCAATGGGGGACAGGCAGAGCCCTCTGCTGTCCAGATGGGGAAACTGAGGCGGAGGCTCCTCCCTGCTTTGAGAGGGGAGGGGCCTGCCGTCAGCTAGTGAGGTTCATTCCTCTTCCCCAGGAAGGCACCGCAGCCCAGGAGTGGCAGTGCCTCGTCAGCAGTCACTCAGGGAGACACAAGGAGGGACAGCAGCTGGTCACCTGGCCGCACAGAGTGGCACCGGCCACGCAGAGGGGCACCCTCCCCCACCTCAGCTGCTGGGAGGAGGAGTGCCGGCTCGGGCGCCTGCCTTCCCCTGCTCACGTGCCTGAGAAAGGCTCATTTTTAGCACCTGGCCTCTTTTCCCTGCCTGGAGGGAGCTCAAGGGACAAAGTAGGGAAGAAAGCAGCCAAGGGGGACAGGAAGATCTGGAAGTAGGGCCCCAGGGGACTGCCTGATTCTTCTGCTCTCCCCACCCCAAGGGGGCCTGGCACGGAGAGGGGCCCTTAGCCGCCGTGCAGCGTGGAGATGAAGAGGACGCTGTCTTGGTCCTGAAGCTGGTAGTCCAGCTCACCCTGGTCCAGGAGAGAAATAAGAAGATTGTCAAGGGCACTTTTCCAGTTTCTCCCCGGGGTGTTGAGAGGGGAAGTGGGGGGCAGGGGCTAGCTGCTTTGAGACGGGAAGACAGAATCTACCAGAAAGAAGTGGGTACCCTATTTGTTAACTAGCAAACCTCCAGGATGGAGGGCAGCTCACGACTTCCCCAGCGACCCACGCCTTCCTCATTCAGGGTGGGAGGCTTGAGAAGCCACAGTCTGGACGCCAGGTTTGGAAAGAGGGTGACCCACCACTCTGTTTGGGCCTGATGAAAGGTCCAAGGCTTTCCTACCACAGTGGTGGGTTGGGGAAGGGTTGAGGGAGGGTTGCTCCCCGAGGTACTGACCAGCAGTTCCCAGTCCGCATCGTTAACCAGCACCAGAATCCCTGGCCGCCTGTGGGAAAGAGGGTGGTGAGTAGCAGGGCGTGGATGGCAGGAGCTGGCAAGAGCAGGGGCAGAAGCTTAGATGTTTGGGCTGCAGAGTCTAAGGGGTAAGGGGGGAGCCTTTTCTCTGGAGGGTTCCGGCAGAGAACATCCAGGGAGAGGAGGCGATAGGCAAGTCTGAGGGCTGGATAGAACACATGTGCAAATTCCATTGCCACCTCCCAGATCTGAGGCAGATTCTTTCATTTCCCTGAGCATCAGTTTCTTCATCTGAAAACAGGGTAAATCATAAGTGTCTTCCTCACAAGTTCCCCGGGACGGATGAAGTGGGATGTCACGTGGGAGCTGACATGGACCCACTGGCAGCAGCCTATCCTTCCAGGGGTCTAACCTCACTGTCCCAGGCCTCCCGCATGTGCATCCTGGGGAGGGGGCCATCTCGGCTGCTATGAATCAGGGAAGGCTGCCATGGCCCCCGAGCCCCTGACCACCTGAGAGCCGCCCTGCCTGGAGCAAAGCAGGGTAGAACGCTATCCGGACAGGCACCTTAACCTGGTTCCTGCTGGCAAGGACCCAAAGAGCACTGCTGTCCTTGGGGGTGGCCGCCACAGCTGCCGGACCACAGCCTGGGCTCCAGGCCCAGGGCCTGCTGGCGAACCTCTGCTGCCAGGCAGAGGGACAGGTCCCACAGGTGCCCTGCCCGCTTCTGTGACGTGTGAGGATGGCCTTGGTGTAGGGGTAAAGTGCCTTCTTGGCACACAGAACCTGGATCCTTTCCCAGGAGGCTGAGCTGGGCCTGGGACAGACACAGAAGCTTTGGGCCAGGCGAGGGGTGTCCTCAAGTGAGCACAAATGCGCACATGTGTGCGCATGCATGCAGTGACCCCCTGTAACCTGAGACCTGCATTGTACAGCTCAGTATCTGAGGCACACTTCAATTTAATTTCCATTCAGGGAAAACTGAACACTTGGTTCCTCAGTCATACTAGCAACATTTCGAGGGTTCAGTATCCTCAACGCCTAGCAGCTACCACACCGGACAGCAGAGAGAGAACATTTCCATCATTGCAGGAAGTTCTATGGGAGGGCACTGTCTATCCCAGGTTGTCAAAGAATGAGAGAGACTTTGGGGAGCATCTTTTCTCAGTGCTGCCTGTACAAAGAGCGCAGCTGAGCCCAGAGTAGGGAAGTCACTTGAGCAAGGTTCTTTGGCAAGTTTGTGGCATCCAGAAGGCAGGACCTAAGTTTTTGGGGTTTTTTTTTGGTAAATTTACCAATCTCCTGACCCGGACTTTGGGAAAAAAAACCCCCAACAGTCCGATGTAGTAACAAGAAAACTGAAATAAACTTCAACAGAGTTGGGCAGAAGCAGTCTTTCCTTGGAGGGCTAAGAGGAGATAAAGGGGAGAGGAGGACCTGGAGGAGGCAGAGTCTGAACCAAGGCCAGGGGTTCAAACCTCCTTCCCTCAGCCCGCCCTCCTTGGGGAAGGGAAGAAAGGGACTCACACGCTATCTCCTTGGATGAACAGCTCTGGCCGCTCTTTTAGCAAATTCTTCTTGATCCAGACAAGGAGGCTTCGGATGTCCCCTGGAGAGGAAGGCACAGAACAAAACTAATGTCAAATTCAAGTGCTTTCTGGCCCTGAGGGCCTTGCCTGGAGCAGGAAGTGAACCTGGGGCTCAGAGGGCCTCTTTTAGACCTGGCTGTCAGGGCGCCTGGACCTGTGGTTTCCAAGGTGAGGAAATGGACTTGGAGAGACCAGACAGGTCTTCTCAGAGACAGTGGCACCTGGCATTGCTGAAAGCTGGAAGAAGAGGTAGCGGGGACTCAAGGTGGACAGTGGGAGGAACAGTCACGTCTGAAAGGGTAGACACACTCACGAGGCCTAGGAGATGGTCTGACACTGCCAGGGGCAGGCTTCTCAGAGAGCTCCTCCACCTCTAGCTCCCCAGCCAGTCCCAGATGGGGAGCATTTGGCTTTGCTCTTGGAAGGTCTGCATATATTTCCCTTTGTGAGGGAAGAAAAACAATTGCTGAGCCGATAACATCAGTTAATTTCCTCTGGCAGGAGAGAAGGATCCTTCACTAGCCAGAGATGCTGACAAATCACAGTCCCTCCGCTCCCCCTTTGCAGAGCCCTCCAGGTCAGGGGCAGCTACCCTGAGGAAGCGAGAGGCTGAGGGTCGACAGGGCCTCTCCTACTTGGCTGGACACTGAGACCTGCCTCTGTGTAGTTCTGGGGCAGCCACTAAGCTCTGCCCCTCATCTGGAGGCTAGGGGCCACATGTCCCCAGGGCCACCTCTCCTTTTCTGAGGGCCAGGTCCCAGGCCACGCACACTATCACCCCCTCGAAGGCTTTGGCTCTCAATGATCCACTCCTCAAGCAGAGCATCTCCGAGGCTGCAGGAGTTTTCTCTCCCTGAGAGGACAGCTAGTCTCTGGGAAGCCAGCAGGGGGCTGGAGGTTAGCCATGCCCCTCCTGAGTCAGTCTCAGAGGGGGCTGCTGTCCTGGGCCTATGTCAAGGCAAAGGCCAGGGTTTCAGCTGGAGAAGCGCCCACGCAGTGCCTTGGTTTCCCTGGCTGAAGGCGGACTTCCAGCACGCAGGCCAGGAAGGGGCCCAGCTATCCCCAGGCTAGGCCCAGTGCGTGTTACCCACAGCACCAGCCTCGGGCAGGGTTTTAAGGCACTCTCACGAGCCTGCCTGCCACCCCCTCCGGAGGCAGGCAGGCCACACCCTGGAAGGCCCGGTTCCCTCTGCCCTGTGCCAGCCCCCCTGGACCGTCGGCCAGCAGAGCACAGGGCCGTGGGCAGCGGCCACGGGCTGAGCCTGCGCCTTTCCATTTCAATTCCTGCTTTTAAACAAAGCCCACCCGAGTCCTCAGGGTCCCTGGAGCGGGCAGGGATGGGGCGTGCTGCCTCCAAGTAGCTGTAGTTCATTTCGACTCCTGGCTGGCTTCCTCCCTGAGGCCTGGGTTTCAGAGGTTTCCCTGTGGCCTCCATCTTGGCACTGTCTGGTGGGCCGCCAGCCCATACATCTTGTGGCCGCTCGATAGAGCTGCCGGGGTCTGACACATCCGTCAGCCAGCCCCAGCGGGCGGGGCTCTGCCTGTGTGTGCCGGGCTCGGAGGGCCTGGGCAGGGCCTGGCCTGAGGGCCACCAGCTGCACCTCCACAGCCCCCACTGGCCTGTTTCGAACCAGGACTCCCTGGGTCACCGCCCCGGCTCTCTCTAAGCAGGGACCTGTGCTCCGCTCTCGTGGGCTGGGGGCGGCAGGGAGAAATAATGGTCATGTCGGGGTCATCCCAGTGACGGCAGCGTCATGGCGTCCCCAAAGGCTGGGCCGAGGGGCGTCTGCTGCGGGTGCTAGCTCATTTATCATGATGCTCCTCTTTGCTGAGGTCATTCCCTCCCTCCTCTGCGCCCCCCAGGCCTGCTCACATTCTTGATAGCCTGTTACCATGGTGAGGCCACCGCATCACCACCCGTATTGTTCCCCCATGCCTGGATCTGGGGGTGGGGAGAGGTGGAACTCCCGACTCCCTGCGCAGGCTGCAAGGGCCACTTGGCCTGGCCTGAAACACACCCCCAGGGACATCTTGCTAGGCTTGCTGAGGCCCAGACAATATGCAAATAGCCTCCAAGCCAGATGGTCGGCTTCCAAAGGCGCCCAGGGGAGGAGGAAGGGTTAAGCAGAGTCAGGGGCTGGTGGTGGCTTGGGGATGGCTCCGGGAACCTCACTGTCACCTTCCCTCTCTGCGTCCTCCTGCCTTCTGTGGCTTCCCATGGTAGCTGCCCTCCAGGGATCCCAGGAAATTGCTCGGGAGACAAATATTTACTGAGCAGCTACTATGTGCCAGGTGCCGCGGAGATGGCGGAGAACAAGATGGACACAGAACCTGCCCATGTGGAACCACACGCCATCAGGGGAGGTGGACGGTACTTCATTAGTCGTGACAAATGCGTTCTCCTTTGTGTGGGAGCCGGATGAGTTTTTCTGAGGGTGTTCACATTGAAGCTGAGGCCCCAAGGATGAGTTGGGTGGGATGGGGGGAGCATGCCAGGCAGAAGGAAGACCATATGGGAAGACCTGAGGCAGGCTGGAACTGGCAGATTCAAGGTGACAGAACTGAGAAGGCTGGAAGGTCAGCACTAGATGCAGCCAGGGAGGCAGCCTTGGCTGGACTACGCAGGGCGTGCGGGGGCCTTGAGAAGGGGCTGCTGGGGAAGAGGGCCCCCTTCTCGGGAGCCTGAGCCCTAGCACACAGCACAGAACCTCCCACACAAAGCGCCCTGGACATGTTTACTGAGCACATGGGTCTGAGTTCAGCTGCATCATTTCCTAGTTAAATGACCTTGGGTAAGGAACTCTCTGTAGCTTCCTTCTTTGTAAAATGGGAATGGTAAAAATGCCTCTGAGGGGTGTTGTGAGGCTCAAATAAGATGATCCATGGAAAGCTCTTGGCACTATGCCTGGCATAGCGATGCTGTAATTCTTCTGTGAGCCAGAGGAAGAACCCTTCAGTTTCTCCTGCTGCCCCCTTTAGATGTTTAGACTCCTCAGAGGCTCCCTGGACAGCGCTGGTGGAAGGACTCATGCTGAGGGCACGCGGCACTAGGGCAGGGAGATGAGCACCCCAACCCCATGTCAGGTTTCCTGTGCAGGAGGCCTCGGGACCTGGCCTGCCCACTGTGGGAAGAGCAAGTAATGGGGCTGCTGCTCTCGTGGTGGAGCGGTTATGAGTCTGGGTTCTGGAGCTGGAAGGCCCTGGGGTGTGCGCTAGATGGCCCTGGGTGGAAGTCACTTCGCCTAAGTCTCAGGGCCATCCTTGGACAAGGGGGGGATAATAACCCAGCTCTTGAAGCCAGTGGCAGGCCTAGCACGGTGTCAGACAAGACAAATGTCCCTGTTCCTGCGGTGATTCAGGATTCTTTATCCCGGGGGCTGCAAAAACGTTTCCCTAAAGGCCGCTGGGAAAGGGCACCATGCGTACCCCTCTTAGACCTACAAAGGCTCCCACCAGAATCCCATGTCCCAGTGGATCTGTCCTTGTCTGGGGATGACAACCACCCACTGTGGCGCCTCCCAGTGGTGTCAACTGAACTTCCGGTCTCATCTGATCTCGCACAGCCGACCCTCATCCAACCTCTTCTTGCAAGACTTCCAGGGAGAGCTTTTCTCCCAGCCTGAAATCTGGCTTCCGGTCCCTCCCACCCACAGAGCCTAGCTGGGCCTGGGGACCACCACGCCAACGATGCAGACTCGGGAGAGCCAGTCCCCTGAGGCTTCTCTCCCCCAGGTTAAGTGGCTCTGGTCCCCACTGAGTCCACCAGGCTCCAGGATAGGATCCTCTGGGAGTCCACCCCAGGCCTCAGCTGAAAGGGGAGAAGAAAGAGCTGGGGTGGGGGGAGAAGAGAAGAGAGGGTAGAGGGAACATCAGAGGGTCCATTTACAAGTGAATGGGGGTAAGAAAGGAGCAGTTTGTGGGCTAAACTGGCCTCAGAAGGAGGTTTACAGATGTGCGAGGGGACGCTCCTCATTGTTTAATTAAGCAGAAAGTGGATCTTTTCAAAAGCAATTTTGCACAGGGACTGGGAGGGGTGAGGGGGAGAGGAGGGTGGTGGGGAGGGGATCAGCAAACAGGCCCCAGAGCGGAGAAAGGAACAGCTGGCCCCAGAGAGGCTGTGAAATGCATGCTAAGCAGTTTAAAGCGCCTGGGAGCTCCCGAGCTGCCCCTGCCTCCCGCGCCAGCCTCCCTTCAATACAAAGGCAGGGCTGAGGAGCAGGGGAAGGTGAGGCACAGTCTCTTCCTGGGACAGGGGCAGGTAAGGCCCAGGCCGGGACCATCAAGGTTTGGGATTTGCTCCAGGCCCCTGACCAACCCTGGTCTGCGAGCCTTGAGTTGAAAGCATCCTTGATGCATTAAAAACCAGCTCTTAGTGGCCAGGGCCCAAAGCCGGTGGGTGCCTCCCAAACTCGGCCACTCAAAAGCCTGTTCCGTGGAGGTGGCTGTTAAGAATCCCCACCTCCCTGCACAGGCAGCTGCTCACTGGATCAATGCACCCTGCCTCCCAGAACCATGCGCTTAGATCTGGAAGCAACTTTTCCAAACTGCAGGTGTCAAACTAATAACCAACTCGTGCGTGCTCGTACTTGGTCGTGTCCGATTCTTTGTGACCCCATGAACAGCAGCCCGCCAGGCTCCTCTGTCCATGGGATTTCCCCGGTAAGAATACTGGAGTGGGGTGCTATTTCCTTCTCAAGGGGATATTCCCAAGCCAGGGACTGAACCCACGTCTCCTGCACTGGCGGGCAGATTTTTTATCAATGAGCCACCTGGGAAGCCCAATAATTAGCTCAAGACAGACTAAATCGAGTCCAACCTCCTGCGTTACAGGTGGGATAAGAGGCCTGCAGAAATAACTAATTTGCCAGCACATGCTGCCAGGGTGCCTCTCTCGCCATCTCACCCTCTTTGGCATTTCCCAGCCTCTCATTCCAAGTTGGCCGGGTTGGAAGCTCTCTGCTGGCCCAGGACCCAGGGCCCTGGAGTCCCCTTGTTTGCGAGACTTGTCACAATCCATAATCTTACGGCCGCTGTTTTCTCTGCTGGAGTCTCCAAGACCTGCTTGGCCAAGTGGCAGCCCCTGGGCTGGGAAGGCTGCCAGATGGCAGATCTGGGCATGGGCTTGGGGAGCAGTGAGGCTCTCCCCGTGGCACCAGGCCCTTGCCCTCCTGTTGGGCTCCGTGTGCCAGGGTAAGACCTGGTGGCTGCCAACCAGCTCTGCCGCTGTGATGTGACCCACGCCTCTGGGCACAGCAGGGCACAAGTGGGAGCCAGAGGTAAAGACCCACAGCCAAGGGCCCAGAACTAAGCACGTGGGCCACTTCCGCTAGCCTCCCTTCCTTCCATTTCATCCCAGAGAGGGGAGGACAGCCCCCTAGCTGCCCCCGAGGCAGTAGATGAGGGATCCAAAACCTGGGTCTTAGGGACTTCCCTGGTGGTCCATTGGTTTAAGACTCCACGTTTCCAATGGAGGGGGCTTGGGTTTGATCCTTGGTTGAAGAACTAGGGTTCCACATGCCATGCAGTATGGCCAAAAGATAAAATAAAAACAAAACAAACCTAGGTCTTAGCCAGCTTCCCTACTTGAGTAACTCTGGACAGGTCACTCTCTCTCTCTGTGAGGTTTGGTTTCCTTGTCGATAGATAGTATATACTGGGGTCATCATGAAAACTGGGATCAGTAACTGCTGGAGGCACGGAAGTGTGAAAACTGGAGAATATCCTGCAGGTCTGAGACGTGATGTGGTTTGGGGAAGTTCTTGGGATAAATGCTGATGGGATAGTGGTACCCTGCAGGATGCGGTGACCCTGACATTGGCTTCTGAATCCCAACTCTTCCATGGCAAGAGCGCATGGTCGGGGGTAAGACCTTGGACATCTCTGGGTTTGGGTTTCCACTGTTTTTTTGGGGGGCGGTTCCACTTTTTAAAGTGGAAGTAATGATAGTTACCACCTAGGAATCTGTGACAATTACTTGTACCACCCTCTGGGTTCTGCCGACCCTGCCAAACTCAGCCTGTGCCCGGGGACACTGGCCTTCCCTTGGGTCCCTGACCACAAGGCCTTCTGCCTGGGGGCTTCACAAGTGCCGTACTCTCTACTTGGAATGGGCCCCACACACCTCTGCTCTCCCTCCAGTTTGTTAGGCTGGCTTCCTTCCATTCCTCAGGGCTTTAGCCTCAAAGTCTTCTCTCTCTTTTTCTGTGCCGTGCAGCATGCAGGATCTCAGTTCCTGGACCAGGGACTGAACCCGGGCCATGGCACAGAATGTTCGGATTCCTAGCCACTAGGGCACCAGGGAATTCCCTCAAAGACACTTCTCTAAAGAGGCCTTCCCTTACCACCCTGTTGTCTCCTTCAAAGCAGCCTTTTGTTCTGATGCCAGTGAAGACCACCTGTGCTGCTGCACATCTGCGTGTTTACTTCTTCACTGCCTGTCTCCGCTTCCGTTACTCTGTTAGCTCCATCAGGGCAAGAACCGTATCAGTTTTGCTTAAGATCAAACTGGCACAAAGGAAAACACGTGTGTGTATGTGTGCGCGCGCGGGCTCACGCATGCGAGAGTGTGTGCGCGCACTCAGTAGTGTCCAACTCTTTGCAAACCCCTGAAATGTACAGGCTCCTCTGTCTACGGAATTTTCCAGGCAAGAATACTGGAGTGGGTTGTCATTTCCTACTCCAAGGGTATCCCCGACCCAGGGATCGAACCCACATATCTTGCATCTCCTGCACTGACAGGCAGATTCTTTACCCCTGCACCACCTGGGAAGCCTGGCATAAAGGAAAACACGTGTGCATATTCAAAAACATGTGTGCCAACCACAGGAAAGAATAAAGTACTTTCTTCTATGACTGGTACTTGGTGAGCATTCAGTCAATGAATGAATGAAAAGGACTGGAATTATTAAACTTGGGCACTTTCATGTGGAGCAAAAGCAGGGGGAAACAAACCCTAACTTGTGATGCTTTAAAAACGTCCTGGGTAAGTCTTTAAGGCTGCATCTCTGAGAGGCTTCTGACAGCCCCTTGTTTCCTCCCAAGGCTGCAGAGCCACCTGTCAAACTAAGAAACCATCACCTATATGATCTTGGACCCTCCCCCACCAGGGACACGATCCCACAGTCCTGACGTTTAACCTCAGCCTCATGCCCACACCCAGCTCCAGGGAGCAGTGCCCTGTGCCCTGGCCTCTGAATGTGGCACAGAGACCCGCCCTATGCCACTGTCCTCCAACCCCAAGGGAGGGTCATAGACAGCCTTGGTAGTGGGTGAATCTGGGCAATAACTGACACCTGGCAGGTGCACGTCCAGTCCCAGAAGAATTCTGTCAAACCTCACTTGACTTTCTCTACTGCCCACCTCCAGGAACCTCATTCCCCTGGCTCCTCATACAACTGACTTCCTCTTCTTCCCAGAAGTATCTCAGCCCAAGGTGAGATGAGCTCCCATTCCTGAATGTTCTGCTCTTGTAAAGATCCACTGCTAGGGCTGCAAAGCCCCTCCACAGTGGCAGTGTCCAGCCCCTGCCTCTAGGCTACGCTGCTATTTACCCAGCTGGACCTCTGGAAATCCTCCTCTCCGCTTCCCCCAATCTGAAGGCAGGGTCTGTCTGCCAGTGCCTGGTACATGGTCTGTGGCATGGGAGGTGCTCAGGGTGTGTTTGCTAAAGAAAAGACGAACAAGTATTTGAATGAACAAATGGAAAAAACCCTCTGTCTCCCGTAGTTAACCTCCCCCCTCCAATCTCCTTGACTGGACACTTTTCTTCTCATTGAAATTCATTTAAGTCCATCTGCATTGTTCCATTCTTGACAAAGGTTATCTCCTTTGTGAGGACATCCCTCTGCAGCCATCCAGTGATGGCAGAGATGCCTGGTACAGCTGGCTGACACCTTTTAGCAACCCTGAGAGATATGGATTACCATCTCCACCTTTCACAGATAAGAACACGGAAGCTCAGAAAGGTGAGGTGACCAGCCTAAGGTGCTAAGGGGATTCAAACTCAAGTCTGAATACAGAACCTACACTTGGAAGGACGCAGTGATGCCATCTCCTCCCTACAAAGCTGGCTGACTCTGGAGAGGATGGAGGAGACAGCCTGGTGATCTCTCTCCCTTCCTCCCCACGGGCCAGGAAATCCTAACCACTCTCACTTGACTGGGGCTGAATGACCCTGTAGAAAAGCTCCTGCTCAATGGTGCTCAAAGAGCCCGTACTCACAGGGTTCCTCCTGTCCAGGCAAGGTGACCTGATGCTTCTTCACACCGTCAAACAGGAGCTCCGCACCGCCTCTGCAAAGGAGGGCCAGAGAAAGAACCTCAGAGACTGAAAACTGAGGAGGCTGGCACCAGATGCCCAAGAGATTCAGAGACCAAGGTTCAGGAACACCGTGGGTACCAGCCATCAATTCTCCAATGTGGCTTCTTGATATGGTAAAGCAGGACAGAAATAATGTTTATTAACATTTAAGTACACAAATTTTCAAACTCTGGTTTTGACTCCTCTGCTTCTTCAAGAGGTAGCTTAGCACACAGGGGCAGAGCACAGGCCCTGAGGTGGAGACCAGGCCCCACCTGGGCCTGACTGGCGAGACCTTAGGCACGGGACGGCATCTTCTCAAGCCTCAATCTTTCCACCTGCAGAAGTGTTGAGGAGCTACCTCGTGGCACACTGGAGCCCCTAGGTACAAGGTCTCCCAGGGCCAGGTGACACTCTGAAATCCCCCCGTCTGTGCCCCGTCCCCACCCCTGCTGCTGGCCTGGTGGGCAAGCCAAAGTGCGAGAAAGCGAGAGAACCCCACTGGGCTTAGCAGTAAGCTTGCCCTTTACAAGAACATTCGTCATCTCATTTCACCTTCGTGGGATCCCGGGGAAGGAAGGAGGGAGGCAGATATTATTAACGCTGACCAACAGAGAAGCAAGTTGGGGCCAGGAGAAGTTAAGTGACTTGTCCAAGGTCAGATAGGCAGTGGCTGAACTAGGATTTGAATTCTAACTGGTTTCTGGCAGAAACAACTAAGACTCCCCAGAAGGTCAGGAAGCCCCTTGAGGGCAGAATCTGGCTCACTTCTGGGTGCCAACACCTGGCTAAGGGAAGCCTGGGCCAGCAGAGAGGCTCCAGGCCAAGTGCAGATGCCAGAACTCATGGTGCGGACACTCAGGCTCTTTCAGCGCTCCACGCTGCTCCTCCCCCGGAGTCTCGTCTCAGACTTCACGTGGATCTTAACTGAGAAGGCCTTAACAGACTTGGGACGGGTGTGATGACTCCCACCCCACTACCCTTCCCCAGTGCCGGAGAACAGAGGTGTCCTGAGACGGTCCACTGGGAGGCAAAGGCAAGGCACGCATTGTCATGAGGGAAACATGGGGCGACTGTCATCCAAACAAGGTCACGCTTTGTTGATGCAGAAATGTGGAGGGGGAGAGGAGGCCCATCTGTGGCCGCGCGCAGGGCCATTTCAGCTGCAAGCCCATACAGAGCCTCCATTTATCCCCTTCCAAGAGCCCCGCTCTCTCTTGGGTAGGGGCTGGCACATGCAGCAGCTGGGGTGGGGGAGGGCGACAAGCAAGGGGCGACAGGAGTTGGGGGGTCAGAGGAGTGGGAACTGGAAGCGCTGGCACCCAAGCAAACAACCCAGATTGGCCAAACCTGGTGGTGCCAGGCGCAGAGGCCAGCGCCGTTTTCCCTTCACAAGCAGATAAAGAACCAGTCTGGCTCAGCGATTGACCTGTCACTGCTGGCTTTGCCAGTGCCCGAGGGAGGGGTTGGCATTTCTGTGGTCAGAACATCTGGAGGATAGGAAGGTGCACGCCCAGCCTCTGAAGTGATTCAGAGAGACAAGAGTGGGCCCAATTTGGTCCCAGAAGAAAACCAAAGTCAAACTCTCGTAGTTCCTACAGGATTTGTGACTCAAATGCAATTAAGGCATCACAACCCAAGATACCTTGTCTTTCTTCCACTTCCCAGCTCTTGGTGGGAGGTGTCTGTTGGTACCAGTGACTGGTACAGACACTCTTCAAATGGTCTTCACTTTTTCAAGTTTACCTTCATCTTTTTATCTGAAATATTTTACTTTTGTTCATTTCGCCTCTACCTGTGGGGATGCAAGTTCTGCCTAAAACAGGGCCTGGTACACAGCAGGCACTCAAGAAATATTTGCTGAAATGAGTGAAAATGCCCATTTCCCCACTTCTTCTCTGACCCTAATGGCATTCCCTTCCTTTGCCAATACCTCCTGGACTCAAGGAGGAGGAAAAGGGAAAAGGAAGTGGGACTCTCACATCTAGGCTGCAGTGACACAACACACCTCTGTATTACCTACACTGCATCCTCTGTGACTTGAGAAATTGCTCTGACAGGACGAGGATGGCAGACCTAGTCAGTGATAGGCGGGAGAAAGCAAAGAGCAGCCTTCCAGAGCGTCTACGAGAACTGGTGGGGCTGCGGGAACACAGCTGCTCACGGGAAAGAGGCAAAGTCCCAACCCTTTGGAATCTTCAAGGATCAAGGTGGCACTCAGGGACAAAAGAGAGAGCCTGATGGGCAAACCGGTTTCTCTGCAAATCTACTTAAGTTCAGAGTAAAGGGTGAAGGAAGTGGGCTGAGACACAGAAAATTAAAGAAAGGCCAAGGGGAGAAACAGGCACTGACAGAGACAAAGAGAGAAGGTCTCTGGGTTTAGCCTACATATTGGGCATTCCTGCTTCCCAAGAAGCTGCAGTTCTCATGGGACCCTGTGGCGGTGGGTGGTGGGAACACTGTCTTGCCTTGCTGGTGTTCACTAGTGCTCTTGGGGTAAGGGAGACAGAGATGGTGGTGCCAGAAAACAGGAACTCCAGAAAGTCTGTAAGCCCTGGAGGGCAAGGACCACGTTTTCCTCATATGACTTCCCCACTGCTGCCAGCACAGGACCTGGCAGACAGAAGACATTTCTGAAGACAAATGCCACGTGTGACTCAGTGAACATGAAAGGTAAATTGGCTGTGGCCGTGGTGGTAGTGGTTTAGTCGCTAAGTTGTGTCCGACACTTTCCAACCCTATAGACTGTAGCCCGCCCGGCTCCTCTGTCCATGGGATTTCCCAGGCAAGAAATACTGGAGTGGATTGCCATTTCCTTCTCCAAGGGATCTTCCTGACCCAGGGATCAAACTTTCGCAGGTGGATTCTTTACCACTGAGCCACCGGGGAAGACCAAGCCAAGCCGACTGTAGATAAGCCTCAACACTGGTAATCTGTAGCTTGTCTGTCTTCAGCTCTGCTGAGGCCTGTCAAAACAGCAGGGACCTCATGGAACCTGCAGGCCATGGGGGACATAGCTGGGCAAAGGGTCAATAAAGCAAAATAGTCAGGTGGCCAGACTAACACAGTTCTAATTGGATCCATGGAGCCAGACAATATCATCAATTAAAATGCAGTTAACATTCATGAGACTACCCCCTCGTAAGGGACAGCAACGCTGAACACTGGAGGGCATGGACAAAGTTCTATTTATCTTTGTATCCTCTGTGCCTGGCTTGCTGCCTGGCACATGGTAAGCACTCAATAAATGACTGGTGAATGGACTATGCAATGAAGGGAATCCATGAAAGAAACTGGAGGCATCCAATAGAAGGAAAGGCATTTATAGGCAGAGGTTTCCGATTCCCATCCTAGACTTTCCCTTTCACATAAACCTTGGCTTGTTTATCTTCACACACACAGACAAATCTAGTCCCAGATTTTCCACATGACTCTAGAAATTATACCGTCCATCTCTGAACATCTCAGTGTCTCTGACTTTTCTCTAAGCTTTGCACTTTTTTTTTTTCCAGCTCTGAAATCACATTAAAAACCTTCTGTCTGTAAGAGGCAGAAGAGCATGCCTGGAGGAGACTTCCTCTTTGGTCTGTGTTTCTTTTGTTATTAGCGTGTATGCCCCCATTCTGCACTTTTTATCTTGAGCATACTATAGTGGCACAGAGGTAAAGAATCTACCTGCCAATGCAGGAGACCCAAGAGTCAGGTTCTATCCGCGGGTCGGGAAGATCGCCTAGAGGACATGGTAACCCAGTCCAGTATTCTTGCCTGGAAAATCCCATGGACAGAGGTGTCCGGTGGGGTGCAGTGTATGTGGTCGCAAAGGGTCGGACACGATTGAGTGACTAAGTACACGCACATGTACACGCACTAAATCTGTACTGTCAGGGTTAGACTCTACTACTGTGCTACCTAGCCCCATATCCCCACCTGACTTAAGACCTGCAGAAGGCACTCAGTAAGTTTACTAAATGTACCGGAAAGGGTTCAGGTTTGTTTAACACCCTCAAATCTTCGGAAAGGTTGGTCCTTCTCGTTCCTAGAAGCTCAGATGCCAGACACACGGGCCTGCTCCAAAATGGAGCTGGCAAACAAGGCCGGGAGGCCTGCTAACCGTCACGCCTTTTGAGTCCCTTAGGGCGCAGGGCATGGAGGAGTGCCAAGAGCATACCTCCAACTCCTGGGTGTGCGCATCTATTCCCGGACATACGGCCTCGTCGCCCAGGGAGACCGAACCTCTCAAACTCTCCCAGGCGGGTGGCGTAGCTTAGGGAAGTTGCCGGGTGCCTCGGCGATTCGGGGGTGATAGGCACCAAGGCAGAGGGAGGGAAGTTACGGGCCCGACGACTTCAATCCATCCCCACGGCGCCCCAGCTCTGTGACTCACCCGAACTCCACCTCCACTGACAAGGGCGCTGCCATGTTGAGGAAGCCGAGGGCACAGGAAACTCCCCTCAACTTCCGGCTCTACTGGCCCCCGTTTCCGGTTGCCGCGGACGGAAGAGGCGGGGCCGGGGAAACTCTCCTCTTCAGCTATTGGAGGAAGGTTTGGAGCAGGAAGCTGAGGCCAGAGGACCGTGGCCTCTGTTAAGGGGCGTTTTGGTTGGTTGTCCTGTTTCTTTTCGGGACGGCGCTCAAACAGCCAGGACGGCAAGCGACTGATATCAGCCACAACTCGACGGAGGAGAGACCTGGCATCTTTGCGCTGTGACCGTGAGCCACGTTACTGTTTATCTTGCATTAGTTACCAAATTGCCTTCTGTCAGCACACCGCTTGGACGAACCCGTCCACTTGTCTTGAATTATCAGTGGCATCCAAATATTTACTTCCAGCCCAGAAATCTCTCTCTTGAGCCATCGACTCGCAGTCCAACCTCCCTTTCGCCGTCGACTTGGATTTCATTCATTCAGCAGATACTTATTGCACGTCCTCCGTGTACCTGGCATTTTGGTCGGTGCTAAAAGATGCCGGTGGTGAATCGGATAGGCAAGGTTCCTGTCTTTAGGGGACTCACAGTCTCGTGGGGGAAACGAATCAAATAAACATACGAGTCATGCTAATAAGTGTAAAATCTCAAACTGAAAAACGATCCGGCATCATAAGGACTTCAGAAAGAAAATGGGCTGCACTGGACTTGAGCTGAGCTCTAAAGCGTGAGTCAAGCTAAGTAGGTGGATATGAGGAGAGAAAAGCCGCTGGGAGCATTCCACCGAGAACGGAAAGTGCAAAGACTCTGGGTAGGAGGACATGCTGGAGCACCGAGGGAAGGTCGAATTTGGGGAGCAGGGGGCCTATAAGACACGAGGCTAGACGTGTAGGCAGGGGCCAAATCGTGACTTGTGAGCCAGGTAAAAATTTCAGTCTCTTATCCTAAGAGCAGTGGTAGGTAGGCCTTGCAAGGGTTTTGGGGTGTGTGTGTGCTTGTGACATTATTAGAACTGTGTTTTAAAATATCCTTCCTGGGACTTCCCTGATGGTCCAGTGGTTAAGATTCTGTGCTACCACTACAGGGGGTGCAAGTTTCATCCTTGTTCAGAGAACAAGGATCCCCCATACTACGTGGGGCAGCCTAAATAAATAAGTAAAGCATTCTTCCTGGCTGCAGTGAGAACTGGAAGGAATAGGGAAGGAGATAGGGAGACTCTGGAACCTGTTACAAAAGCCCAGGGCAGCTAAACCACACTTCCAAAATTGAACTCATCGTTGGTAGCTTAAGGTAGTGTACCCTGGTGGTTAAGAGTGGATGTAAGGATGTGGTCACTGCTAAGGGCTCAGAGTTCAACGGCCAGCTTTACATCCATGTCCCACCACTCCTCATCTGTATCTTTCGTTAAGTCCTTTAACATCTGTGCCTCAGTTTCCTCGTCTGTGCAAATTAAGATAATAGCAGCCCCCATACGGTTGTCGTCAGAACTAAATGAGTTCTTGGCACAGTGCCTCGTTTCCTAAAACAGGCTCCCGTGTGTTCCCCATCTCAAGGATACCACTGCCATCCACGGAAACACCTAAGCAAGAAACCTTTGACATTGTTCTTAATTCTCTCCCATATCCAGACAGTCACCACGTTTGGGTTTGGCTCCATGCTAAGCTCATTTTGCAGCCACGTGTTCTTCTACCACCACTACCTCTCACCTGCACCTGCTTCTCTGGCCTGCCTGCCTCCCACCTCCCTGCCTCTGACCTGACTTTCTTATACAGTTCAACTCCACAGACAGCTGTGAGTGCCTTCAGTGTATCAGCCAGTGTTCCAAAGCGCTGGCAAAATGAGGAAAGCATCAAAAAAAGAAAACCCTGTGGCCAGTGGAAAGAACCCACCTTCACTGTGCTGTGTGAAACTCAAGTTTTCTCAGTCTGTGAAGAAGGCTTTGGGACCAAATGATCTCTTAAAGGTCCTTTCAGTAAAAATGTTCTAGGGAATTCACTGATGGTCCAGTGGTTAGGACTCAGTACTTTTGCTGCCAAGGGCCTGGGGTTCAGTTCCTGGTTGGGGAACTAAGGTTGTACAAATATATGTGTATAGTAAGTGTCAGTAGCTCAGTTGTGTCTCAGTTGTGACCCCATGGAATGTAACCCACCAGGCTCCTCTATCCATGGAATTCTCCAGGCAAGAATACTGGAGTGGGTTGCCATTCCCTTCTCCAGGGCATCTTCCCTACCCAGGGACTGAACCCTGGTCTCCTGCATTGCAGGCAGATTCTTTACCACTGAGCCACCTCTCACACACACACATATATAGTCTAAGATATTTCCACTGGCTTCTCCAAGGGCTGATGTCTAGAAAGCTTGCCTGATTCATCTTAGAGCCTTAGCTCATAGTAAGGAGCTTTATACATTGTAGGGGTTTGGTAAGTGCTTCCCGAATGAATGAATAAGCGAAGACATCAATTCCCTTCTCAGTCACTCACTGGCTTCTCTTTCCCAACAAGGTAAAGGCCTCTGACTTGAGGCAACCTTTAGTTAGGCCACATAGAGTTGAATATTCTCTAACTGCAGACTGCTGCCTGCTGAGCTGGAATGGGAGAGCTAAGGAGCTTTTGAAAAACTTCATCCATTTGACAAACATTCATTGAGCACCTATTAAGTGCCAGGCCCAGGGCTGGTGCTGGGAACACAAGGGTGGACTTTAAAAATAAAACCAAGGGGTCCCTGCCTTCCTGGGGCTGATAGTTTGGAAAAGACACAGATGTGAAAATAGACCGCACAGTGCAATCAGTTGTTATGAAGGGGGAATGTGGGGACCTGTGGGAGATGAAAGAAGATCCAGCCCAGCCCTGGGATCAGGCAAGGTTTCCCAAAGAAAGTCACATCTAAGCCTGAGTCCCAGGAAATTGTGGGAGGTGGAGGTCGCAGGAGAGGACAGGTAGGGAGGCCAGAGGTGTTCCTTCCTTCCCAGAGAAGTGAGAACCCTTCCCACATCACTTCTGGGTAAGTCAGCCCACTCTGAATGCCTGGCTCTCACACTGAGAAAGTGCTTCCTCTGACTCCAGCCTACCTAACTCAACCTCCTGTTGTGTGCGCTCTTTGCGACCCCATAGACCCCTGCCAGGCTCCTCTGTCCATGGGATTTTCCAGGCAAGAATACTGGAGTGGGTCTCCTAAACTGGCAGGAGGATTCTGTGCCACCTGGGAAGCCCTCAGCCTTCTGTGCTGTCACTTCCGTCATGTCCTACGCTTTCTGACCCCGTGGACTATAACCTGCCAGGCTCCTGTGTCCATGGGATTTTACTTGAGTGGGGTGCCATTTCCTCCTCCAGGGGATCTTCCCAACCCAGGGATCGAACCTGCATCTCCTCATTGCAGGAGGATTCTTTACTGCTGAGCTACTGGGGAAACCTCAATCTCCTGAAGAGAAGTGAAGTGAAAGTCGCTCAGTTGTGTCTATGCAGCCCCATGGATTGTAGCCCGCCAGGCTCCTCCTCTGTCCATGGGGATTCTCCAGGTAAAAATACTGGAGAATTCTTCTGCAGGGGGTCTTCCTGACCCAGGAATCGAACTAGGGTCTCCTGCACTGTAGGCCGATTCTTCACCAGCTGAGTTACCAGGGAAGCCCTTCTCAACCTCCTAATCAATAGCAACAACGTATTCATTCAATGAGTAATGACCCTCAACTCTGCACCTGCCAGGTGCTTCACATGCATGACCTGCTTGATTCCTCGCAGGGGCTATTAGCCTCTGTTTTCAAATGTAAAAACTGAGGCTCAGAACCTGTGACTTTTCACGGACCCCCACATGTCAGGCCTTAACCCCAGGCTGTCGTGCCTTCAGGACCCCTGACCCTCACTGCATCCTGTTGGGCTCAGCTCACTCAAATGCCTTCCCCTGGGACCCATGCAGAAGAAGGGCGTGGACCCTAACTCCTGTCCCTCCAGTAGGCCGGCCAGCCGGGCACTGGGCTCCATCCCTTACGAAGCTCCGAAGGGAGACAAAGGCGGGGTCTGCGGGGGAGATGAGGGCGCGGGCGGCCCCCTGCCCGCTGCCCTTTGTCTCCCCGCCTGCTCCCCTCGTGCGCCCCGGAGGCTGGGAGGCGCCTCTCTCAGGCTTCCTCCTCCCATTCTTGTGCTAATTGGGTGTCAAGCTGAGATCAGTGAGAAAGGAATCTGCCCTGGCTCGGGTTAAACTGCCGCCAAAGACGAGGGCTGGGCCCAGAATATCATTAGGCTGGGAGGAAGCGGGGCCCCCTCCTCCAGCAGAGGGGCTGGCCACGCATTCAGGCTCCTTTGAAAGTCGCTTGGTCGCCCCTTCCCTTACCGCCAGCGCCTCAATAGGCCCCTCGGCGGTATTTAACCTTCTTCCCAGGAATTGAAAGTGATACGCCAAGCGCTGGCCTAGGCAGCCACTTGCCTGTCCAAGGGCGGTAGGACCTCCGGGGATGCTCAAGGCAGGCCTCTGGCAGCCTCCCTGGGCTCAGATTGCAGATGGGAATACTGAGACTGGGCAGGGGGGTGCCTCCCAGCGCTGTTATTCACAGGCCCTGTGGTCTGAAGACTCAAGCCTCTCAGCCTCCGAGTCTATGGAATGGGGATAAAATAGTAGCTGCTTTGTGTTACGGATTTAATGATGATCAAGTGCCTGGCGTCGCATCCAGCACATAGGAAGCACTCCACTCCTGGTGGCTGTTAGCAGGTCAAAGGAGTGTGTTTGGGCTTATTGAAGGATTTCCTAGCAGAGCTCCCAGTCCTCCAGGTGTGCAAGGAGTGCCCGCAACAGATTCACTTTGCATACCCTGCCTGGACTCTTCCCCAGCCCCACCCCTGCAGCCCTACAGGCCCTTCTTTCACCTGCTCTGCTCGACCTGACCTTTCACTGCCCCTTCTATCTGGGCCATTCTTCCCTCCTCCTCTTCTTGAATGACTCTACCTTGAAAAGCCTGTGACCATGAAACAAAACTTCCTCACCTCCTACCCCAGCCAAGACATGGGGTTAGGGTGCAGCTTAGCACAGACCCTTTGCTTCCTGACTGGTTGCCCCTTCTCCCCAGCCCCTAGACAGTGGGCTCCCTGAGGGCAGATCTCACCGTGTCCCCCCAAGCCTGCCCCCTGCATAGAGGCCTTTTGAATCTGCTGCGCAGATGAATGGACACTACTTTGTAAACTGTGTAGCCCACCAGGCTCCTCTGTCCATGGGATTCTCCAGGAAAGAAGACGAGTGGGTTGCCATTTCCTTCTTCAGGGGATCTTCCCGACCCAGGGATCGAGCCTGTGTCTCTTGTGTCTCCTGCATGAGCAGGTGGATTCTTTGCCAACTGTCACCAACTGGGAAGTTGAAGCACTATATAAATGTCAGGAAATGCCCAGTGAACAGTAGCTCTTGTGAATTAACTTCACAAACACGTGTTGAGCACCTGCTGCAGGCACGGGAGATGACTCACAGCCATGGTTTGGGATGAGCAGAGGCAGACAGGAGCTGCAAGGCCCAGGGGCCCACCAGCCCCACCCTTCTTGGAGGGGCTTGGGAGAGGGGGCTGGTACAGAAGTGGGAAACTTAGGCCTGGGCTGGGATCTTAACACCGAAAACACGTCCTTTTTTCCTTTTAACTACCATGTACCTCAGATATCAGCACCAGTTCCTGGGCTAGATTTCCAATCACAGTCTCATTACATGTCCACAACTGTCCTGGGGCAGGGATTCCTGTTGTGTTTAGTCACTCAGTTGTGTCCGACTGTTTGCAGCTTCAAAGACTGTCGCCCGCCAGGCTCCTCCATCCGTGGATTTCCCAGGCAAGAATACTGGAGTGGGTTGCCATTTCTTTTTCCAGGGGCTCTTCCTGACCTAGGGATCGCACCCGTGTCTCCTGCATTGGCAGGTGGGCTCTTAAAACCACTGAGCCACCTAGACCACCACTTATAGGGGAGGACACTGAGGCTCAGCCTGGCCAATGGACTTGAGAGGAGGCCTGAGCAGGAGCTTTTGACCACCACTCCTCTGTATTGCATCTTAGTGACTGTGTTCAACCAAAGGGAAGGAACAGGCACCCCTGGGGGCTCCTTCCCATTGGAGAGCCCTCCCATTGCTGAAGGTTAGACACAAAGCTTCACCATCAGTCACACCCAGCCCCACTGGAAGCCCAATCAAAGGCCCACCACAGAGTGCTCTGGGCTGGGTCCCTTGCCTGGGGGTCACGTGGGGACTCTGTCCCTCCTTCCCTTGGCTGATCGTGAAGGGCTGGATCTGATTCTGCAGGACCCACGCGCCCTCTGCTGGTCATACTCGGGCACTGCGCCCTTGCCTGCCACTCCCAAATCCCACCAGGTTATCATCTCCCCCCAAGGGCCAACTCCAGCTCTGCCGCCCCCTCGCTTCCCCCAAGAGTGGCATCGGAAATCCATCATCTTTCAAAGGTCACCCCCCACCCCAGGAGGTACCCCAGACTTATCCTGGCCACCTATCACCCAGTCAGTTGCTGTCTGGGGTGTGGCTCACAGTTGGCTCTACAAGCATGCGTGGCATGGAAGCTGCCTTCTGCACCAAGGAGGCGGCAGTGGAGTGGCGGGAAGGGCATGGGGCTGGCATTGCAGTCCCAGCACTCACTCTGCAACTCCAGTCAAATGATGGAGGGTGGTGAGGGTTAAATAGTGAAGATGAAGCCCTGGCGTACGTGCCCTGCCTTGGGCTGAGCACTTCTAGCCTGGGTGTGACACCGGGGATGGGCTCCAGGGGACAGCTGGCCCTCCACTGGCATTGCAGACTCACCAGCTCTGGGAAGATGGCTCCAGGAAGCCTTCTCAGACTCCACCCGGCTGGCTAGGCCTGCCTGCTCTGTGGCCCGAGAGCCCCCAACCCCTTGGGAAAGTGCAGCCCTGGCAGAAGGAACAGCATGAACAAGAGGGTGGAGCCGGGACCCTGCGCCGGCCTAGGGCTTCCTCCCTCCGTGGCTCTGAACGGCCCGTTCCTCAGCCTGGCTCCCTTCGGCTATCTGGATCCTCCCGATTCACAGAGACAGTTACTTGCCCAAGGCCACAGGCTCCTAAGTGACACCTGGCAGGGCTCAGGTGGGACCCGCCCCTCACCTGAAATGCGGGGACCGTGGCATCTTACCTGCTACATCCCTCCGTCTAAATGAACGAAGGAGTGGGGGAGGGATGAATGGGGCATGGGCTGGGGTCCCAGTGGGCTGGGGTGAGTGTGCACACAGGCTCGGGGAGGCAAGGCGGTTTATTGGCCCCTGAGTGCCCCACGCCCCTTCTCCCCTCACAGCCAGGCCAGGAGGAGATGTGGACAGACCAGCAAAGACAGAGAGGCTCCGCCTGAGGGACAGCCAGGCAGCCGCCCAGAGGATGAGAGGGGTGCCCCATCCAGGCTGCCTGCTGCAGGGTGGTCCCCTCCTGCCCGGCAGGGCTGAGGGACACTCGCGTGGTCCCAGGGCCTGGATCCTCTTCGGATGTCCGATCGCCGGCCCTCCCGGCTTCCTGAGTCTGGGGGCTTCTGCCCTGGTCCCATTTACAAGCTGCCTGTTCTTTGCCAAGTGCTTGGAGACCCTCTATTTCCCTTTGTCCTGACCCGAGACATTACCCCGCGGGGCCTAGTCTCAGTCTCAGCCTGAGGCCCAGAGACCCCCACATGGCCTCGAAGACATAAAGTGGATCTGAAGCTTTCACAGAAAGCCTCAGGGCGGAGCGGGGAGGTGGCAGTGAGTCCCTTGGCAGTTTTGAGGGGTACAGGTCGGCATCTCGGGGGGTGGTGCCAGGCCCTGCTTGCTTTGGTCTGGCTTCGCCCAGGACCCCTCCGGGGTGGGAGCTGGGGCTCTAGATGGAGTATCTGCTGGCCCTCAAGAGGGACTCAGGGCCAATCACAGCTTCTCCTGGCCTGCCTGGATGCGAGTGTAGGCCTCTTGGTCCAGTGGGACGTAGCAGCCCTTCCGGGCATCCAGGTAGAACAGCTGGTCTTTTACAACTGTTGGGTCAAAGCCCTCCTTCCGCAGTTCTGTCTTCTGTAGCTTAAAGGTCCCTGAGGGAGGGAGAAGACAAGTGGGAGAAGGGTCAGAGGGTGCGGGGCAGGGGTCCGACCTCCAGGAACCTGTCCACCTGGGCTGAGGAGGGGCAGGGAGGAGGGCTGGAGGGAACATAGGCGAGGGGAATCGTGGGAGGAGGGACACAGCCCTTTATAGTTTGCAAAGGCTTCATCCATTACAGAATGCACCGCTCCTCAGCAGCCCTGGCAAAGGGGAGGGGGCGGAGGTACCCACCCCTCTTTGTAGACAAGGAAACTGAGGCCCAAAGAAGGGAAGTTATTTGTCCAGGGCCACGTGCTCAGTGACATCAGGCTGAGGGCAGGACACCGGCCTTTCCTGAGGGCTCATTTAACCTGAGCACCTCCCGGGTACAGAGCTGATCTCAGGTAATCTGTACCTCAACCCCGGGGGTGGGGACAAAACCCTATCCTATGGATTCTGAGATGCACAAGATTTCAGATTTCAGCATCTCTGAAATAGTTCGATTACCATTTTCCCCCTTAATAAATTCTATATCTTTCACTCAATGGTATTGGCCCCACTAGACAGATGAGAAGACTGAGGCTCAGAGAAGCACAGTTCTGGGCCAACGTTACACACAGCTATTAAGAATTTGAACTCAGGTACAATGGATACCAGAAATGCCTACAGCTTCCTGCTTTGGCTTCTCTGTCATGTGCATCAGCCAATTCTCCCAACAAGAGCTGGAGTCTTTCTCAACGCCTACTTGAATTTAGACTGGTTTTACAACTTACTCTGACTCAGAGAATGTGGCAGAAGCCACAGTGTGGGCGGTCTGGGTGAGTCTAGGCCTCAAGGGGTGTTGAAGCTTCCATCCTCACCCGCTTGGGGGTGCCCTGAGACCAGACTGACCTCTGAAGGATGGAAAGCCATGTGGAACAAAGGGGAACCGTCCAAGCAAAGGCCACTTAGACAAGGTCCGTCTAGTCAAAGCTATGGTTTTTCTAGTAGTCATGTATGGATGTGAGAGTTGGACTATAAAGAAAGCTGAGCACCGAAGAACTAATGCTTTTGAACTGTGGTTTTGGAGAAGACTCTTGAGAATCCCTTGGACTGCAAGGAGGTCCAACCAGTCCATCCTAAAGATCAGTCCTGGGTGTTCATTGGAATGGCTGATGTTGAAGCTGAAACTCCCAATACTTTGTCCACCTGAATGGAAGAGCTGACTCATTAGAAAAGACCTTGATACTGGGAAAGATTGAGGGCAAGAGGAGAAGGGGATGACACAGGATGAGATGGTTGGATTGCATCACTGACTCAACGGACATGAATCTGAGTAAACTCCAGGAGTTGGGGATGGACAGGGAGGCCTGGTGTGCTGCGATTCACAGGGTCGCAGAGAGTCAGACACGACTGAGCGACTGAACCGAACCGAAGTGGGTAGTCACTGGCCATGTGTGGCTATGTAAATTTAATTAAACAAAATTTAAAATTCACTCTCCCCTTCACACTAGTCGCACTTCAAGTGCTCAACAGCTACTGGGAGCTGACGGTTGCTGTGTTGCAGAGCGCGGTCAGAGAACACCTCCATCACCGCAGACAGGTCTGTGGACACTGCTGCGGGGCAGACCAGCTGGGAGCCTCACGTGAGGGAGGCCACCTCACACCCAATGGCACTATTTCTTTAAAAACTTAAAATATTTGGGGGCCACACCCCAAGGCATGTGGGGCCTTGGTTCCCTGATCAGGGATTGAACCCACACACCCCCTGCACTGCAAGATGGAGTCTTAACCACTGGACAGCCAGGGAAGCTGTTGATGGCACTATTTGACCCTAGGTGGGGCCAACAGAAGAACGCTCAGTTGAACGTCACCCCAAATTACTGACCCACAAATTGTGAGCAAATAAGACACCTGTTCGGAGCCCTAAGTAAGCTTGGGGGCTGTCTGTCCTACAGCAAAGCCTGTCTGAGGCCTAAGGTCCAACAGCCTCCCTGTCCCTCAGGGATGCAGAAGTCACAGTGGCCATCCAGTCCTCGGGGTGCTCGCTGTCTGTCTGGACTCACTGCTTACCCTGCCCTTCTCTCATCTTCCCGTCCCCCGGGGCCATCTGCAGCCCCTCGGACACTGGCGGGCTTTGCAGGATATGAGTCTGACTGGGTCACTACCCTGCTCAGACCCTCCTGGGGTTCCCCTGGGCCCTCCCATCCCACCACAGGCTGCTGCCCACCCCTCACTGGCTCCAGCTTCGGGGGCCTCCTTTCAGTCCCCTAGCAACCAAGCACCTCCCTGCCACAGGGACTCCGCACTGGCTGTTCCAGAGGGCCTCCTGTCCCCACAGAGTTCTCTCTCTCTCACTCAGGTCTCCTGCTGAACCAGAGCATCCTCAGGGGAGCCTTCTAGTCATCCCCAAGTCACGTTCCCTTTCCTATCAGTTTCCTATCAGCATTCCACTCTTTTATCTTAACAATTCCTTATCCTGTGGCTGCCTCCTGCTCTGGAAACTCCAGGGAGGCACACAGGTCCTGCTGCAATTTGTCCCCTCCGTCCCCAGGGCCCAGTGCAGTGCCTGGAGCAGACCACCCCACTCAGTACTGGTTCCACTGACAATGGACACATCATCTCTCTCAGGAGGTGGCGTCAGCTCACAGCTAGGTCATGTTGCCGACCACCCAGAGAGGCTGTGGGGAAGGGCGAATGACAGCCAGCCGGTCTCCCCAGAAGGACCCGGCAAGGGGCCTCGCTGGCACCCACCCATGATTTGGAGCTGGGGGTCGGGGGGACAGACCTGTCTTGTGCAGCTCGGGCAGGAAGCGCAGGAAGATGGGGCGGGCATACAGCGGCAGCTCCTTCTGCAGGAGCTGGGCTAAGTGCTCCAGGTCACAGGTGCCAGAGGAGCTGGCCACGGCGGCCATGCCGGCCCGGCCCTCGGTCCCTGGGGGGGTGGCAGAGTGGACAGTGAGCGGCTGGCTGGCCATGGCCCTGCGGGCTGCTCCGCACACACGTCTGGCCCCTCCCGCCTCTCGGGATACCTGGCACCTCGACGCCGTACACGGCCACGTCGGCCATGTCCAGCAGGCGGCTGAGCGTGCCCTCCACCTCGGTGGTGGACACGTTCTCGCCTTTCCAGCGGAACGTGTCCCCTGTGCGGTCACGGAAATACAGGTAGCCCAGCTCATCCATCACCAGCACGTCACCTAGAGAGAAGAGTCATGTGGTGAGGGGGGGTCCAGGGGCTTGGTTGGGGGGAGGTGTTCTCTGAGGGTGGGGCCCCTCAATCCCGTCTCTCCTCCCCAAGGGGCGGCAAAGGCCTCCGGAGAGGTGCCCACCCACCGCTGAGGTAGGCCTGGTCCCCCTTCTTGAAGACATCCTGGGCGATCTTCTTGTTGTTGGCGCCCTGGTTCAGGTAGCCGTCGAAGCGCCGCAGGGGGTCTCGCTGGATGATGATGCCCACCAGCTGGCCCGGCTCACCTGTGGCCAGAGGAGGCGGGGTCAGGTCCCCCTGGGGTCTCCTTCATACTAAAATGCCCCCAGCAGCAGCCCCCAGAAATGCCCCCTTTCTCCATCAGCCCGGGAGCCCCGAGGGCTGGGAGCTTCTCAGTAACACTTGGTCACTGAACAAATGAAAGGGTGGTCAAGCTCAGTGTGGATGGCCTAACCAAAGTCAGCACTCCCCAGGCCCCGCTCTGCTCAGAGGTTTGCATCCTGTACCACGCCGCCTCCTCAGCACAACCACGTGCAGGAGAGGGACTCAGGCACAGAGCTGGGGGCCTTTGGCGGCGGGGGCTCAAGGTCCACAGCACAAATGTGCATGAATGGGCTGATGGGTGGATGGGATGGCGACTGAGTGGATGGATGCATCAAGAAATAGATGCCATGCAGCCCTAAGAGATTCTGGCCGCTGATCAGAATGGGGCTCCCCACCCACCCACACCCATCCCTGCCCCGTCCCCTTCCTAGGCCAGCCCTCCCACCCTGACCCCGAGTTGCAACCCTCGGGCAGACCTGGCTTGCAGGGAATGCAAAGACCGTCGGGGCCCCGGATCAGCTCCATGGTGTCCTCGTTGACACGAACCAGCCGTATGGGGTACACGAAGGACAGGATGCGGCTGTTGAAGCCACAAGCCCCCACCTGCGAAGGCCAAGCCTTGGGCCCGGGCTCTCCCACCACGGGCCGGAAACCGGACAGTCTAGGGGGCTGAGAGCCGGGGCTCCGGCTCCCGCAACCAGACTCCATGCCGGAAACCCGCCCTCCCCTCCGCCGTCCGTGTCTCCCGTGGGCCCTCTGCGTCCCCAACCTGGGCCGCACCTGGCCGTCGAAGTTGCCCAGGCTGCAGTTGCACTCCGTGGCCCCGTAGAACTCGGCCACCTGGGGGATGTGGAAGCGGCTACGAAAGTCGGTCCAGATGGACTGCCGGAGGCCGTTGCCGAGCGCCATGCGCACGCGGTGCCGGTTTTCCGCCTCCCGGGGCGGCTGGTTCAGGAGGTAGCGGCACAGTTCACCGATGTACTGCACGATCTGCGGGTGGACCTGGCATGAGTCTGGGCCCTGGAGGCTGCCCCTACTTCACAGCCTTCCCAAGCCCCTACCTCTACTATCCCCGGGCCAGCTGTGCGATCCCTTCCCTCTCCAGGCCTCAGTCTCCCCATGTGAACAATGGGAACGCTGCCCTGAGTAAACAGCTGGTTGCCTTCAGCTCTGTGTCCCTGCGCAGAGCTGGTGGGAGGGGCGCAGGGGCGCCCCACCCCTTCCCTTCTCACTCACTGTGCAGTTGTACTTGATACAGTCATCCCAGAAGCGGGAAGCCGAGAACTTCTTCCGGATCACCACAGTCATGCCGTGGATCAGGCACTGCCCCATCCCCACGATGTTTCCTGAAGGCAGAGGGGGAACCCAGGGGTCAGGGAGACAGACAGGAGCTCTTTCCCTCCAGAGCCTCGTCTTTTTGTTTATTTTGGCCACCAAAGATGTCACTTTATTTTTTTAACTGTTTATTTTGCACTGGGGTATAGCTGATTAACCAACAATGGTTAATGGTTTCAGGTGAAGAGCGAAGGGATTCAGCCATACATATACATGTAACCATTCTCCCCCAAACTCCCCTCCCATCCAGACTGCCACATAACACCTAGCAGAGTTCCCTGGGGCTATACAGTACTGAGTGAAGTAAGTCAGACAAAGGAGAAACATCGTATACTCCAGAGCCTCCTCTTGTACAGTCCAACCCCCTCAAAGACTCTCCTTTTCCCCTGTCCTGCCCCTCCAGCTCTAACTGGTCACATCTCTTCCCAGTCAGACACCTTCCATGGCTCCCCAGTGCCTACGGGATCAAGTGCACACTACTTAGACAGTTCCTGAAGCCTCTGGAGCTGGCCCCGAGCTCCTTCTCCCAAAGCTGTAACACTGCCATTCAGCCAGCCAGAACTGAGCTAGCCTGCCTGGCTTCACGTCTGCCTGTGGGGGCACCTCCTCCAGGAAGCCTTCCCGGAGTTGGGCTCTTTTGAGTTGAACTCCTTGCTCCCTGCCCCTCCCCAGACTCAATGCCCTTCTTGCCTGAGAGTTCAGGGTAGGGTTCCCATCATTTAGCCTGCCCCCAACACACACACTCCAACTCTAAGCACCTTTAAGGGCAGAAACTATATTTAGTCCATCTCCGTCTTTCTACAGGGCCCCCAGACCAAGCAGCCAGGCTGTCCTCACCCGTGGAAATGGACTGAATGGTCAGACCAGCCCAGGTAGTCTGCGGGACACCGCCGCACCCACCAATTATGCTGGTGTGGCCACTCTCATCTAGGTCAATGCCCACATCTGGATTTGAACCCAGATTTGACTCCAAAACTTGTTATGTTTCTACTGCAACATGGAGCCTGCCAGGACGGGTAGGGCTCTGAAGGCTCAGGGGCGGCTGGGCACCGAGGGGGCGGGCCCAGGCTACCTGCAGAATGGTAGAGGGGGAGGCAGTCATAGATGATGTCGTCGGGCCGCATGCGGAAGCCATAGTACACCAGGGCGGCCATCCGGTAATACCTGGGAAGGCAGAGGGTCAAAGGCTCCGTGGGCCTCTGGAAAGGCAGGAGGAGAGGCGCCCCAGGCCCCACCTCCCCAAGTCTCCCCTCCCAGGGCACCGTCCCCTTACCGGCTGTGCACCACGATGGCAGCTTTGGGCAGCCCGGTGGTGCCTGATGTGTAGATGTAGAAGAGCTTATCTGAGGAAAACAGGCAGGAGCGGCTATGAGAGGGGCCAGCACAAGGCTGGGCACAGAGTCAGACATTGGTAGGTGTGTATCACTTAACACCCATTCCCAGCACACCTCCTCCAGGAAGACTACCCTGATGACCCCAGCCACCACTATCTGCACTGGTTCCTTCAACACACTCTTCTGAGCCCTCACTCTGTGCCAGGGCCAGGGTGACATCAGTGACTAGTATGAGCACAGGCCTTGCCTAAGAGCGAGGTGCCTGCCCAGTGGGACAGGAAGATGAGTAGGCGGGCATTTCCAACAGGGAGCACTGCGTGTTTGCAAGCACAGGGCCTGCCAAAGCCCGGCGGCAGCACTGGACCCGGGCTCCAGGGAGGGCTTTCTCAGAGGAGGTGATGCCTACTGCGTGGGAGGTACCAGCTGCAGGCAGGGGGCTCAGAGGCAGCTTTTGCAACAGCAACCCTGTCTTTATCCCCCCAGATCTGAGCGCCAGGACGGCACGTCACGGTTTCTGTGTGAGGCTCAGTCCCACCAGGCTGAGGTTCCGGGAGGTCAGGCATGCCACGGGGTGACGCCACATGTTATGCAGTAACTCTCATGTTACAGGGTGCCCACGGCATGTCAGCCCAAGGCTGGGCACCAGACTCAACCAGCCAGAGGCCCTGCCCTCAAGGAGCTTACAAAAGCACCCAGCACACAAGAGCCACAGATGGCAGAGTTCAAACGATAATGACCCCAGCTCTCCAGGGGACCTTTTCCAGCCCTCAAGCATAGGTTCGGTTGTCATCCCCAATTTCCTGGCTCTGGGAACCGAGGCTCAGAGAGCAGCTCAGGTGTTCAGGGTCACACAAGGGAAGCAGTAGAGCTGGGACATGAACTTGGCCCAGGCTCCAAACGCCCCCCCCAGGCCATGTGGCAAGCAGTGGGTTCCACATGGCAGGCTTGTGGAGCGGAGAGGAAGAGAGGCGAGAGGGTCTGCAAGGCTGCCTGGAGGAGGGGGTAGGGGGCAGGGAGCCCAGAGCAGGGAGAGGATCACAACAGGGGCCCACCCTGAACGGCCGCTGGGTGACTATGAAAGGGCTCGCCGTGGGCCTGAGCCCAGCCCACACTTGGACGAGGCTCCTGGGCTCCTGTGTTCCTGCATGCATTGGGCATCAATGAAGGCTGTTCAAGAACTGCCTGGCACTGACACGTGCCAGCTCAGGCAGTCTTCGCAGTAAAAGCTGGGGACTGTGCTCATTTTCCCTAAATGGAAAAGGGAGGCGACATGACTCACTCCAGGTCACACAGCAAGTGTACAGAGGAACCCAGGCCCCGAGGCCCCCGCTGTGTCTCTTGGCCATCTTTGAACCCTTCTGTGGGGGTGAGGGGCTCACCTACGAAGCCCTTGTTGGGATGGCTGGGCTGGTGCTTGGGGGCATCTTCCAGTAGCGGGTCCAGGTGATTTGTGCCAATGGGCACCGCACTGGGCTCCCAAGGACCGGAGCAGAAGAGGTTGAGCGAGGGGTCCAGGTTGGCATGGATCTCAAGGACAGCTGTGGAGGAAACAAGATAGATCTGCAGGCAGGCCAGGCTCTCCCCCCCGACCCGTGTTCTGGGGACCTCTACTCATGTGGGGCTGAGCATGGTGTCAGGGGACGCTGGCTGGGTGTGGCAGAGAGGTGGGTGAAGCGCCTGGGACTTGTTATAAGGAAGATGCTGAGAGAAGCAAGGGCTCCCGTGAGCGGCTGGCTGATCAGGTGGCAGGCTCTTTACATGCATGCTCCTGCTCACACACCTCAGGAAACAGGTACCAGTAACAGCCCATCTTACAGATGGGAACACTGAGGCCCCAAGCACAGGAGGCACTCACAGCTAGAATGTGCCAGATCTGGGGCTCAAAGCCAGCTCTACCTCACTCCAAGGTTTACGCTTCTATCCCCTGTATGATGCTAGTCTGTGGGGGACTGGTTAGGAGGGAGGAGTCGGGGGGTGATCAGAGGCTGGCAGCCCTCCAGCCTCTTCACAGGGTGGCGGCCTTCTCTCAGGCTCTCCTGTGCACTACAGATGTCCAGACACTCAGCACCTGGAGCACAGGCCGGTCCTGGCCCACTCAGCCATACCTCCTCTTAACTTCTTCCAACCCTCTCACTCTCTCCCTGCCGCCTTCTTCCTCTTGTTTCAGCATCTCTGTAACCTCTTCTGCCCATTAGCCCACGACATTAGCCCATTAGTCGCAACAGCGTGGGGAGAGAGGCCAGGGACACTGGGGTCAAGCTCAAGCTAAAATCTCGGTTCCATCACCCACTTAACAGCTGTGTGGCTCTGGGTGAGTGCCTCGCACCACTCTGCACCTCGGTCTCGTCCTCTGTAAAGCCAAGATGACACTCTCTGCTTTCACCAGGCTTTGTGAAGATTAGTGTGGAGGCCAATAAATATAAGCTCCGAGGCACAACAGGGAGCGGCTTCTCGTTCCCGTTTTACAGATCAGGTAGGTGAGGCCAGGTATGGATGTGAGAGCTGGACTATAAAGAAAGCTGAGTACCAAATAACTGATGCTTTTGAACAGTAGTGTTGGAGAAGACTCTTGAGAGTCCCTTGGATGGCAAGGAGATCCAACCAGTCCATCCTAAAGGAAATCAGTCCTGAATATTCATTGGAAAGACTGATGCTGAAGCTGAAGCTCTAATACTTTGGCCATCTGACGCGAAGAACTGACTCACTGGAAAAGACCCTGATGCTGGGAAAGATAGAAGGCGGGAGGAGAAGGGGACGACAGAGGATGAGATGGTTGGATGGCATCACTGACTCGATGGATGTAAGTTTGAGTAAGCTCTGGGAGTTGGTAATGGACAGGGAGGCCTGGCGTGCTGCAGTCCATGGGGTCGCAAAGAGTCGGACAGGACTGGCCGAGTGACTGAACTGACTGAGGTGAGGCCAGGTGAGTCACCAGAATGGTTACCATCGTGTCTGAGCGCTGACCTAACATCAGCTGCTTTGTTAATGCTTCACTCTGTTAAGCACCTCTCTGAAAACGGTGCTGTGGTGAGGAGACCACGGCAGAGGACTACCATCTCCCCGGGTCTCCCGGCTCCCAAGGGAGTGGGGAGGGAAGAGCCCACGCCGTCTGACTCCAGGGCTCATGCCCTTAACCTCTGAGCCACACACAGCCTCCCCTGGGGGCTGGAGGTGGGTTGCGGCAGTCCCATGGGACTCCCTGCCTGTCCCTTGCCACTTTAGGGCTCACCTGGGGCCATCTCGCTGCCAAAGACGAGGGCCCGGGCCTGGGAGGAGGTCAGGCAGTGGAGCAGCGCGTCCCGCCGGAGGTTGGTGTTGATGAGCGCCGCCTCCACGCCCAGTTTGGCCATGCCCAGCCACAGGCCCACAAACTCATTGCGGTTCTCCATGAAGAGGGCGACCACGTTGCCCGAGGCCAGGCCCTGCGCCTGCAGGAAGTTGGCCACGCTGTTCGAGTAGTCGTCCAGCTGCCGGAAGGTCCAGTGCGTGTCTGTGCCCTCGAAGATCAGGGCTGTCTTGTCCGGGTGGCGCTGGACTGTGGCAGCGAACAGCATGGGGATCGTGCGCCGCTCCCGTAGGTACCGTCGGACCTTGGCTTTCACCCTCAGGAGCACGGTGCCGCCGCTGGGGGAGGGGAGGAGGAGCAAGGAAGCTGTGACTGCTGGGCTTAGGAATAGGGGGTCCCGAGACCCTTGTCTGATCGCTTGCGACACCCCCTTCCTAGCACCCGTGTGTGGGGCAGCGTTACCTGTAGTGACTCACTGATGCTGCATGCTAACACCAGGCACCCAGGCAATGACTCCCTCCCCGCCTGGTACAGAGGAAGACACTGGTGCCCAGCACTTGCCCCAGGCTTCAAGGTGGGACGACGTGGCAGTGCTGACATTTGAACTTCAGTCCCCTCCGACTCCAGAGTTCAACCCCTTTTGCCCTCTAAGCTCTGCTCCGAGTCTGCAGTTCTGTCAGGGCCTTCCACGACTCCAGGGACCAAGCCAAAGTCCAAACTCCTCGTCCTGAACCTGGCACACCTCCGGATCATCCATCTTCCCCTCACCACTTCAGTAAAAAAGGACAAGTTTGCAATTTGTCCGGTTTCCCTCACTGTGGGCCCGACAAGGGTGGGGCTCTGTCCTGCCTCACCATCTTGCTCCCAGGCCCCGCTAGGTGCCAGGCAGGGCACTGACATTCAACAGATGTTTGTGCAACATCCCCTTGCCTCGCCCTGCCACCTCACACCCCTGAACTCTCCTGGCTCCCCAGCCTCTCTGCCTTTGCTGCTGCCATGCCCTCTGACTGGCGCCCCCTGCTTCCACCTCCTGGAGGTGACTCTCAAGCACACCTGCTTCTCCTCTGGGAGGCCTCCTCTGATTTCCCAGGGCCCAGGCCTGAAGCCGTCTCTCTCTGCTTCACGCCCCCACAGGTCTGGGCTGCTACCATCCTTCCCGCGGTGGCCATTCAACTCCTCCTTTTGCAATCAGCTCAGATTGACAAACGCTGAGCTGCCTGTTCTGGGTGCGGGTCACATTGCTGGGACACTACCATGAGCAAGACAAGACTGCCAGGGTCTCTGCTCGCAGGGTCCTAACAACCTGCGGGTTTTCTGTGTCCTCTGCTGGTCTCCCTGACCAGTCTGAGCCTGTTCCAGGCCCAGGACTGCCCTGTCCACTCAACCCCACACCCAGTCAGCCCAGCGTCTGGTGCAGAGCAGGTGGCAGCCAGGGTTTCTGGTACAGGATATCCTCCTTGTGGGCCATATCTGCCCTTCTTTGTGGAGCAGCTTCTTTGTGGGCATGATTCAGGGTCTGCTTGAGAACCCACGCCAGCCGGAGGACAGGGACTTCCCCACAGGGTTCCTCTTCACCCTCTCACAAGCTACAGCATCTTCTTGGGACCCCTTACTGAGGTCTCCTCAACATGCCTGGTGTTCAGTGTATGGACCAGACCCCCAAGTCTGCTCCAGGCTAAGGGGCACCAGGTTAGGGAGATTCCCTGGGAAGAGACTTTGACCATGGCAATGGAGGTATCATGTACTATTGCGAGGGGAAGGATGCGGAGAAAAGACTGCTCTTTTGGGGCCCAGGTGCTCTGTGCTGGTAGAGGCCATGTAGTCTGGTTTGGAGAGATTAAACCCAGAAGAGTGTAGGAGACCCAGGAAGGGCTGTACCAGGTACTCACAAGACATCACGCCTGACAGTCTTGATAAAGATTCGGATGAAGCGCCAGCCGCCAGACCCCAGGTAGAGGAAGAACAGGGAGCACCCCACTTGGGTCCAGGGCAGTTTCAGCACCAGCCAGGAGAACAGCAGCACCCCCAACAGAGACGCCCCAAGCAGCATTGTGGCCTGTGGGCACAGGGCAGTCAGTGGACCTGAGTGTCTGGGTCCCCTACTTCCTGGCCCGGGCAGCCAGGCCACTATCATCTCAGATGGTCAATGTGCAGGGGGGTCAGATGGACCAGGGTAGCTGAGGACTGGGTCCCACCCCAGGACAGTCTGGAAGGGTCAGGCTAGAGGCCTGGACTTGAGGTGAGGAGCTGAGTTGCGGGTCAGAGGCTGGTTCCAGCCTCCCAGTCCCATTTATGCCCAGGACTCTCTGAATGATCTTGGACAAGTCCCTTTCCCACTTTAGTCCTTAGTCTTCTCCACTGTGCAATGGGTATAACGAGCATTGGTCTCAGAGGACAGTCTACTCGCCTGACATCTAGCATCCCAACCAAAACAGCTTGGTATTGACTTAAGTGCCTCTGGCTCGACTCCCCACTCTGAGACCTAGGGAGTTTCTGTGGATGATAAGGCCAAGTCACAGCACCCAGAGGCGCAGCTTCTTGGGAAGGGGCCTTGGTCAGTCCCTGCCCTTAGGCCTGGGAGCACCATGCCTCTGCTGGCCCACAGGGGGCGATGGAGAAAACAGGCAAAAGCCTGGAGGTGCCAGAGAGGTGATCTCCCAGAGGAGAAAGGTATTGAGAGGAAGAAGGCATTGAAAGCACCCCACAAACACACTCAGCAAGCCACTCTGATGACTCTTCGGGGACTGGGGCTTAAGGGAGGAGGAAGAGCTGGCAGGGCTGAGATTAGGGCTCTCGGACTCTATTCCTAGCACTTTACAGACTTGCTCAAGGGACAGCAGAAGGGGCTGTTTGCCTTCAGGCTCTCCTAATCCTGGGGAGGGGCTGAAGGTCACGGCTATGAGGGAGCCTGAGATCCTCCAAGCCAGGATGAAGACATGGTCCGGACCCTTTGACCATCTCCCCCTCCTCCACACGAAACGCAAAAGCCAGGAGGAGGACTTCACCAGCGCCTGCAACTTCAATGCCAAAGGTCTCCAAGGTCTCCAGAACTGTGGTCTCCCAGAGTCCGTCAGGGCAGAAGGCAAAAACCCGTCCCGAAAGCCTGAGGGTTGTGGACGAGGAAGGAATGGGATGCCCAGATCTCCCGGGGCTGCGATCCCGGGTCACTATGGATCGCACCGGCCCCTAAAAAGCCGGGGTAACAGAGCGCCCGGCAAGGAGACAGAGCAGCAGGGCGCGCCCCGTTTTCCCTTCCTCTCCGCCCCCAGCCCAAGCCGGTACTGCCACCTCCCCCGGACTCGACCGAGCACATTCTCTCGCCCGGAGACCCATTGTTCTGGCCTGTGCTCACCTGGCGTCGGCCCCCGCCGCGGGGCACCTTGTCCAGATGCGGCCCGCCGGCTGTAGCAGAGTAGGGAACGCGGCGCGCATCAGCCGCTCCTGGGCGCGCGGGTCAGGTTCTCAGCAGCGCTTTGCCGGCTTTGCGCCTCGCTTGGCCCGGGCCATTCGGCCGGCCCCGCCCGCCCGCGGCGCTCCTCCCCCCGCCCGCCTCCCGCCATCCAAACCGGCTGCGCCGGCCGGCAACACCTCCTCCGGCGCCTTGCCCACGGGCGAGCGAGCCGCAGAACCGCCCGGTGCAGCGCAGCCTCTGAGCGCCGGGCGCCGCCGGACTCAGCCCGCCCCCTACGCACGCGACGGCCTCGGGAGGGGCGCCGCGCCGCACGCTGGGGATTGTAGTCCGCGCGCCGTGCGCCCCCGCCAGGCCGGGAGGAGGCAGGCGGGCTCTTCCTGGACCCCCACTCCCCCCAACCCTTGGGCGCCCGGACGTGGGGGAGGGCACCCCCACCCCGACTGCACCACTGGCGAGGATTCCGGGAATCCGCGCCCAGACACTGGCAAAGAGTTCGGCAAAGGCCCCGCGCCGCACCTAGAAGGGCGCTAAAAGGGCGGGTGTTCAGGCAGAGGTATGCCGGCGCGGGGGAAGGTGAGCAACCGGCTCTGTGGCGCAATGGATAGCGCATTGGACTTCTAGCCGGCCTGGGTGTGGTTATTCAAAGGTTGTGGGTTCGAGTCCCACCAGAGTCGAATTTTGACGGCCTTCTTCACTTCCATTCGGATATTTTGTGGCCTCCAGTGCCATAAGGAGGAAGGACTGATGCTGAAGCTGGACAACTCCAATACTTTGGCCACCTGATGCGAAGAAATGACTCATTTGAAAAGACCCTGATGCTGGGAAAGGTTGAAGGCGGGAGGAGAAGGGGACGACAGAGAATGAGATGGTTGGATGGCATCACTGACTCGATGGACGTGAGTCTGAGTAAACTTCGGGAGGTGGTGATGGACAGGGAGGCCTGGCGTGCTGCCGTCCATGGGGTCGCAAAGAGTCGGACACGACTGAGCGACTGAACTGGACTGAACTGAGTGCCATAAGGTTCAGAAGCCCTCCCACGCTCCTGTGGCCCTCAGGCTAGCCCCAGTGCTTCTGGGACGGCAATAAACTTGACATCCGGAGTGCTGCGTAGGAACCCTTTGCTATCCTTGCTACCTTGAAAGCAACCTGGCAGTAAGTACAAAGGGCAGGGACCTGGAGACCGCTATAAATCTTTGGCCCCTGAAGAGAATGACCACATTTGTCGTGACACCTGCCCAACCCTGGGCCCCCTGCCAACTTCCCCGCCCTGTGTCACTCTGGACCTCTCAAAACTGGCCTCCTTGAGAATGAAACCTGTTGGGCATCCACAGTTGCCACTTGTCGTTAAATAGACCCCTTAATCCGGAGAGAGGTTCCAGAGGAAGGGGACACATGTACACCTATGGCTGATGCATGTTGATGTTTGGCAGAAACCAACACAGTACTGTAAAGCAATTATCCTTCAATTAAAAATAACTAGTTTTTCTTTTTTAACTTAAAAAAGATAGATTCCTCCTTAATCCCTTATTTCAGTCCAAGTCCTTCAAAGTGAGGAGGGACAATTTTCAGAGCCTGTTTATAGAAACAAAAATGAAAATTTGGGGGACTTCCCTGGTGGGTTAATGGCTAAGACTCCAAGCTCCCGATGCAGAGGGCCTGACTTCAATTACTTGTCAGGGAACTAAAACCTGCATGCTAAAAAGATCTTGCATGTTGCAAGGAAGATCCTGCATGCTGAAACTAAGACCTAATGTAGCCAAGTTTTTTTTTTTTTTTAATGAAATTTTGGTCTGATAAGTACTTGGATCTATTTCTTTCAGAGTACAGGATGCATCCTTTTGGGGGACCAAGGTATATAAAAGCACCACTTCTCCCTTGGGTATGACATTCGGGAGGCAGTGTGGTGCAGTGGTTATAGGCCTAGGCTTTGGCATCCAACAGACCTGGGTCAACTTCTCAGTTGAAAGTTCAAAGTTTCCTTTTCTTATATGTAAAAATCAAGACATGCTAATAGTGTTCACCTCAGAGGGTTGGTTTGGAGAGTCACAGGGAGCATCTGAATTAGCAGTTGACATTTTTATTATTGTAACTTATAGGCTTGTTGACCACAAAGCACATACAAAACCTGGACCTGAAGATTACCTCTAATTGTATTCACAGGTCTTAGCGAATAACAGAAGCTCAAATAAATGCTTGTTGAATGAATGACACAGAGAGTGAATTGGAGGCCTTGACCCAGGGGCACTAGTAGTAAAGAACCAGTCTTCCAGTGCAGGTAGATGTAAGAGACAAGGTTGTCCCTCACCATGTGCTCACTGTACTTCAGTCAACACCCACCACACACACGTTACTGTGATTTAGCTTCTTTGCTTTCTGGTCAGACACACCTGAGTTGCCCTCCAGACCAGCTGTTCTGCAAGTGGTGAGGGACAACCTATTCAGAGAAGAAATAATCTCTGCCTACCCACCTCGGTGTGTCCAGCTAGGCTATATGCCACTTTAGGGCAGACTGTCTTGTTCTTCTAGGTCCCCTGGCATCACCCCCCTCAGGCCAGGTACAGCTCTGGCTTCACCAATGTGTCCAGAGTGGAGGACAGCAGGGGTGTTGGTCACCACCACCACCTCTTCCTCCAAATACTCACTTGCCCACTTTGCATAGGACCCCAGGGGTTGATGTGGCAATGATGTTTACACTTGTGGATCTGGGTGTGGATAAGGTTGTGGATAAGTCTTTTCTCTCCCTGGAGCCTCCCGTGTGTCCTCGTCAGTAGGATGGCACTAGTCGTCACAGTCTCTGCCTGCTTCCAGCCTCAGGCTGAGTGTGGATCCAGTAAGATGATGCAGGCCAAACTCTCAGCATAGGCCTGGCACATCCAAGGCCCTCAGCTGCCACCGCTGCTCAACTCCACGAGGCTGGAGTGTGGCTGTCTCAGTGACTAGGGGGCCCTGGTGTTAGGGGAGTGTAATTTCCTCGGTTCTGTCTCATCACAACAAAAATTTGAAGCAACAGATGTTAAAGCCCTCGGTGCGTCACAGCTCTCAGACAGTGTTACAGCTCAGTTTTATTTAGAAAATGAAAATACATCCTTGAGGCGTGAGGGCCTGATGACCCAAAAGACCCAAAGAGAGGAGAGAGAGAGAGAGCACGCACAGGAGAGAGACCCCAGGCCCTTTGGCTTCTCTTTTTATATGTTTTTGCCCTTCCCTGGGCCTGCCCTATGTAAATTGGGCTAGCCAGAAGTACTGTTTATTCTACCTGAGGTCCTCACCCTGGTCCTCAGACCTTCCTTTGTTCAATTTTCGAGGGCTTTTCCCTTCCTTGTCTTTTAGCCACCACCATTCTGGACTCCTTTTTCCTATTCTAACTACCTAATGCTGGCATTCGGCAAACACTTAGAAGGCCTTGATGACATGATTGATGACTAGTGGGGATTGTACACCAGGCTACAGGAGGACCATGTAGTGGGAAAAGTAACTGGAAAAACCCTGGTGTGCTAGGCTGAGGTGGTTATACTGGGGCAGTGAAGAGCCACTGAAGGTTTTTATTTATTTTTTAAAATATTTATCTATTTAGGCTGTGCCAGGACTTAGTGGCGACACACAGGATCTTTAGTTGTGGCATGCGATTGCTTAGTTGTGGCATGCGATTGCTTAGTTGTAGCATGTGGGATCTCATTCCCTGACTGGGGATCGAACCCAGGTCCCCTGCATTGGGAGTGCAGAGTCTTATACCAATGGACCACCAGGGAAGTTCTGGGGGGTTCTTAAGAAGGGCAAGCTGGATGCTGTGGTTTGCAAGACCTGCTGAACAGAGGCTGATCTCACAGCGGGCTCCTTTTCACTGACGTGACCCCCCCATCTGCCCTGTGTTGGGGAACTAACATCAGCACTTAAATCTCCAGACTTAACAGAGATGGACATAAGAACTCATGTGAAGGAATGAAACCTCCCCTGGGGGCTGGAGTAGTTTGGCCTCTGCACAGCAGAGGTGCTTACCCCAAAGATGTTCAGCTGTATTTGGCATTAGGACCTCGGAGCTGTGTTAAGTCCTCCTACTTGGAGTGTGTGCAAAATACCTGTGGCTGGACTATGGACACAGTGACTTCAGAGGAGGCCTTGAAGGGCCGTCATGGGAAATAACAGCTTCCACATGCTAAATTCTTACTCTGTGCTAAAGTATTACACTTGCACAATGGTCCTGTTGTGGGATAGGCCTGTATTCTCCCCATTTTACAGATGAGAAAAACAGAGGCTCAAAGGGTGATGTGATTACTACAAGGGCGCAGGGCTGGTTGGTGCCAGGCCAGATCTGTCTTAAGAGCCTGTGCCCCCCAAACACAGATGGAGGGAAAGGGAGCTTCCCCTTGGCTATTGGGAGAAGACACAGGGCCTGCACATCCCAGGACAGGCTCCATCACACCCCAGCCATGTGACCCTAATGCAACTCTGTAGCCTGCCACGCTCCTATGTCCATGGGATTTTTGCAGGCAAGAATAGTGGAGTGGGTTGCCATTTCTTCCTCCAGGAGATCTTCCCAACCCAGAAAGCAAACCCGTGTTTCTTAAGTCTCCTGCATTGGCAAATGGATTCTTTACCACTGTGCCACCTGGGAAGCCTCGAATTTGAGAACAGTAAAACATATACTTCTGCATCATTTACTATGTAAAAAGCCTTTGTGTGGGTCACAACAAATTATGGAAAATTCTTAAAGAGATGAGAATACCAGACTACCTTACCTATCTCTTGAGAAACCTGTATGCTGGTCACAAAGCAACAGTTAGAACCTTTCATGGAACAATACACTGGTTCAAAACAGGGAAAGGAGTACAACAAGGCTGTGTATTGTCCTCCTGTTTATTTAACTTATATGCAGAGTACATCATTCAAAATGCTGGGCTGCACTCTCACCACTACTATCAACATAGTTTTGGAAGTTTTGGCCACAGCAATCAGAGCAGAAAGAGAAATAAAAGAAATCCAGACCGGAAAAGAAGTAAAACTTTCACTGTTTGCAGATGACATGATCCTCTACACAGAAAACCCTAAAGACTCTACCAGAAAATTACTAGAGCTAATCAATGAATATAGTAAAGTTGCAGGATATAAAATTAACACACAGAAATCCCTTGCATGCCTATACACTAACAATGAGAAAACAGAAAGAGAAATTAAGGCAACAATACCACCCACCATTGCAACAAAAAGAATAAAATACTTAGGAGTATATCTAACTAAAGAAACAAAAGACCTATATATAGAAAACTATAAAACACTGATGAAAGAAATCAAAGAGGACACAAATAGATGGATAAATATACCATGTTCATAGATTGGAAGAATCAATATTGTGAAAATGACTATACTACCCAAAGCAATCTATAGATTCAATGCAATCCCTATCAAGCTACCAATGGTATTTTTCACAGAACTAGAACAAATAATTTCACAATTTGTATGGAAATACAAAAAACCTCAAATAGCAAAGTAATCTTGAGAAAGAAGAATGGAACTGGAGGAATCAACTTGACTGACTTCAGGCTCTACTACAGTCATCAAGACAGTATGGTACTGGCACAAAGACAGAAATATAGATCAATGGAACAGAATAGAAAGCCCAGAGATAAATCCATGAACCTATGGACACCTTATCTTCCACAAAGGAGGCAAGGATATACAATGGAAAAAAGACAACCTCTTTAACAAGTGGTGCTGGGAAAACTGGTCAACCACTTGTAAAAGAATGAAACTAGAATACTTTCTAACACCATACACAAAAATAAACTCAAAATGGACTAAAGATCTAAATGTTAGACCAGAAACTATAAAACTCCTAGAGGAGAATATAGGCAAAACACTTTCCGACATAAATTACAGCAAGATCCTGTATGACCCACCTCCCAGAATATTGGAAATAAAAGCAAAAATAAACAAATGGGACTTAATTAAACTTAAAAGGTTTTGCACAACAAAGGAAACTATAAGCAAGGTGAAAAGACAGCCTTCAGAATGGGAGAAAATAATAGCAAACGAAGCAACAGACAAAGGATTAATCTCAAAAATATACGAGCAACTCCTGCAGCTCAATTCCAGAAAAATAAATGACCCAATCAAAAAATGGGCCAAAGATCTAAACAGACATTTCTCCAAAGAAGACATACAGATGGCTAACAAACACATGAAAAGATGCTCAACATCACTCATTATCAGAGAAATGCAAATCAAAACCACAATGAGGTACCATTACACACCAGTCAGAATGGCTGCTATCCAAAAGTCTACAAGCAATAAATGCTGGAGAGGGTGTGGAGAAAAGGGAACCCTCTTACACTGTTGGTGGGAATGCAAACTAGTACAGCCACTATGGAGAACAGTGTGGAGAGTCCTTAAAAAACTGGAACTAGAACTGCCATATGACCCAGCAATCCCACTCCTGGGCATACACACTGAGGAAACCAGAACTGAAAGAGACACGTGCACCCCAATGTTCATCACAGCACCGTTTATAATAGCCTGTTTATAATAGCCAGGACATGGAAACAACCTAGATGTCCATCAGAAGATGAATGGATAAGAAAGCTATGCAGAATCTCAACAAACCTTGATGTTTTGTTCCAAAGGTAATTTATTAAACAATAAAACAAATTAAAATAAAATAAAATTTCTTAAGCAAAAAAAAAAAAAAAAAAAAAAGAAAGCTATGGTACATATACATAATGGAATATTACTCAGCCATTAAAAAGAATTCATTTGAATCAGTTCTAATGAGATGGATGAACCTGGAACCCATTATACAGAGTGAAGTAAGCCAGAAAGATAAACACTAGTACAGTATACTAACACATATATATGGAATTTAGAAAGATGGTAATGATAAACCTATATGCAAGACAGAAAGAGACACAGATGTAAAGAACAGACTTTTGGACTCTATGGGAGAAGTTGAGGGTAGGATGATCTGAGAGAATAACATTGAAACATGTATATTATCAAGTGTGAAACAGATTGCCAGTCAGGTTGGATACATGAGACAAGTGCTCAGGGCTGGTGCACTGGGATGACCCAGAGGGATGGGATGGGGAGAGAGGTGGGAGGGGGGTTCAGGATGGGGAACACATGTAAATCCATAGCTGATTCATGTCAATGTATGGCGAAAACCACTACAATATTGTAAAGTAATTAGCCTCCAACTAATAAAAATAAATGAAAGAAAAAAAAACTAACATCTTGAAAGTAAAAAAAAAAAAAATGTTGGGGTGGATGAATCACAAGCTGGAATCAAGATTGCCGGGAGAAATATAAAGAAGCTCAGATATGCAGATGACACCACCCTTATGGCAGAAAGCGAAGAGGAACTAGAGCCTCTTGATGAGGGTCAAAGAGGAAAGTGAAAAGGCTGGCTTAAAACTCAGCATTCTAAAAACTATGATCATGGCATCTGGTTCCATCACTTCTTAGCAAACAAAAGGGGGGAAAGTGGAAGCAATGAGATTTTACTTTCTGGAGCTCAAAAACCACTGTGGACAGTGACTGCAGCCATGAAATTAAAAGACACTTGCTCCTTGGAAGGTTTGTCTGTGACAAACCTAGACAGCATATTAAAAAGCAAAGATATCACTTTGCCAATAAAAGTCCTTATAGTCAAAATTATGGTTTTTCCAGTAGTCATGTATGGATGTGAGAGCTGGACCATAAAGGAGGCTGAGCACCAAAGAGCAGATGCTTTTGAATTCTGGTGCTGGCAAAGACTGTTGAGAGTCCCTTGGACAGCAAGGAGATCAAACCAGTCAATCCTAAGGGAAATCAACCCTGAATACTCATTGGAAGGACTGGTGCTAAAGCTGAAGCTCCAATACTTTGGCTGCCTGATGCGAAGAGCCAACTCATTAGAAAAAGACCCTGATGCTGGGAAAGACTAATGGCAAAAGAAGGGGGAAGCAGAGGATGAAATGGTTAGATAGCATCACTGACTCAATAGACATGAATTTGAGCAAACTCCGGGAGACCGTGAAGGACAGGGAAGCCTGGCATGCTGCAGTCCATGGAGTCCCAAAGTGTTGGACACAACTTAGCGACTGAACAACAAGAGGTAAAATCCCATTGGCAAGCCATATCATTTCAAAAGCTTTACACACTCAAAATTTTGATAGTTACTGCCAAACTGCTGCTCAAAAAGATAACATGGATTATACTTCTAAGAAGTTTCCATTATTTTACATTATAGGCAACTGTAAATATTCCATTATTTACATTATAGGCAACTGAGAACATTTTTCACATTGGTTACTAATAAAAACATACAAATAAACCACTCACCAGAAAATCTTCGAATCTCTCAGAAAAATAAAACACTCATAATCATGGAAAGTCTGTTGTGTGTGACCCTAGGGTGCTCCCCAGACCTGAGACCCTCACTGCAAAATGCGGTTGTTGCGGGGACTGAATGAGATCTTGCCGGCAGGGTGCTCAGCACCATTACTTCAACCACGAAGCAGCAAGCCCCGACTGCCAGCCAGGCAGTGGTTCCCAACACTGAAGGGAAAGGGCACTGCCCTCCGGGAGCGCCTAGCTCCTAACAAACGTGGTCACCCCAGCGTGTGGTAAGCACTGTAAAGAAAACCCTTGACGAGACGGCTTCAGACAGGGTGGTCTGGGAAGTACCCTTGGAGGTGACGCTTGAGTACAAGTGTGAATGACAAGGAGCTGACCACGTTAGGACCTAGGACGTGGTGTTCTCAAAGGTAGGAAGAAGGCCGCCGTGGTTTATTCGGACGAAGGAGGGAAGATCCTGGGCCTCCGAGGCTGCAGTAAGTGCTCAGTGAGTGGTAGCTGTTGCTACTGTCATTTTTTCCCCACCATGAGCTGGAGACCAGGCCCCCTCGCCAGCTCATCCTGATGCCCGGGGCCCATCTCTTGAGGGTCATAAAGGCCCAGGGTCATCAGGCACTGAGCGGCTGGAGCAGGTGAGCTTGCCAGCTGGGCAGAGAAGACCACCTGAGGGTCTGACCTTCCCCCACAACTGTCAACTTTTCCAGACCTCAGGGTGGAGGGGCTCGGGGCCGGGGCAGCAGCTGGCAGGTCTGGAAAGGTGGCCTGTACCTCGAGGATGAATGAAGTACAGGGAGCTCGCCCCGACCTGCTCCTCGTTCTGCAGAAATTCAAAGTGCTTAGGACGAGGCTTCCCTCTTGAAAAGGCCATGGTTTCAACATGGGCCTCCAGCCTCCCACACTCTCCCTCCACCACTGGGAGTGCTGGACTGGGTACATGGTGGGTGTGAGGAAGGCTGAGGCGCCGGGGTGGCTGTGCCAGCCAGGTCTTCGGACAGTCCCTGATTCCAGCCCTATCTCCGCTCCTACTGCCTCAATGAAATACAGGTGATGGTACCACCTCTGTCCTTGTGTTGTTGGAGGTGTCGATGTGGTAATGCACCTGGGGTACAGCCGTAAACTGCAGCCCTTGTTATCCACAGGGAGGCTACGGCACAACCAGCCAGGCTGTGTGGCCTGTGTTCTTTCTCCAGACACCTCCTTGCTTACGTCTGGGACTTCCATCGCCCTGCCCACACAATGAGGAGCTAGCCTCCAAAACTTCTAAAGGCTCTGCCACCCTGGGAGTCTTTCTGGCTGTAAATCCCAAGACAGGGCCGCCTATCCTTCTCACAACGCTCTTCACCCTGCCTGTCCACAATTCTTGGCTCTGACTCGAGGAAAATGCCTGGCTGCTACTCCAGAGGGAGCCTGCAGCCTCACAGTCGCCTCCTCCCACTGAGAACACAGCAAGAACAGAACAGCTCCTACTTGGGCCCCTTCTCTGGGCATCACTTCATGAACCCCCAGAGCAACCCTGGGAGGTGGGGGCCACTTCAATCCCTTCTACTGATGATGCAACAGGTCCACAGAGCAGAAGAGATTTGCCCTAAGTCCCTCTGCTAGAAGGCGGAGGAGGAGTGGGGAATTTGAATCCCAGAGCAGCAGGGAAAAGCAGCAGAAGCTTTGGCTGGAGGGAGTGTCTGCCCTCAGCACTCGAATGTCCAAGCCTGCCAGGGTCATGGGCAGCACTGGGCAGAGACGGGAGAAGCAGACTCGGGACCTGATGGGAGCTTTTATTCAGACAGCAGAGACCCGCCTGCCCCTCTGCCTCCCTCTTCGTCAGGCCTTGGGAATCAAGGGCAGCCCCTCCCCCCGTGAAGACCCTCCAGCCTGGCACCCAGAGATCACTGGCAGGCAGGGAGGGCTCGGGCACATGGGCTGTGGACCTGAGCAATCCCTGAGCACACGGGGTTCACGCCCGGCTCCCCAGGGGCTCCACTGGCTGCTCCCTCCCAGGGTGGCCTTCAAAGCCGCTCCGCGGCGCTCATGATAAATTATAATGAGTGACGTCCAAGGGCCAGAGTTCACAGAGGAGGAACCCAGGTGCTGGCAGAGGCGTGCTCCACTCCCGGCAGAAGAGGGGGGTGGGGCAGGGCCGCAGGCGCTCAGGGCCTACACCAGGCCCTCCACACGCAGGGGTGGCTCCGTGATGCCCAGCTCCTGCCGCAGAGCCTGCAGGGGCTGTTCCCAGCGCCGCTCGTAGTACACGTTGAGGACACATGGGGCTCTGCGGCCATTCTCAACTGCCCATGGGATCAGCTCCGAGATCAGCAATTGCAGGCTCCTGTGGGGCCGCAGAGGAGACAGAAGACAGAGGACCCGGGGTCCTAAGCGCCGGGCACACCACCTGCCTGGAGCCAACGTGTGTGTCCTCAGTTAATCCACACACAGACCCAAGAGGAGGCAGTTCCCAGCCCCACTTTTCAGATGAGGAAACAGAAGCTCAGTGAGGTAAAAGCCCTATGCGCAAAGCCACACATTTTGAACACGCCAAAGCTCCTTTTTAAATTGAGGGCTCTCCCCACCTCCAGAAACTAATGCCAGACTGCGTCCCCAGGAACCCGCACCCCCACCCCACCAGCCCCAGGTTTCCCGACCCAACTGTTCTCACTTGATACTGGGGCCTGGCCCGTGAAACCCTCAAGTCCTATGAAGCGTCCAAGCTTCACACCTCATCCTGGAGCCCCTGCGCTAGGCCAGGTTCACGCTCTGCCCCAGCCTTCCCATCCTGGCTTCCTGAGATCCACTGGGGCTGCTCAGAAAGGCTGTGGGCTCTTCCCATTTCCTGGAACCCTGAACCTTCCCTTGACCCCTCAGCCCTTGAGAACTTACTGGGCGCTGAGCTGGATCGGTCCGAAGAGTGCACTCAGGACGCACATGGGCAGGCCGGTCTGGACAGCCTCAAACCATTTCACCACGATCTCTCCTGGCAAGCAGGGTGAGGAAGTGGGTGAGAAGTGAGGACGGGCCGGGGGAGGAGAGGCCAGTGATGCTCAGGGCAGGACACAGTGAGGTGTCTGTTCCACTCCAATCTCTACCGGGGGTCAGCAGTGCCCAGTCCTGGCCTGTGCTGGGCCTTGGGGCACTTGGCTTGGGGTGGGGGAAGAGGGTCCAAGAAAGAGCAGAAGGAGGTAAGGGCTGGAAAGGAAGCTTGGGGTCAGGGTGCGGAACTCCAAAAGCCAAGCTGAGGAGTCCAGGCCTCTGGGAACCGCTGAGGGTTTCAGAGCGTGGGGAGCCCAGGTGTCTGGACGCTGCCACGTCAGTGTAGGAGCCGTCAGAGGCACTGGGGGTGGAGGATGGGGATGTGTGGCCCAGATACACCACAATGTTCGGGTAAAGGGAAAAATGAGGCACCGGGTTAGCTAACTGGTGAGCGGCTGAAACAGGTGTGCCCTGACCTGGCCCTGGAGATAGATCGGGAGACAGGCTGAATGGAGGGCCCGGCCCCGACTCAGGCCCCTCACGGGGTATGCTCCACCCCACCCCAACTCTGGAAGCATCCAGGGGCTGCTGGCTGGCCAGCACTCACCCAGGATGTTGGTGGGCATGCCCAGCAGGGTGTGGAGCATGTCGTGGATCTCCCGGTACCGCTGGATCACGTATGCCAGCTCCTCGTCGTCCACGAAGCGGGTGGGTGCGCGGGTGTCTGGGGAGACCCTCTGAGGATCATGAAAGTGAAATCAGTCGTGTCTGCGACCCCATGGCCTGTAGCCTGCCAGGATTCTGCATCCATGGGATTTTCCAGGCCAAGAGTACTTGGCCTGGAGTGGGTTGCCATTTCCTTCTCCAGGGGAATTTTTCAGACCTAGGGATTGAACCTGGGTCACCTGCACTGCAGGCAGATTCTTTACTGTCTGAGCCACTGTCAGGGGCTTCCCGCCCCCTGACAACCATGACCCCTCCCTAGACCCCTTCCTCGTGGTTCTCGGGGTCCAATTTCCCAGCATCCCCTCGACTCTCAACCATGCCACCAAATTCACACCGCACCAGAAGTATCTCAGGACTTTAGGTCTGTCCGCACCTGCTGACAGGGGAGTCTGCAGGCAGGGAATATAGGGGGCGCCCCCGTGGCCTACCCCAACTCACACAGGATGTACACCCCCTGCCGGAATCTCAGAAACCCCTGGCCGGGAGGGGGAAACAGGAGGTGTTTACTGATATTGAGTTTCAGTTTTTACAAGATGAAAAAGCTCTGGTGATTGGTTTCACAACAATGTGACTATATTTAACACACTACTGAACTGCCCATTTAGAGATGACTAAGATATAAATCTTATGATTTTTTTTTTTTGAACCACAATTGGAAATAAAATGAGGAGGGGGGAGAAAAGATGCACCCAAGGCCCCCCCCCCTTCTTCAGATAAGCTGCTCCCGGCCTAGGGTGCTCTTTCCCTTTGACAATTCCTACCTGTCCCTTACAAGCTGGCTTAAGTGTCCCTTCTGCAGGAAGCTACCCCTGACCTCCAGACAGATCAGGTCCACGTTATGGTCTCTTATAGCACCCGGTACTTTTTTGTGGCATCTGACATGACTGTATCGTGATGTCTGGGGCACGTGATCGTTAATGTCTCCTGTTCACACCAGCACTGTTGGGTACAGCAGCCAATCGTGGCAGCCACCAAGCCTTGAAATGAGACAAGTGCCAACTGAGATGTGCTGTATGTGTGAAATACACACTGGAGCTCCAAGACTTGGCATGACGAGAATAATGTGAAATCTCAATAATTTTATAGTATTGATTACATACTGAAATGGTATTTTAGCACACAAAAATAAGATGTTATTAAAAGTAATACTACCTGTTTCTATTTTGTTTTTGTTTATCTGATAGCAGCAGATTCTAAATTCCCTTCATGGTAAGCATGCTATCGCCGTGAACAGTGCTGCAATAGTCTGTCATCAGCCCAAGACCGGGCTCTCTGTTCTGTCTCCAAGGCCTGGAATCAACTTCTTGTAAATACAGGAGTAAAAGGCCAGCTCCAGGCACTTTCTGACCCCAGGCAGGGATAGCAACTGTCCTTCTTTACCTGCCCACCGGCAGGGATGGCAACTGTCCTTCTGTACCTACCCACTGCCTCTCTGAGTTCTCAGTGGCACCATGCAGAGTAGGTCTTCCTAGTTTCAGAGCATGAGCTCAGCCTGTCCAGAGGTCAAGGGATTTGGTGCCTTTATTTTGGGGGCTGCTAGCCCAGTGCCATGGTCTGTATTTGTGACTTCATTGGGTCCCTGGTTCTAATTTCTTCTATAGAGTTCTATCTGCCGTGTGAAGCTGAAGGTGGTCAGTGAAGGCTGACACCTACTATGTGCCAGCACTGTATGAAGTCCTCCATACATATTGTCCTGCCATGTCCTGAGGCCACCTGGGGGTAGATATTGCTATCAGCCTCAGATACAGATAAGAAAAAAAGGAGAGATAAAGTAACTTTGTCAGAGATCACACAGCTAATCAAGTGGCTGAGTCAGGATTCCGAACACAGCCTGCTGGATTCCAAAGCTTTAACATCCATTATTAATCAGCCATATAAGTGCCTTGGAAGATAAACATGAGGTTTCCTTACCTCAGATAAAGAGTCTGAGGCTCAGAGGTCAAGTGATTTGCCCAGAGCTTTAAAGACGGAAAGAAAGACTAGCAGTCAGTCTCAGGGGAGGTGGCCTCACCTTGACCTTTGATCTAAACCTCCATTGGGACAAAGGTGTTCCCTTATGTTTTGTGGGCTGCCGGGTTTCTATACACTAGAAGTGTCACAATCTCCAGGGCTATTACTTAAGGCTGTGGCTAAGCAAGGTGCCCAGGGAGGCCTTGGCAGTTCCGTCCCATCTACAATAGGACAAAAGGCTCTAGGGGACTTCAGAAGGAGAATATCCTTTTCTGGGTGGTACCTGGAGCCAACTTCCCATTGATGAAATAAACTTGCATCTTGGTGAAATTTCTGGGTGACAGTATAAAATGGGGCACGGGCAATAGGGAGCAGTACAGGAGAGGATAGGAAGAGGATTATTTTCTCAAGGACAATAATCTAAAGCAGATGTTCTCAACCGTCTACCTGAGGATAGCTGCAGTGTCTGGAGACATTTAAGGTTGTCACAACTTAGTGGGGCAAATGCTACTTGAATCTAGTATGTGGAAGCCAGGAATGTTTCCTACAATGTACAGCGCTGCCCTACAACAAAGAACTCTCCAGCCCCAAAAGTCAACAGTGGCAAGGCTGAGACACCTAGCTCAAGAGCAATCTTGGCTCACTCTTTCACCTCCTCCAGGCTGGCTGGCTCCTGCAGCTGGACTGGATGGCAACTTGACAGAGATGCTCTGATGGGATGTGTATGTGTTGGGGGGCAGGAAAGGGTAGGAACAGAGACTCTGCTCTGCTATAGCCTAAGGTCCTTTTATAAAGCAGAACATGTTACTATCTGGCTCGAAACCTCAATGGCTTCTTACTGCTTCTATTACAAAATACAGACTTTGTCTCTAAGCAGATAGGGTAGGGGGCCCATGGAGAAAGAGAACCAGGCATGACATTCTTTTTTTTTTTTTTTCAGGCATGACATTCTTGAGATTAGAGAAGCCACTTTAAAGCCTAAGTCAACTTGTGATCTAAGCCTGGACACAATGCTTGCCCTTCAACATGTCTCAGTAATTAATCATCTTAAAGGAATAAAGGGATGCGGGAACTGAGGAAAAGCAGTTAAGAAACAATGAAAGAGAAGTGAAAGTGTTAGTTGCTCAGTCATGTCTGACCCTTTGTGACCCTGTGGACTGCAGCCCACCAGGCCCCTCTGTCCATGGGATTCTCCAGGCAAGAATACTGGAGTGGGTTGCCATTTCCTTCTCCAGGGGATCTTCCCAACCCAGGGATTGAATCTGGGTCTCCAGCACTGCAGGAAGACTCCTTACCATCTGAGCCATCAAGAAATAATAGTTCAAATGTAAAAGAGTCCCAGCTCCTCCTCAAAGAATATACATTAACAATCTGATATGTATCTTTATACTTTTCTATAGGAACTAAGGCCCCCATCCAGGTGGAGAGTGGTATCTACATGCTAAGATCCCAGATTAGTTAAGAAATGATGATGTTGACCTGACTCTCCTGACATCAATCAACTAAGACTTGGACCCTGTCGACCTTTGCTCCAATTCTATGCTGAATTCTCTGCTCAAGATCTGATAGAGTGCCTGAAGAACTATGGACACAGGTTCGTGACATAGTACAGGGGGCAGTGATCAAAACCATCCCCAAGGAAAAGAAATGCAGAAAGGCAAAATAGTTGTCTGAGGAGGCCTTACAAACAGCTGAGAAAAAAAAAGAGACGTGAAAGGCAAAGGGGAAAAGGAAAGATATACCCATCTGAATGCAGAGTTCCAGAGAACAGCAAGGAGAGATAAGAAAGCCTCCCTAAGTGAACAATGCAAAGGAACAGAGGAAAATAATACAATTGGAAAAACTAGAGATCTTGTCAAGAAAATCAGACATACCAAGGGAACATTTCATGCAAAGATGGGCATAATACAGGACAGAAACCATATGGAACTAAAAGAAGTAGATGATATCAAGAAGAGGTGGCAAGAATACACAGAAGAACTACACAAAAAAATCTTAATGACACAGATAACTACCATGGTATGATCACTCACCTAGAGTCAGACATCCTAGAATGCGAAGTCAAGTGGGCCTTAGGAAGCATCACTATGAACAAAGCTAGTGGAGGTGATGGAATTCCAGCTGAGCTATTTCAAATCCTAAAAGATGATGCTGTGAAAGTGCTGCACTCAATATGCCAGCAAATTTGGAAAACTCAGCAGTGGCCACAGGACTAGAAAAGGTCAGTTTTCATTCTAACCCCAAAGAAAGGCAATGCCAAAGGATGTTCTAACTACCGCATAATTGCACTCATTTCACATGCTAGCAAAGTAATGCTCAGAATTCTCCAAGCTAGGCTTCAGTAGTATGTGAACTGACAACTTCCAGATGTTCAAGCTGGATTTAGAAAAGGCAGAGGAAACAGAGATCAAATGGCTAACATCGGTTGGATCATAGAAAAAGCAAGAGAAAAACATCTACTTCTGCTTCACTGACTATGCTAAAGGCTTTGACTGTATAAATCAGAACAAATGAAAATTCTTCAAGAGATGGGAATACCAGATCACCTTACCTGCCTCCGGAGAAACCTGTATGCAGGTCAAGAAACAACAGTTAGAACTGGACATGGAACAACAAAGTTGGGAAAGGAGTATGTCAAGGCTGTATACTGTCACCCTGCTTATTTAACTTATATGCAGAGTTCAGTTGCTCATTCATGTTCGACTCAGCAACCCCATGGACTACAGCACGCCAGGCTTCCCTGTCCATCACCAGCTCCCGGAGTTTGCAAGAGTATATGCAGAGTACATCATGCAAAATGCCAGCCTGGATGAAGCAGAAGCTGGAATCAAGATTGCCAGGAGAAATATCAATAACCTCAGATATGCAGATGACACCACCCTTATGGCAGAAAGCAAAGAGGAACTAAAAAGCCTCTTGATGAAGGTGAAAGAGGAGAGTGAAAAAGCTGGCTTGAAACTCAACATTTAGAAAAGTAAGATCATGGCATCTGGTCCCATCACCTCAAGGCAAATAGATGGGGAAACAATGGAAAAAGTGAGAGACTTTTATTTTCTTGGGCTCCAAACACTGCAGATGGTGACTGCAGCCATGAAATTAAAAGATGCTTGCTCCTTGGAAGAAAAGCTATGATAAACCTAGACAGCATTATTTAAAAGCAGAGACGTTACTTTGCCAACAATGGCCCGTCTAGTCAAAGCTATGGTTTTTCCAGTGATCATGTATGCATGTGAGAGCTGAACCATAAAGAAAGCTGAGCACAGAAGAATTGATGATCTTGAACTGTGGTGTTGGAGAAGACTTCTGAGTCCCTTGGACTGCAAGGAGATCAAACCAGTCAATCCTCAAAGAAATCAGTCCTGAATATTCATTGGAAGGACTGATGCTGAAGCTGAAGCTCCAGTACTTTGGCCACCTGATGCCAAGAGCTGACTCATTAGAAAAGACCCTGTTGCTGGGAAAGATTGAAGGCAGGAGGAGAAAGGGATGACAGAGGACAAGATGGTTGGATGACATCACCAACTTGAATGAAATAAGTTTCAGCAAGCTCTGGGAGATGGTGATGAACAGGGAAGCCTGGCGTGTCGCAGTCCAGAGTTGCAAAGAGTCGGACACAACTGAGTGGCTGAACTGAACTGGACTGTAGCCTGCCAGGCTCCTCTGTCTACGGAATTCTGAACAACAACAAGCCCCTTCATGAATATGAATATACTGTCAGCTTAAAGTTTCCTCAATTTTGCTGTTAACAGACAATGCTTTGGGAAAGATCCTTGGTCTTCTCCATACACACTGCAAGTAATAAATCCTTCCTTCTGATCTTTGGTTTGGTTGCATCTTTAGGCTCAACACCCACCAAGAGTGGCTTTGGGGGTAACCCAGTTTCGGGGTGACACTTCCCGTGGCGTGCAGGGCCTGGCTGAGCTAGGCCGACCTCCCAGCGCACTGGCGGCCTCCCCACAACTCATTCCTCTGAAGTTATACTGGCCACATGGATCAGTCTTCCTTTTCCTAAACACACATAGTCTCGCACTTGCCAGTTTCTCTGCTCAGAATGCTCTTCCCCAGCTCTCCTCAGAAGTGACTCCTCCTTAGCCTCCTGGAAATCTCCACCCCTTGCCCAAAATAGTTGGAATAATTCTCCCACTCATTAGCCTATGAAATTACCCAGCCCATAAAAAAACGAACCCTGCCACATTTCGAGGCCACCACTCTCACCTTCTGCGGTGGCCCACACTCTGTGAAGTGTGTTTTTCTCTGAATGAATTCACTTCTTACTTATCACTTTGTCTCTCAATTGTCTGTGATGAGACATCAAGAACCTGAGCTTCAAGACCGTGGGTTTTGGCTGGGTTCGAGTCCCAGTCTGAGGTACACGGTGTTTCAGCAGGGCCTCCTATGACCACCCTGTTGGAAGTGGCCACCGGCCACCCTGACCCCACCCTTGCCCTCTATCGAGTAGGCTGTTGTCCTCACGGCACCACCCGCGAGGACAGAAGCCCCACAAGAGCAGGCGCTTTCCTAGTTTGATTCAGCGTGTCCCAGCTGCTGAGGACACTGGTGTGATTTTTCTTCTTCTGGCTGCACCGAGAGGCATGCGGGATCTTAGTTCCCTCACCGGGGACTGAACCTGCGCCCCTGCACTGGAAGGCAGATTCTTAACCACTGGACCACGGGAAAAGTCCCATCTGGTATGTTTTAAGTACTAAATAAATATTTTGCCTGAATTTTCACATAAAAGTTTTCTTCTTTTACTATTTTATGGTCTACCCGTTTCCTCACTAGAATATTAGTTCCATGAGGGCAAGACCTTGTCTGTCTAAGTTGCCACTATATCCCCACGCTTGCATCAGTGGATGGTGCATGACTGACTCTGAAGAAATGAATGAGTTCCTCGGTAGTTGGGGGTCCTGCCCGCCTAGTCCCTGTCCTCTCTGGCTGGGGTTGGAGAGTGTCACAACTTGTCACACCCAAGGGGCACACTGTCTCTACAAAAGGGGACACAATGTGATAGTTAAGAGCATAATTCTGATTTGAATATTGCCTCCAATAATACGGGCCTGTGAAATCAGCAAGTTGCTTAACCTCTCTGAGCCTTAGTTTCCTCATCTTGGCAGAGCTGTTGGGGGGAATTCAGTGAGATCACGTGTGAACCTGCCATGTGGCACACAGGAGAGGTTAGTAAGTGCAGGGCAGTGTAATTGCTTGGAGCGGTGCTCCTGGCCCACATGCCTGAACCACAGAAAATGACAATGCCTTGGCACGAGACTGCAAGGCAGTCCTTCCTGTGGTGGAGGTGCAGGCCCCTCCTTCCTCAGGACATTACTCATGTGCCATTCATCTGCCCTCCCTGGTGACTGCCAAACGCACAGAAGCTGGAGACTCACATTCACATCCAGGAAACGGAGATACGCGCAGCCAAAGGAGCCCTCAGGAAGACCCCGGAGCTTGCCCATGTCAAGGGTGGACAGCGAGATCCGGGGACGCTCCCTGTGAAGCAGAAGGCAGGACTCAGATACTGGGAAGGCACCAGCAAAGGCAGGTGGAAGGTCCAGCTAGATCAAGGGTGTGAGAGGTGAAGGGGCAGAGGGCAGCAACGGGGTCAAGTCCTAATGGAGCCCCTACTATTGGCCAGGCTGGTGGCAGGGACTGAAGAGACTACCACAAGCTAAGGCTGTGGTTCGTGCCTTAGGTAAATAGACCTCAGATGTGAGCTGGGTAGTCACACAGGGCACTGCAGGGGTGGGAGTTACAGGCAGCCTATGTTATGGGAGACACAAGAGCCCTGTTGTTGGAACTGGGCTGAGGCCACCATACTGCACTGTCCAGAGGTCATCAGAGTTGTCTATGTGAATGATACCTACGGAGTTGAGCAGTGCCCAGCCTGTGCAACCATCCACAGCCATGGTATCAAGAAAAGTTTCCTAGAGGAACACCATGTGATTCCAGAGGAATCAGAATCCCCAAAGAATGCCCTCAATCCCCCAGGCAGAGCTGGGACCTACTGCAGGATCTGGGCACCCTCTGGATCCTTCTTCATCTGGTCCCTGAGGACCTTCAGGGTACGGTGTCCTGTGGTCTCTCCCAGAACTGCAACCATGTCTGAAAAGAAAAAAAATGGGGACAAATGGAGGCTATGATCTTAGGTAAATTATCTGACTTGGTCTAAACCTTAATTTCATACATGGTAAAACAGAGGATCTAGCTCTTAGTTATGAAGATTCAAGTGAAACAGTGAATCCCCTGGGCACACAATAGAGCTCAGTCCGGCTGTAGTTACTATTGTCATCAGTCTAACGGGGTGAGGTGGCCCTGGCTAGCACAATGCTCCAAAGAGTTAATAAATCACTTTCACATCCATCATCAGGACAGAATGTCGCGTCTCTGTGGATGGGCAGACTGGCGTCAGACAGCGCTGGGTTCGAGCCCCATGTGGATCACTATGTAGGTGACTGTGTGCAAACTGCTTCATGTTCCCAATCTTCAGTGTCCTAATAGATGAAGTGCAGGTAATACCTTTCTTTTAGGGTCAATGTTAAAAGTCAAGAAGGTTATGCATATAAAACACTTAGCACAGTGAGCAAGTAAAATAAGGGCTCAGTGAGCAGTCAGCATTATCATTTTTACTGGAAAGAAGAATAGTGCTTTCAGGCCTAAGAATCCTAGAGGGGAGGAGAAAAACACTGCAGGATCCCAAAGTGTCCTATTGAAACACTCAGCAAACATTTATTGAACGTTTATTACGAGCCACGCACAATCCCAAACGCTACCAGGATGCTATCATTTGATGGGCGCTCATAAATTATCTAGTCCAGAGGTTCTCAGTGTGTCTGAGTAACAGAATCTCCCAGGAAGCAGTTTAAAAAGGCAGAAGCTCAGATCCCACTTCCCTTCCATTCTCCCCTACTCACTCCTGCTGCTGCTGCTAAGTCGCATTAGTGGTTTGACTCTGTGTGACCCCATAGTCGGCAGCCCACCAGGCTCCCCCTTCCCTGGGATTCTCCAGGGGAGAACACTGGAGTGGGTTACCATTTCCTTCTCCGATGCATGAAAGTGAAAAGTGAAAGTGAAGTCGCTCCGTCGTGTCCGACCCTTAGCGACCCCATGGACTGCAGCCCACCAGGCTCCTCCGTCCATGGGATTTTCCAGACAAGAGTCCTGGAGTGGGGTGTCATTGCCTTCTCCGCTACCCACTCCTGGCAGATTCCAATTGTGTAAATTTAGGGTGGGATCCTGGTATCTACATTTTTATGAATGTTTCAGATGATTATGACTTGCAGCCAGGTTTGGTTATCCTGGTCTAGTCTAATCTACAGTTAACCAAGCAAACCGGGAGGCTTTGACAATGGCCGGGACCTGCCGGGCTTTAAAGGCAAGGGCGCATCGGGCCCCGGACCCCCGTGGTTGTTGTTCAGTCGCTCAGTCCTGTCCGACTCCTTGCGACTCCATGAACTGCAGCAGGCCAGGCTTCTCTGTCCTTCACTATCTTCTGCAGTTTGCTCAAACTCATGTCCATTGAGTCGGTGATGCCATCCAACCATCTCATCCTCTGTGTCCCGCTTCTCCTCCTGCCCTCAATCTTTCCCAGCATCGGGGTCTTTTCCAATGAGTCGGCTCTTCGCATCAGGTGGCCAAAGCATTGGAGCTTCAGCATCACTCCGGATCCCTAGTTGCCCCAGTAAAGCGCCGGCGGGGCGGGCTGCCTTACCGTGGCGATAGGGATCATAGAGCGCCATCCCGGCAGAGCCGGCGGCCAGCAGCACCTTCTGCAGCGGAGAGGTGGGGATGTGTTCGGGGTAGAGCAGGCCGGCGCCATGGCTCACGGCTCTGAGGGGAACACCTGCGGAGCAAGAAAACAGCCGTGCGGTCAAAGGAGCGGAGCGAGTCACGTCCCCGGCCCTCCTTCCCGCGCCCCCGCTGCTTGCCTGTAGCAGAGCCGGGACTGCCTCGGAAAGCGCAGAGCGGGCGCAGAAACCCGCGCAGCAGCGTCGTCATGGCCGCGGGCGGATGTCCTGGGGGAATGAGCGGGGCAAGGCCGACTCCGCCCCCCCAAACTTCTCTGGAGACGGCGCGCCGGAGAAATCAAAAAGGCTCGAGCCCTACTGCGCTGAGTGGGGAGGGCCTTTTGGGCGGGAAAAATAGCACGGACAGGAAAAGTCTCTCGCTAAGCATGAGAAAACCTAGGCAACCCCTTTGTTACCTATACCCACGGATATAAAATCCTCCTCATTTCACCTCACCCCCAAGAGAGGTCTCCAAGTAAGCCTCGCCAGGTTTGGGGTTCAGTACCGGACCCTACGTCCTTCTCCATAGCACGTTTCCCCCCCGAGGACAATAAGAAGGGAACCTCTTCCGGCCGTGAAACATGGCGGCGCCCATTGGTAGTACAATTTTTGGGGGGCGGGACCATACAGCACTTCCGCCCGAGTTCCGCTGTTCAGCGCCAACTGGGGCCGCGCAGGCTTCAGCCATGGGGTCAGCAGGCCTGGCTCGGCTGCAGGGGCTTTTCGCCATCTACAAGCCCCCGGGGCTAAAATGGAAGCATCTACGGGATACTGTGGAGCTGCAGCTTCTGAAAGGTGGGTGCCTCGAGCCAGACCCAGGATCCCGCTCCCGTTCCCCAGGAGTCCATCTTAGCTTCTGATCCTTGTTGCAAAATAAGATCATGTGACGCAGTTGTCTGGGCACAGCGATTTCCTAACTGCCTGTTAGGTTCACAGTACCTCGCTTTCTCCCGTGTTCAAATGGGTAAACAGATTCAGTACTGCCCGTGGTCCTAAGTAATTAATAAGTGGTAAAGTCAAGATTTGAACCCAAGTCTGTTTCTTAACTTCTGTTCTTCTCTGCACCGTGGACATCCAAGCTGTCTTCTACAACAGAATCTATGAGATGTTCTTTACGTGTATTCAGGTCTAAATGCTGGGAAGCCTCCTGCCCCTAAACAGCGTGTTCGCTTCCTGTTGGGCCCCGTGGAAGGCAGCGAAGAGAAGGAGCTGACCCTCACAGCCACCCGTGTGCCCACACTCATCGACCATCCCCTGGGTAATGCGCATTCAGGAAAGGGGCTGGGTGTCGCTTCCCCGGGAAATCCCTGCCCAAAGTCCGTGTGTCCCAGCCAGACTCCTCCTGTCCCCGACCAATGTAGGACCACAGCGGCAATGAAGTGTTTGACCAGAGATTGGCAGAATTTCCTGGAAAGGGCCAGATAGTCAATATTTTAGGCTTTGCAGTTTTCTGTCATTGTAGTGCAGAAGCAGCTGTAGACAGTGTGTAATGAGCCTGGCTGTGTTCCAGTGACACTTTACCTGTGGATTTGTTGTTGTTCAGTCACTAAGTTGTGTTCTCTAAGTTGTATTTGATTCTTTTGGGACCTTGTGGATTGTAGCCTGCCAGGATTTCCCAGGCAAGAATCCTGGAATGCGTTGCCATTTCCTTCTCAAGGAGATTGAACCCACATCTCCTGCACTGGCAGGATTCTTTACCACTGAGCCACCAGGGAAACCAGGCATCACCGGCTGAATGGACTTGAGTTTGAGTCAAGTCCGGGAGCTGGCGGTGGACAGGGAGGCCTGGCATGCTGGAGCCCATGGGGTCACAAATAGTCAGACACGACTGAGCGACTGAACTGAACTGACTATGGAAGCCCCTTACTTGTGGATACTGACATTTGAATTTCATGTATTTTTCATATATCATGAAATAATATTCTTTTCATTTTTTTAAAACCACTTAGTAACATAAGAATCATTTTAACTTGTGGGCCATAAAAAAGCAAAACTTAAGGAGTTGACCTGTGGACTGTAGTTTGCTGACCCCTTTATTATTCTGGGATTCCAGGTAAAAATTGAGACCCTTAGGTAGAAATCCTAAGGACAGAATTTGGAGCTCCTGTGAAAGAGTGACTTAAAATTTTTTATTTTATTTTATTGAAGTATAATTGATTTACAATATTGTGTTAATTTCTGCTGTACAGCAAAGTGATTCAGTTATATGTATGTATACATTCTATTTCACATTCTTTTCCATTATGGTTTATCACAGGATATTGAATATAGTTTCATATGCTATACAATAGGACCTGGTTGTTTATCCTTTCTACATATATGTGTGTGTGTGTCTGTGTGTCTGTGTGCCTGTGTCTGTGTGCTCAGTCACTCAGTTGTGTCCGACTCTTTGCAGCCCTGTGGACTGTAGCCAGGCTTCTGTGTCCATGGAATTTTCCAGGCAAGAAGACTGGACTGGGCTGCCATTTCCTTCTCCAGGGGGGTCTTCCGGGCCCAGGGTTCAAATGTGAATCTCTTGTGTCTCCTGCATTAGCAGGTGGATTCTTTCCCACTGTGCCACCTGGGAAGCCCATTCTATATAAAATAGTTTGCATCTGCTAATCCCAAACTCTCAATTCATCCTTCCCCTACTTCCCTTCCCCTTTGACAACCACAAATCTGTTGTCTATGTTTGTGAAGAGTGACATTTTATAGTCGACGAAGCTAACCAACAGTGAAACTAGTTCTGATAATGAGCCCCCATCTTTAGATATAATTAAAATATATGTTTGGGAGGCTATGGGAAGGCTAAGGAGCTTAGAGGCCAGGAATCTCTAAAACCCCTTGGACAGAAATACTCAGTGAGTCTACAGTGTTCAGTTCAGTTGCTCAGTCGTGTCCAACTCTTTGCGACCCAATGGACTGCAGCAGGTCAGGCTTCCCTGTACATCACCGACTTCCAGAGCTTGCTCAAACTCATGTCCATCCAGTCGGTGATGCCATCCAACCATCTCATCCTCTGTCATCCCCTTCTCCTGCCTTTAATCTTACCCAGTATCAGGGTCTTTTCCAGTGAGTCAGTCCTTCGCATCAGATAGCCAAAGTATTGAAGTTTCAGCTTCAGCCTCAGTCCTAATGAATATTCAGGGTTGATTTCATTTAAGATTGACTGGTTTGATCTCCTTGCAGTCCAAAGGACTCTCAAGAGTCTTCTGCAACACCACAGTTCAAAAGCATCAATCTTTGGCACTCAGCTTTCTTTAAAGTCCAACTCTCCCATCCATACATGACTACTGGAAAAACCACAGCTTTGACTAGACGGGCCTTTGTCGGCAAAGTAATGTCTCAGCTTTTTAATATTCTTTCTAGGTTGGTCATAGCTTTTCTTCCAAGGAGCAAGCATATTTTAATTTCATGGCTGCAGTCACCATCTGCAGTGATTTTGGAGCCCAAGAAAATAAAAGTCTCTCACTTTTTCCATTGTTTCCCCATCTATTTGCCATGAAGTGAAGGGACCGGATGCCATGATTTTAGTGTTCTGAATGTTGAGTTTTAAGCCAACTTTTTCACTCACGTCTTTCATTTTCATCAAGAGGCTCTTTAGTTCTTCTCCGCTTTCTGCCATGAGGGTGGTGTCATCTGCATATCTGAGGTTATTGATATTTCTCCTGGCAGTCTTGATTCCAGCTTGTGATTCATCCAGCCCGGCATTTCACATGATGTACTCTGCATATAAGTTAAATAAGCAGGGTGACAAGATACAGCCTTAATGTACTCCTTTCCCAATTTGGAACCAGTCTGTTGTTCCATGTCCAGTTGAACTGTTGCTTCTTGACCTGCATACAGATTTCTTAGGAGGCTGGTAAGGTGGTCTGGTATTCCCATATCTTTAAGAATTTTCCACCATTTCCAAAACCCCTTGGACAGAAATATTCAGTGAGTCTACAGTATAACAACAGCAATAGCAAGTATGATGTGTTGAGGGCCTACTCTGTACTAGGTACTGTGTTAAGCTTTTCCCAAGTACCATCTCACTGAATCCTGTGAAGTGGGTCCTAGTCCCATTTCACAAATGAGAAGGTGGAAGTTCAGTGTTGGCTAATGTTAAATCATGTAGCCTGGATTCAGTAGGCTCTTAACTACCCCATACCGTTAGCCTAGGTTCCTCTTGATCTTCAGAAATGTAAAAGCTTCTAGCTCATTCATGCATTCATTCTTTGTTTTTTTTTAAACCTCTTTCTTGAGGTATAATTGATTTACAAAAACCTGTACATACTTAATGTATATCAGTTTGATGAGTCATTCATTCTTTTGGGAAATGGATTATTTCCCGAGCAGTCAGTGAGTTCTGGGCTCTGTGAACACACAGACCCAGGAGCTCACAGCCTCCATTTTCTCACTGGGAGACTGTCCAGAACCCATCTTCCACAGGAGCTGGACAGGGAACCCCCCAATCTTAATTCCAGTGTTCTGCCCAGTGCACTCAAAACCTTTCATTGAGGGAATAGTGACAGGCAGACTTTACAGGCCTCTTGGGTTGCCTTTTCTCTGGGCCCTGAAAACTGAAGAAATGATTTGGGACCCTAGGTTCCTTGGTGGGGAACCTGAAAGTCCAGCTTGATACTGCTTTGGACTCCATGAGGCAACATTCTAAGAATGAGATTGCCATGCAGCCCAAAGCCATCCTGGAGGCTGGGTTCATCAAGCATAAAGACCTCATTTGTTTCTTTCCAGTTCGTGGACTCGCATTCACCAGCCTAAAGGTTGGCGTGGGACACCGACTGGATTCCCAGGCATCTGGGGTGCTTGGTAGGTGGTGTAGTGAGCCTGGGGTGCAGTGACAGAGGCCTGGGGAGCTCTGAGGAGCCCAGCCCACTTCTCACCTGACTGCCACTTCCCACTCCTGGCTTCCTCCCCTGATCCCTCCCGAGTCTGATCTCTAGGAAGATGACTGGTGGAAAGAGGGATGTCCTGATCGCCCACCCTTATCAACTGACTCCGGCCTATGACATGTGGTTTGAAACCCTTTGTACACATGTATTCACCATAACAACGTTGTTTGGTAGATCCTGTATGATTTTAGGAAGAAAAGTAAGCCTCAAGGAGCACAGATGATTTGTCTTGGGTCAAGTAGCGAGTAATAGTCCCTGGATCAGAGAGGAAAAGCCTCTTGCTTGTGTGGGGTAGCCAAGCGCCTGACCCTGGCCCTGCTGGCAGAGCTCTAGATGTCGCTGGGCACACAAAGCCCTGAGTCATGAGCCATCTCTGTGTCCCCCGGGTCAGGCGGTGGCCACGTCCTCCACGCACAATAGTCACAGCAGCTTGTCCTGCTTCCTGGGACACAGGCGGGCGGACGTGATCTCATGCGCCCCTCCCAGTGTACCCTTTCCAGGAGTGAATGGAGGGTCATTCTTTCCTTCAGCCAGAGAGAAAACAGACCCCAGGAAAGGCAGGGAGTGGACACAATGCCCCTGTTTATTGGGCCTGTCCTTTGTGCCGACCACTTCCTTCCTGCTTATTGCCTCGGTCATCACAATACCCACAGGGATCAGGCAGTAATTTTATCCCCATTTTACTGATGCGGAGCCTGAGGCCCCAGGAGGTTAAAGGACGTGCTGAGAGCCATCCCCAGATGGGAGTGTAGGTCTGTGTGACTGGGCTGGTGGTCTGTTACTTTTGAGTGTCAGGATCCCCAGGGAGCTTGCTAAGGATCCTAGCCCCCCACCCCCACCCCCACCCCCACTTTGAGTCATAGTCAGGATATGTGGCTGGGACCCGGAAATCTGCCTTTTCGTACAGAGGCTTGCTTCCAGTAGAAGATGCTCTCCTTGCCCCCTCGCTGCCACATCCATCAGCAGTGGGAGTGTTCTGCTGGAGGGGGTGGGAGTTGGAGATCCCAGAGGAACCGGAAGGGGGAGCCGGGTGTAAGATCAGGCTGGGGTACCTTTCAGTGCTCGGCGTGGGACACGGACGCGGGCTCCTCACTGACATGTACAACGCTCACCTCACCAAGGTACCGGGGTTGGGACCGCCTGCTTATCCCTCCACCCTTTCCCTGGGGGTCACTGGTAGGATTCCGAAGCGGAGAGAATTCCAGGAGGAATACCTAGGACATCAGATGGCATTTTGGGGACGGGTGGGTCTGTGCTAGGGGAAACTGTAACAACAGCATCATCGTGACAGCTCGCGTTGTCCATGCTGACTGCTCTTTGCCCAGCGCCATGTGTGTGCCATGTGTGGACTCCCTTGTGGATGCCTTATAGCATCCTGGTGAGATGGGATCTACTGTTAACCCATTTTACCGATGAAAGAATGAGGCCCCAAGGAGGAGATGGCACTTGTTCTGGCTCACACAGCCTTTATTTCTTAAATTTTTTTGGCCACACCCCTGGGCTTGCAGGATCTTAGTTCCGCAACCAGGGATTGAACCCTTGGCCCCAGCGGTGAAAGCGCAGAGTCCTACCCGTTGGACTGCCAGGGAATTCCCTCACATGGCCTTTAAGGAGGCAGAGCTGGGATTTGAACCTGGGTCTCTCTGACCCCAGAGCCGATCTTGACACCACTGCACTCTCTGCAGTGCTGAGAAGTGGATAGCACCATCTGGACGTCAGGGAGCTTGCAACCCTGCTGGGCCGTGGGGCCTGGCTTCATGAGCGTGTGCAGAGATGCCACGTTAGGAGACCTAGGGTGTTTGTGGTTAAGAGCAGAGACCGTGGAGCCAAGTGGCTTCACTTAAGACTCCAGCTTGTAGCACTCTTGTAGCCATCTCTGTGTCCTAGGCCCGATTACTTAACATCTGTGTGCGTCCATTTCCTCATCTTTGAAACGGGAGTGAAGATAGCACCTCCTCCGTAGGCTTACTGTGAAGATGAAATTAGTATGTAACGGGCTTAGCACAGCCGCTCACACGTGGTGGATGCTCAGTCGGTGTCACCGTTGTCATCCTCGCTGTCATTGTTGTTACTTTCAACTGAGGCAGAGGCAGGTAGCTGCACAGATCATATTTGGAGGGAAAAGAGAAGCCGACAGTTTGCTGGGAGGGGCCCGGGAGGCTCCAGTGTGGGTTGGATGGAAGTGGAGAGGCCTGGAGGCTGGGGTGGTCGCAGGGTGGCTCTGGGCGCCCTGTGCAGGCTGCCGGTGCTGCTTGCTGTCACAGGAAAGTCCAGTGCCCTTCCCCAGGGGCAGCTGGGCAGGGGCCGAGCGCCCGAGCTCCCTGAGCGCACCCCACCCCCAGCCTCCGTCTAGCACCCCGGGGGGTCTGAGCTGCTGGACACACCTCCTTCCTCGGTGCAGGGCTGAGACCATACATACCTTCCCTCCCCGTCCTCCAGGATTACACCGTGCGCGGCGTCCTGGGCAAAGCCACAGACGACTTCTGTGAGGACGGGCGGCTGGTGGAGAAGACGACATACGGTGAGAGCCCAAGGGAGTCCGGGGGGCAGGAGGAGTGGGTGCGCCCGCCCTTCACCCCGACGTGGGCCAGGAGGGTCCCTCAAACACTCTCAGACACACCAGCGAGGGCTGCCTCCCGGGGGCCGGGACACGTGACTCTGTCTCCCGAGAATGCCCTGTCCTCCCCAGGCTTTCTCACCTGGCTTAAATGTCACCTCCCCAGGGAAGCTTCTCCAGCCCCCAGGCTTGGACCAGTGTACTGTCAGAGAAGTCATCAGCTGACAATCAGTGGTTTCAATGTCTCTCCCACCAGCTGTCACCCATGAGAGCAGGGATGGTATAGTTCCGCTCCTGTGGTCCCACACAGAACTGGACCTGGGATGTGGGAAGCGCTGGATGGGTCCATGGATGGGTGGTGGATGGATTGATGGATGGATGGGTGGGTGGTGGATGGATGGATGGATAGATGGGTAGATGGATGGGTGGCTTGTTCTTCACTTACTCTCCCCATGTTCTCAACTGTCCTGTAGAATCTGTCGCATTTGCTTGTTTGACATGTTTCTGAGCACCAACATGTGCCAGCCATTGTGGGGGGCACATATGGTGAATGAGGTGGGGTCACCATTCTCAGTGATCTCAAGTCTAGCAAGGAGAGCAGACACACCACTACGTCTTCCGGAGAAGAATAAAAACACGGCAGAGCAATGCTACATATTTGCACTTGTAGGTTGTGTCAACTACCAACAAAATGTTCCGAAGATAGCTACCAGGTTGACACTTTAGGGAGAGCAGAAGCTGGAATTTGGAGGAGGGGAGGTGTTTGTTGGTGTTGGTCTGAATTTCTGGAAGAAGATTCTTAAGTTATTAAAAACTATTGTGAACATCCAAGAAAACTAAGTGCTGCGAAAGAGAAGCAGGTAGAGAATGTCAGGAGCCAGGAGGAGGAAGCTGCTGGCTTCCAGATAAGACAACGGCATGAATGAAACCAGACAGAAGGGATGAGAGGCCCACGCCCTTCCCAGCTGGCCAACCTTTAGTCCCTACACCTGCTCCCAGAGCTCTGGCCAGTAGAGTCAGAAGTTGGCACCTGTCCCAGCTGGCCCACAGGTTTGGCCTCCCTGCAGGTTTGAGCATCCCCAGGCTTTGCTGCTTCCTGCCCCAGAATCCCTCGATGGGACCAGTATGCAGAGCCACTCCCACTTCTTGCCATCCCACTTCTGCGTTTGAACAGGTGGCACCCTCCCTCCAGGGATCCCTGGCATGAAAAACCTCGGACTGGGGCTCAGGGGGCCTGGCTTAGAAGAGCAGGCAAGTCATATCATACCTTGAGCCTCATTTCCAGAAGAAAGTGGGATTTTTTTTTCTTTTTGGTTGGATGGTTTTTTTGGGGTGACGGGGTGTGGGTTTTTTTTTCTTTGGCCAAGCCATGTGGCATGCAGGGTCTTAGCTCCCTGACCAGGGATCAAACCCATGCCCCCTGCATTGGGAGAGCAGAGTCTTAATGACTAGACCAATCAGGGAAGTCCCAGGAACAAAACGTTCTTAACCTGGAGCCTGTGAATCCCTTGAATTTGTCCTCCAGACGTTGAATTCATGTGTATATTTCTGAGAAGAGTGGTCCAGAGCTTTCATAAGATTCTCAAAGGACTTTCAACCCCTCTACGTGGGAACCCCGGGATCTAAGGATGCTGTGGGACCCCCTCTCAGGTCCAAGGATGGGGCTGGTTTGTGGGAAGGAAATTTCTAGCTTGCCGCCTCAGTGGGCACCTGTGTGCTGACCATTCCCTGGCTTTTCCAGACCACGTGACCAGAGAGAAGTTGGACCGCATCCTGGCTGTGATCCAGGGTTCCCATCAGAAGGCTTTGGTGACGTAAGAGAGGCCTGGCCCACACCTCCCTGCAAGCGGAACCTCAAGGAAGCACTGGGTGGTTGTTCAGTGGCTAAGTCATGTCCAACTCTTTATGATCCCATGGACGACAGCACGCCAGGCTGTCCTTCACCGTCTCCCAGAGTTTGCTCAAACTCATGTCCATTGAGTCAGTGATGCCATCCAACCATCTCATCCTCTGTTGCCCCCTTCTCCTGCTTTCAGTCTTTCCCAGCATCAGAGTCTTTTCCAGTGAGTTGACTCTTGGCATCAGGTGGCCAAAGTATTGGAGCTTCAGCATCAGTCCTCCCAATGAATATTCAGGGTTGATTTCCTTTAGGAAGTGCGGGGGCGGGGGTGGGGGTGGGGGCAGGGGGCATTGGCGGGAGGAAGTGCCCGAAGGGTAAGAAGTTAACCATAGGGCTCTTGCCGTCTGCCTGCCCTGGGGCAGAGTCCATGGATCTTTCTTTCTGAGCCCAAAACCAGACACAAGCACCCACTCCTTTCAGGGTGTGCAGAAATGTTTCCTTGTACCAGGGCATGGGCCAGCCCCTGGAGAGACCAAGGGGAACGAGAGACCCTGGCTGGCCTCCTAGGGAACATATGAGCTAACAGAGAAGACAGCCAGGGGACCACAGCGTCTCAGCACAGAGTCAGGCGGAAGTAGTCAGTGCAGGTGTGACTGAAGAGGGGCAGAGCCTGCGGTTCAGGATTGGAGGGGACAGGAAGAGGAAGAGGCTGCTGCAGAGGTGGCTAGAGGGGCTGAGAAGGTGGGAAGCGAATGAAGAGCTTCAGGAAAGGCATGAGTGGGGCAGGGCTGGGCTAGGCAGTCAGCTGCCTGCTCTGGCCTCTCCTGATCCCCAGGTACTCCAACCTCGACCTACAGACCCAGGAGGCCTACGAGATGGCCGTGAGCGGCGTGATCCGGCCCATGAACAAGTCCCCGATGCTGATCACTGGCATCCGATGCCTCCAGTTTGCACCTCCGGAATTCCTCTTAGGTAAGTTGCTCCGGGAAGTTGGAGCAGCGCCACGGGGCTCCTGAGTTCATGTAGTCACTGTGGGAGACCCTTGCGGAGGCCAGCATGTGTGAGCACTGATCTCAACTGGTCAAGACAGCAGGGGCCCGCTTCCTTCCCAGCCTGAGGCTGGACTTGGCTGATCACACGGCTCACAGAGCAGATAGATGTCTCCTGCCAAGTGCCCCTTTGAAGCCAGACCTTAACAAACAGGTTATATGTAGTGGCTCCTCTCCAGAGCCGCCCAGTGTCTCAGGTCATTGTGGGGCATCAGACACCACTTTCCACTCCGCCCTGATCCTACCCAGCTCAGCACCCGCTCCATCATCACTTCTTTCCTTATTTATTGTGTTAACAAGGGCTCCTTTCTTGAGTGCTGACCAAGACTCTCCCGATGCTAAGTGTGTTATAGAAATGATTCCTCGAAACCACCTTTTTTTTATTTTTTGACTTCACCATGTTGCTTGCCAGATCTTAGTTCACTGACCTGGGATCAAATCCGTGCCCCCTGCAGTAGAAGCATGGTTTCCTACCCACTGGACCATGAGGAAAGTCCCAATCTGGGGGTTCCTCTGAAAAGGCAGATTCTGATTCAGCAAGTCTGGATGGGGCCTGAGACTCTGCCTGTCTTAAGAGACTTTCAGGGCCAGCCCTGGGCTACGCTTAGAGGAGGAAGGGGTCTGGCTAAGGTTATTACACAGCCAGGAGGGCTCCCGGGGTGTGGATCTAGATCAGTGACACCAGAGGCTATGCTCCTGACCACCACCTTTGCTGTGTGTCCCTGGCAGAGGTGCAGTGCATGCATGAGACACAGAAGCAGCTGCGAAGGCTGGTGCATGAAATCGGCCTGGAGCTGAAGAGCACCGCTGTCTGTACACAGGTGCGGCGGACACGAGACGGCTTCTTCACCCTGGATGACGCCCTCCTGAGGACCCAGTGGGACCTACCGAGCATCCAGGATGCCATCCAAGCTGCAGCACCCCGGGTGGTGGCAGAGCTGGAGAAGAGCTTAAGGCCTTGGCTGGGCACCCAGGAGCCCCCTGGTGCAGGCCAGCCCTGGGACTCCGAGAGGCCACGCTCTGCCTTGGGGCCAGAGAGCCATGTGGGGCACTGACAGGCAAAGCAGCTGGTGGAACAGTGGATGTCTAAAAATAAGAGCTGGTGGAACAGTGGGTGTCTAAAAAAAAGAATCGTTCATGGCTGGAACTGCTGACTGCAGAACTTGAGAGCAGGAGGGGCTTTTTTGCACTTGACAGAAAACCCTGAAGCTGTAAGAGAAACCATTAACAGGGAGCTCCCTAGTCACGGAACGAAGATCCTGCAAGCCGTGTGGTGTTGCCAAAGAAAAAAAAGATCAACAGACTTGGCCCAGTTAAAAACTTCTGTACAGAGGAAAAGATGCCAAATGAATGACAGACTGATAAAAAATAATTGTTATAAGTTTAAGCAATAATATTTATAATATATAAAGAGTTCTTATAAAACAGTAAGAAAAACATGACAAGAAAGTTGATCAGGTGATGTGAGTTGTGTGTGTGTATAGTAAAAGCAATCCAGAAGGCTAGTAAACCTGAAGTGATGTTCAGCTTCTCTAATGATGAAAGACATTCAGATGAAAATAAGATGACTTTTCCTTGCCTTTCAAATAAATTAAGAAAAAGATAACATCCATTATCGCTGAGGATGTGAGAAGATGGGCAATTTATACACTCGGTGCCAAGTTCAGTCATGTCTCACTCTTTGTGACTCCATGGACTGTCGCCCGCCAGGCTCCTCTGTCCATGGGATTCTCCAGTCAAGAAAACGAGTGGGTTGCCATTTCCTTCTCCAGGGGATCTTCCCAAGCCAGGGATCGAATTAGCGTCTCCTGTGCCGGCAGGCAGATTCTTTACCACCAGAGCCGTCTGGGAATACGCTTGCTAGGAACACGCAACTGTATAACCTTTCAGGAGTAATTCGGTGGTCTGTGTCAGCATTTAAAATACTCCTGCCCTGGGACTTCCCTGGTGGTCTGGTGGTTAAGAATCCGCCTGCCAGTGCGTGGGACGTGGATTTGATCCTTGCTCTGTGAACTAAGATACCATGTGCCCTTGGGTAACTAAGCCCCATAATGACTGGTTCCTAGAGCTTGTGCTCCATAACAAGAGAGGGATCAAACTTGGGCCCCCTCTATTGGGAGTGCAGAGTCTTAACCACTGGACTGCCGGGGAATTCTTGGAAGGAAATCATTCTGAAAAGAATGAAAACAAGGTCGTATTCTGTGGTCCCAGGGATTAGGACTTTGACACGTGAATTTTTTGGGGACATGACTTGACTCGTAACAGGTGGTTAGACACTCACCTGGGCTGGCCCAGTGCTTCTCAGAGCCCTGCTGTCCTGTAACCAGAAAACTCCCCCTGAGGTCAGTGGAGGCCCCTTCTTCCCCTCCACTACCCCTGTTACCACCGCAGCAGCAGTGGCTGACTGTGGCACGTGTTATGCTGTGGTTAATAAACATTACCCCAGAACTTCTCCATGGGAGTACTGGGGACCAGGGCTGCTCAAAACGTTCCTTGCTGCCAGCCCAGGGAAGCAGTGAGGGTGCAGGGCCCCAGAGGCTCTAAGAGTGGCTCCCTGGGCATGGACTGTAGCTGACCCCTCCAGGGCCTCCAAGCAGCTCCTCTTCCATGGTCCAAATAGGAATTTAAGTCTTGATTGCACTATATGTAAGAAGTGTATCTGGGGACTTCCCTGGTGGTCCAGTGGCTAAGATTCCACGCTCCCAATGCAGGGAGTCTGGGTTCGATCCCTAGTCAGGGAACTAGATCCCACATTCCACAACTAAAAGTTGGCACGCTGCCGCTAAAAGTTTCCCTATGCTGTAACTAAGACCTGGTGCAGCCAAGTAAAAAATAATTACTACTTAAAGCAATGGAGACAGTGACAGACTTTATATTCTTGGGCTCCAAAATCACTGCAGATAGTGACCGCAGCCGTGAAATTAAAAGACGCTCTTTGAAAGAAAAGCTATGACCAACCCAGACAGCATATTAAAAAGCAGAGACTGGAGAAGGAAATGGCAACCCACTCCAGTATTCTTGCCTGGAAAAGTCCATGGACAGAGGAGTCTGGCGGGCTGAATTCCATGGGATTACATGACTGAGCATGTGTGCACGAGGGTGGAGGGAGATGGGTTGGTAGCAGTAAAGTGGTAGAACTAAAAAAAAAAAAAAAAGCAGAGACATCACTTTGCCAACAAAGGTCTGTCTAGTCAAAGCTGTGGTTTTTCCAGTAGTCATGTATGGATGTGAGAGTTGGACTATAAAGCTGAGCGCCAAAGAATTTATGCTTTTGAACTGTGGTGTTGAAGAAGACTCTTGAGAGTCCATTGAACTGCAAGGAGATCAAAGCAGTCCTCAAGGAAGCCAGTCCTGAATATTCATTGGAAGGACTGATGCTGAAGCTGAAACTCCAATACTTTGGTCACCTGATGCAAAGAATTGAGTCATTGGAAAAGACCCTGATGCTGGGAAAGATTGAAGTCAGGAGGAGAAGGGGACAACAGAGGATGAGATGGTTGGATGGCATGACTGACTCGACGGACGTGAGTTTGAGCAAGCTCTGGGAGTTGGTGATGGACAGTGAAGCCTCGTGTGCTACAGTTCATGGGGTTGCAAAGAGTCGGACATGACTGAGTGACTGAACTGAAGTGATTATTTTCTGGTTGTGCTGAGTCTTCATTGCTCTGCACAGGCTTTCTTTAGTTGCCCTGAGCCGGGGCTACTCTTCATTGCGGTGCACCAGCTTCTCATTGCAGTGGCTTCTCTTGTTGCGGAATACAGGCTCTAAGTGCATAGGCTTTAGTAGTTGTGGCTCTCAGGACTTAGAGCTTGGGGGCTTCAATAGTTGCAGTACAGAGGCTTAGTTCTCCGTGGTATGTGGAATCCTCCTGGACCAGGGATCGAACCTGTGTACTCTGCAGTGGCAAGCAGATTCTTCACCACTGGACCACCAGGGAAGTCCAGAGTATAGTAATCCCTGTTTTAAAGATGAGGAAACTGAGGCATGAAGGGGGCAAATGACAGGCCAAAGGACACCTGACAAGGGAGTCCTGAGCCCGAGACCACATCTTTGCTGTTCGGAGTCAGCAATACTGACCACTGCACTGTCCTGCCTCTTCTCGAGCTATTGCTGCTTTTGTGGGGTCGTTTCTAACCAAGTCCCAGGCCTGGCACATAATAGGTGCTTAGGAAATATTCGTTTAAGGAACTGAGTACCTGGGCTTCCCTGGTGGCTCAGTGGTAAAGAATCTGCCTGCCAGTGCAGGAGTCATGGGTTCGATCCCTGGCCTGGGAGGATCCCATATGCTTCAGAGCAACTAAGCCCATGCACCACAATTACTGACCCCACACGCTGCAGCTTCTGAAGCCTGGGTGCCCTAGGGCCTGTCCTCCACAGTAAGAGAAGCCATCTCAATAAGAAACCTGAATTCACCACAACCAGAGACTAGCACCCACTAGCCGTTAACTAGAGAAAAGCCTGTGCGACCATGAAGACCCAGCATAGCCAAAGGGAAAAAAAGGAACTGAGTATCTGTTGTGATACTGTCATGTAAAAAGAAGTATGTTTTTGGGTCTTCCTCCCCAGCTCCCAGTCAGAGCTCCTAAAACCCTTGTGATTTCCTAAGTGACAAAGGTGAAAAGAACATCTTGAATATTTTTTGTTGTGTGTTTTATGCCCAGTTCTTGAAAGAGCTCCAGAAGGTGAAAGTGGCAAGCATCTTTTCTTACTCATAACAGGCCCCTTACGGAACTTCCCTAGTGGATCAACCGGTAAAGAATCCACCTGCAATGCAGGAGACCTGAGTTCGATCCCTGGGTTGGGAAGATCCCGTGGAAAAGGGAAAGGTTACCCACTCCAGAATTCTGGCCTGGAGAATTCCATGGACTGTATAGTCCATGGGGTCGCAAAGAGTCAGACAGGACTGAGTGACTTTCACTTTCCAGTGGTTAAGACTCTGCGCTTCCAGTGCAAGGGACTCTGGTTCGATCCCTGGTCCAAGAACTAAGTATCCCACTTGCCTTGGGACAACTAAGTCTATGCACCACAACTAGAGAGAAGCCTGCAGGCCACAACAAGAGCCAGAGAACTAAGGCCCGACACAGCCAAATAAATAAAAAGCCCCTTTCAGTCACACCTGCCTACTTAACAGAAGCTCCATAAAAAACCTAAAGGATGGGGTTCTGAGAGCTGAGTTAGCCAACACATCTGGGTGCTGGGGAAGGGGTGCAGCCGGAGAGGCCTTGGAAACCCAGCACCCTTCCACGTGGCTTGCTTGCCCTGTGGACCGCCACCATTTGGTCCTTCCTGAGTTGTATCTTCTGTAATAAACTAGCGAACATAAGTGTTTTTCTGGGATGTGTGAGCTATTTGAGCAAACTTTCAAACTTAAGGAGGGGGTCATGAGAACTCCCGGCTTCTAGCCAGTCAGCAGTGCATGTAGGGGACAACCTAGGACGTGTGGTCAGTGTCTGAAGCGGGGGCAGTCTCATGGGACTGCGCCCTTGACCTGCATGGTGTGGGTGAATTCCAGGCAGGCAGTGTCAGAACTGAGTTAAATTGTAAGTCACCCAGTCCTGTCCATCAGGAATTACGGAATTGCTTGGTATGGAAAAGCCTCCACTTTTGGTGTCAGAAGTACTGTGTACAGAAAAGAAACAAGAGTTTTTACTTGTATATGTGCTCGGTATATACATATTACCTGAATAAATAACCAAAGTGGTTACTTTTGTATTTCCTTTGGCTGTGCAACATGAGGGACCTTAGTTCCCCAACCAGGGATAGAACCCATGCCCCCTGCCTTGGGAGCACAAAGTCTTAACCACTAGACTGCCAGGGAAGTCCCTCAAGTGATTAATTTTTTAACAAATTGGAATTACAATATACACAGTTATCACAATTGGCTTCTTTCATCCATCAGTAGAGTGTGGCCCTTTCTGGGCCTTCCCTGTTGGCCCTGGGGTAAAGAACCCGCCTGCCGATGCAGGAGACAACAGGTTCATTGCCTGGGTTGGGAAGATCCCCTAGAGAAGGAAATGGCAACCCACTCCAGTATTCTTGCCTGGAGAATCCCGT